ACTGCGACAAAGGAACTTTAAAAAAAATGGTCATCTGAACAGAGACATGCTTATTTCTCTCTCCTTGAGTTCTTCCAATATGCTGACAGGGGTATTGTGGTGCATGCAAATATTGAAGAACAAATGGGCTGAAGTTGGTGCAATATATGCAGCATAAACCTCCTCAACAATGGGATATCTGCCACAGTTCTCCCTGTTGATTCACTAGAATTAAAAAAAAGTGTTCAATTAACTTCAGAAAAGCTACTTCCACTTCCAGTTACGAGAGAGAACAGCTTTTTTGGGGGGTCAGCATCAGCGACAGCTGGGTGTCTGACACATGCGGAAATCCATCATCGTGCTTAAGAGTATCCAAACCAAACTGAGAATTCCATGCATTCTACGCATGAAAATTCCAGAGATATATTGTTGGACTGCCCGTTCCCTCCCTGGGGGGACTCATCCTACTTAATAATTCTGGAAAACATGAGGCGCAGGTTGGCAGGAGCCAAAAGACCCCAGAGTGTGCATTGGGGTACTACTGGAGACTAACCAGCAAAAACCACATAGTGTGTCATTGATAGCAATGTCTGGCAAGCTTTCCCGCTGCTTGTCCAGCTAGGGCCACCCTATCAGTTAGGGCTTTGGCTTGCAGGGTAAGGACGGATGGTTGTGGCTCAAACCTGATGCCTAGATTGTACACCGGTTCAGTAAGTCTGAAGGATAGGCCAGAGAGGTTGAGGCGATTAGAGCTGCAGGATAGAAGACGCTGACGAGATCCAAGGAGTATGGCTTCTTCTTGTTAACATTCAGTTGTAAGATGTTTGCACTCATCCAGGCCCTGATGTCTGCCAGATAAATTGACAGAACATCGGCAGACCTGGAGTCACAGCTGGAGTAAACTTGTGTGCCATCCACATACATGTGGACGTTTACCCCATGTCTGCGGATGACAGATGGAGCATATAGATAAGGAAGAAGAGGGGGCCATGGATGGAGCCCTGGGCTACCCCACGAGTAACCGCGCTGGGGCAGGAGGAGAAATAGTTTGAAGAGACAAAGTGGTTTGTTAGGTAGGACTCGAACCAGATAGTGCGGTCCCACTGAGGTGGATGAGGGATGAAGATGGCAGAAATCGGCGGACAGGTCCAGGAGGATGAGGAGGCTGTGGGAGCCTGGTTAAAAATAAGAATAATCCTTGCATTTGATATAGCGTCTTATCACGTCTTCGAGACATCTCAAAGCGCTTCACAGAATATACTTTAAAGTGAATTGACTGTATATTTGTGGGCGAAATGCGGCAGCTAATTGCGCACAGCAGTGTCCCACAAACAGTCGTGGATTGAGTGACCAAATTATTGTTTTTTTTGAGGAATTATTATCCCCAGACAAGCGATCTACCAATTGACTAACAAATGTGTTCCTACTTTCTGCTAGGTAAACAGAGGCGTGTGGAGTAAGGAAACTTGCCGAAGGTTTTGTCCTGCACGGGAATCTAATCCAGGTCCTCTCGCTAACCCCTAGGCTATGGGAACAATTCTCATAAGGGCAGGTGAGAATGTAGGATGCACTTGCCTGCAGCATCAATCGGGATGTAGAGGGGTGGGGGGGGGGCGGTAGAGAGGAGGCGGGAAGAGAAAAGTAGAGGGGGAAGAGAGAAGTCAAGGGGGGAATAGGGAAGGAGAGGGGGGCAGGAGAGAAGGAGCGGAGGGGAAAAGAGAAGGAGAGGGGGGAAGAGAGGAGAGGGGGAAAGAGGGGAGAGGGGGAAAGATAGGAGAGGGGGAAAGAGAGGAGGGGGGGAAGAGAGGAGAGGGGGGGGGAAGAGAGGAGAGGGGAGAGAGAACATGAGAAGGGGGTAAGAGAAGAAGGGGGGGAAGAGAGAAGTAGAGGAGTGCAGAGAGGAGAGGAGGGAAGAGAGGAGAGGGGGAGAAGAGAGGACAGAGGGGGAAAGAGAATGAAAGGGGGGAAAGAGAGAAGGAAAGGGGGGAAAGAGAGGAGAGGGGGGGAAGAGAAGAGGGGAGGAAGAGAGAAGGAGGGGGGAAGAGAGAAGAGGGGGAAGAGAAAAGAAGGGGGAAGAGCGGAGAAGGCGGTGAAGAGAGGAGAAGGAGGCGGGGAAGAAAGGAGAGGGCGTGCCACCCTCCTTCTCCCCACCACATCTCCTTTCCCACCTCCTCCCTCTCCCCCTCCTCCCTCCCTCTCCCCCCTCCTCCCTCCCTCTTGCCTCTCCTTCTCTACCCCCTTCTCCCTCCCTCTCCCCTCCTCTCTCCTCCCTCTTCCCATTCCTTCTCTCTCCCTTCCCCTCTCCCCCTCACCCCTCCATCTCCCCCATTCCTTCCTTCTCCCTCCCACGCTGGATGCGGCCCACAGACTTGCCCGCAGCAGCCAAAATGTTGGACCACCCTGGTCTAAGCTGACACTCCAATGCAGTGTGTTGCATTGTTTGAGGTGCTGTTCTTTGGATGAGATATTAAACCGAGGTCACATCTGCCTGTTCAGGTGGATGTTAAAGATCACATGGCACAATTTGAAAAGAGTAGGGAGTCTCTCCTGATGTCTTGACCAACAATCCCCCAAAATAAATATTGGTCACTCAATCTTCAAACTCTAATGGGCAGTCATGGACAAGAGTTTCAATCTTTCCTGTCAGTTTTTCCTTCTATCCTAACAAAAGCTCATTTCTGTTCAGCAACTGGCTGGAGCAGACAACAGACCCTCTGGACAGTGTTTGTTTCAAAGTGCTGAAGTGTTAAGATCACAGCAACATTTTCCAAGAAAGTTACACATTAAAAGTTTGCAGACATTTATTCACGAATCTTTAAAAAACAGCATTTCACATCACAAATACATTTGTGTTGCATGGATTAAAAAATCTCCTCAGATCTGAACTCACTACATTTCACCAGTTCTATAACAGAGAAGTCAGTTGGGGCAGACATTAATAACCTTTCACTCAGATTTGGCACACATAATTAAGAGTATCAAATATCATCTCAGTGTTAAATACATATACAAATACATTGCATTACTCACTCAGCAGCTAAATTAGAAAACTTCTTTTAAGCATTGTGTGTCAGTTTAATTACCCTTTAGCAGCTTCCAAAGCCACGCCTATTCCAACAGCAGCCGTAAGGTTACAGTTTGGAATCCCAGACAGTACTGAGTTAGCTGATCTCAACAACAACAACAACAAACAACAAATTACATTTGTAATGCGTCTTTCATGTCAGGAGGAGGTCCCAAGGCCCTGAACAGTCAGGGATTCTGCACCCGAGCTGGTGGTTGGGATCAGGAGTGTTGGTGGGCGGGAGGGGTAGGAGGGTGACTGAAGGAAAGGTCTCATTCAAAACAGAAAATAAATTACGTCAGAATTTAACAGCCGAAAGTGCACACAGTGTAACATCAGTTCACGTTGTACTCAACTCAAGCTGTAGTCTACTGTGAGGAAAAGCAAAGTTAACTACAAAGTGCATCAAGCGTTTAAAAACATGATCTCGAATGCTAAAAAACTATTCTTACTCAAATCGCAATGGTCAGTCATTGCTCAGGACAGGCTTATTAATATGATCAATAGCTGAAATAAAATTAGAAAAGCTATGCACAAGTATAAATTATTCATGAAGATTGGAATTTCTTTTACCCTACATTCTTGTGGTTGGTCACCACAATTTCAGATATTATATTATTAAACACAATTTCTCTTGGACAGATCAGAAAAACTAACTGCTGTATCAAATACATTCATTCAGAGTTATCAGTATTAAAAAAAAATGAAATAAATTAACCTAAAGGATTAGCCTTATGTTTCTAGTAAAGGTGCAACAGCCCTTCATCTTAAAAAAAATCATATCTACCTCTTTGCTAACTAATGCTGACACAAATTGCAGACTCGGCATTGATACAAGGGACAAAATTCTGTTCCCAAGCTTCCAACAAGCTACTCAGATTTTCCTTTGGCTCAGAGGAGTCTGCCTTCTGTTTGTGACTACATCAGAACAGCAGACAGTAGGACGTAAATCTATTTATTCAGTCTGCAGGACCATGAATTAAGCATACATTTTATAATTGTCCAAAATTCTGCTTACTCTTAAATTTTTAGACATTCTTAAAGGCTAAAACTGTGAGAATGTTTGGACCACTGGTTATCTTCTTACAGTCTAACTTTAGAAGAATCCTTTTGTCTCAACATAAATTGCCTACTCCCATTGTCACAGTTAATTTGCTGCACTGTTCAGTGGATATTGATTCATCCAGAGAATGCATTGAAAGAGAACCCACTAAAACAATACTGATGGGGAGGCAGATTTTTAGTAAAGGCTGAAAGCTCACAAGTATCAGTCCCCTCAGACTGCTGGAGGAAACAGTAGAACGGAATTAGCTTTCAAGTTAAACGCAACAGCAATGGACACAAATTGCTATGTTACAAATTGTCTTATACTGTCTTTTGTAAACAACAAAAAAAAATTACATTTGTACAGCGCCTTTCACGTTGGGAGGACGTCTCAAGGTGCTGCACAGTCAAAAATTGGACCCAGTTGGGGGTTGGGATCAGGAGGGGTGGAGGACAAGGACAGTTGGGTTAGGAGGGCGACCGAAGGCAAAGTTGAAGGGGAGGTTCTTGAGACAGGCCTTGAATGATGTAAGAGAGCGGGTGAGGCGAAGGGACCGTGGGATGGAATTCCACAGGGTGGCAAGCAGAAAGGCTGAAGGCCTGACCGCTGAAGGTGGGGTGGACAGTACATGGGATGTGAAGCAGGCTAATTGGAGTTGAAGTACATATCAGCCAAGATCTAATAGAATGGTGGAACAGGCTCGATGAGCTGAACAGCCTACTCCTTTTCCTATGTTCCTAGACTGGAGCTCGCTGAGTGGAGGGAGCAGACAGATCTGCATGGCGCTAGCAGGTAACAGAGGTAAGGAGGAGCAGATTTGAAGGCAAGGGCGAGGATCTTGAACTCTATCCTCTGGGGGATGGGGAGCCAGTGGAGCCGGGCGAGGATTGGATTGTTCGTATGTAGCACCCTTCATGAAGGATAACATCTCAGAGCACTTCACAAAGATGTGATCGGAAGCGGAGGGAACGAGAGGAGGGGTGGGAGTGACTGGTGACCATGTGCATGGTCAAAGAGGTAGTTTTTAGGATTTAAGGGGCAATTGTCTACAACAAGGAGCTTATAAATAACAGCTCAGAAAAAATGATTCATCTCTTTAGACATGATAGCTGAGATAAATACTGTTTCTGAGCAGATTTTGACAGTACAATCTCAGCATTTCCTGGCGACACCTTCAGCACTCAACAATTCAGCAGACATTTAGCACCTGAGCCCTCAATATCAAAAGATTTCTCTGACGATAACCCTAATCCTGCTGATCCTGGTAAACATTCCATATCCTGCCTCATGATACAGCATAAATCACGTATCTCCCTTAAAATGTTTGCAACAAAATTCTCAGATCTTTCCTTTGTTAAATTCATAGAGCATCACAACACAGAAATCAACCCGTTAAGTCTGATGGATGGGGGAAAAAGAGACAAATAGATGTGAACTGAGATTTTGAACACAAATAGGTATTAATAGATATAGTGAAAGGGTGAGAAATCTGGATTAAAAGATCTGACAAGATTGAATAAACTGGTGGAACAGATTTGATGGGCTTGATGGCCTCCTTCTGTTCTCCTATGCTACCTCTTCTTATGGGGAATTAAAAAAAGTTTTCAGGTGATCTCTGATTGCACAGCTTACACAACATTTCTATTCCTGTTCGAAATTCACTCATTCTACTGACTTCAGTTCAAGTGTAGCCTCGTTGACTTTGGAAGAGTGAACAGGGGCTGCGGTTAGTCATTGTGTCCTTGAGGGGTGCCGTCGGAAAAGAGAGCTCATCTCACGTACGATCAATGGAAAAATGCACACGATGGTTAAAGCTGTCTGCAAGAGGAAATACAAGACATTCACTGCTCAAAGATCTTACACTAGCTCAGTGAGAAGTACTGCTTCAATTGCCTCCACCATCACACCCCACCTATCACACCCCCACCCTCCACCAATCACAGCCTCACACTCCACCCATCACACCCCCACCCTCCACCCATCACAGCTCCACTCTCCACCCATCACACCCCCACCCTCCACCCATCACATCACCACCCATCATAGCCTCACCCACCACACCCCCATCCATCACATCCCCACCCATCAACCTCCACCCATCACACCCCCACCCATCACACCTCCACACATCACACCTCCACCCATCACAACCCACCTTCCACACCCGACCCTCCACATCACCCACCCACCCTCCATACATCACACTTCCAACCCCCACCCCTAACTAAAGCATACTTCCACCTTCTGCTGTTGGCATCATACCCACTCCCCCTCTCTGCTCCAGACACCATGCCTCCCCTGTGTTGTCTCCCTAAAAATTTAAGGTTAAACCAGCTTGATGCTAAGAGGTTCTCAATCAGATCTCTTCAGCTAGGAGGTAAGATTGTGCTCACCATCAGGATAAAGAAGTGGAAGACCCACATCCAACCAAGCTTGTGCTGGATCAGAGACACCAGAAACTAAAAAGGAGAGAAAGAAGGATTTGAAAACAAATTTAAATAATTCAGGCATTTTTTACAAGCAATACATTTTTCATATGCATCTCATTCATGCTATACTTGATCTGGGAGTGCTGGATGGGACATCTCGACCCAATATGTAGAATGTGTTCAATTTGGAAATGACTTCAATTGTTCTCCCGACATGAAAAGTGCTAAACAAATATAATTGTTGTTGTTATTCCAAATTAAAATAAGTTAGGACAAACTCTGTGCTGTAAAATCATTCGGTGTAAACTGATCGGATTTAAATTTATTTTAAAAATGCAATCAATGGCCCGACAGTTATGTCCAAATATCTGCCTCAGTTGACATTACTCTCGCTCTGGGTCAGAAGTTTGTTAGTTCAAGCTCCATGTCCTCAGTCTAGACTAGTATCTCGATGAATTGGTCATTCCTCCAGACTAATTGGTCATTCACTTCATGTCTGGAACCTTGTGTGCAAAACAAATGCTAAATTTGCCTTCAAAAATAGTCAGTACATGTGGGAGGAATTAATGTAAGTGTGAACTTTGAGATGTTTCAATGTGATTAAGGCTATAAAATATTCCTCTTCTGTGTGATGGTTCAGTCTTGTATAGAGATTTGAAGGTTACCTGTCCAACTGCAGCCCCCACACTCCCGGTTCCATCAATGATTCCCACGACAGAGGCTAATGCTTCCCTGTGGCCCCGAATTTGCTCCTGACGTCCCAGGTCAGTTGATATGGCTGAACTGATTAGATTGGAAGGGCCACCAATGGAAAACCCTGCAGGACACAGAGAACAATGAAAGTTAAAGGTAATAATGAAAAGCAGAGAGAGAGAGAAAAAAAGAAAGAAGAATTAAAAGGCATCAATATAAAGGCATACAATCTACCTGATATATGTTGGATCAATCTACGTGGTGTATTTTCTGCCTGCTGACCACTTAACTTTGTGTCAAAACTCACGAGGGGCGATTGATAGATAAAATTTACATTTACATTTCAAAAACAATACTCCTCTCAAGCAGGAAATATAAGCTTGATCAATGAAAACGCAGTACCTACCTGTAAAGGCCATTAGAACAGCATTCAAAACTTGATTGTTTGGCAAATCTGAAAGAATAAAAACAGCTTGGAATAAATGAACCCTTCTACTAACAAGAATTTGGACAATAACCCAATCTCTTGCCAGAAGTGGGCCCAAGTATGAGACACTCATACACAGTGAACATCCCTCCTCACGGTGAACATCCATCCCACGCCTTGACTGCTGGGTTTGGAGCACGTTCAGAAACATGAGAACAGGCCGCTTGTCCATTTATACATAGTGCACAGTCCAGGGAGAAATAACCTGGAACTGAAGTTTCAATATTGACACTGGGCCATCTGGAGAGGGGATGAGAGGAAAACAATTAAGAGAGAGGTGAAGAAATGCCTTCAATTAGAGGGTTGTTGGGGGTATGGAATTCATAATCACAAGTAGTTATTGAGGCTGGAACAAGTGGGCTACTTTTCTGGGGTTAATAGTTCCTTCAAAAAATAATATTATTAATAATAAGTTGGTCACACAATTCATGTTTGTGGGACACAGCTGTGCGCAATTTGCTGCCGCGTTTCATCCACAAAATATAGTCAATTCACTTTACAGTATATTCTGTGAAGCACTTTAAGATGTCATGAAGATGTGATAGGGTACTTTATCAAATCCAAGGATTATTATTATAAGCACCTCTGCAGTAAAAATATTAAGAGATATGGGGTAAGAGTTGGAAAATTACATCAATAAAAAGAGAGGCTTAAAAACAAAGGAAACCGATTTAATGGGCTGAATGGCCATCTTCTGTGCAGAAAATATCCGTGAGGATGTTCTTGACAACATACATATGTGAACTCCTCGTAGTTTGATTTGAAGACTTAAGCATGATGATGGGTTTCTACCTGTGTCAGATACCCAGCTGACAAGAAAATTAATATTATGTCTGATGATGCGGAGAGTACGTCTTATACAGTTAATAATAGTAATCCTTGTATTTGATATAGAACCTTATCATGCTGTTGAGACGTCTCAAAGCGTTTCTCAGAATATATTGTAAAGTGGATTGATTCTATTTTGTGGGTGAAATGCAACAGCCAATTGCGCACAGCAGTGTCCCACAAGCAGTCATGGATTGAGTGATTTTTTTTTGAGGAATTATTCCCACTGGAAAGCGATCCATCAATCAACTAGCAACCTGGTTCATACTTACTACTAGGCAAACAGAGTCACGTGGAGTAACGAAACTTGGCTCAAGTTTTGCTCTACCTGGGTTCAAACCTAGGTCCTCTTGTTTGCGAGGGGAACGCATTAACCACTATGCTACGGGACTCCACCTATATCAGTTATATCACAGTTATATCATAGCAATTGGTGATTGCACTTTGAAATGGGTCCAGACAACAAGTGCATCGTATTCAATTGGAAAAGAAATGAGGGTAGAGCAAAATAGAATAGGAGAAATCAAATGCATGGAATGAGACATTTATGTGCAATCATTGATCATTTGCTGAAACCAGCGTGAAGCAGTTTTCAACAAGACTTGCTCGCTCACTCACAGCACCATCTCAAGGGCACAGATTATAAATTGTTACAAGTTATTCCAACTGTGTACAAATGAATGAGGCCAAGTTTGCAATTGTTTGCAGTTTTGGGCATTGAACCTTCAAACCGAACATTCCTAGCTATTTCCAATGGCCTTGAGAAACTGAGCAAGGCAAGTGCAGAATAATAATATAATAATAATAATAATCCTTGCATTTGATATAGCGCTTTTCACATCGGGAGGACGTCCCAAAGCGCTTCACAGAACACACTGTAAAGTGAGTTGACTGTATATTTGTGGGCAAACGCGGCAGCCAATTGCGCAGAGCAATGTCCCACAAACAGTCGTAGATTGAAAATGACCAATTTAATTATAGTTTTTGGTTTTTGGAGGGATTATTATTAGGCTCTGTGTGGAGTAAGGAAACTTGCCCAAGGTTTCGCCCTCTGCCTGGAATTGAACTCAGGTCTCTCACTTGCAAAGCGAGTGCTCTAACCACTGAGCTACAGGACTCCAAAGCACTTTGCAGGATAAATTGGCCCAAGTGCCCAGGATAAAGTGCCCAAGGTTCAGTCTTCTGAGTTAGGGGATCACAACTCAAAAAATTAGAGGGGGGTACGATTGTGGGACATTGCTGTGTCGTGTTTGCCTACTAAAAAACAGGCACCGTATTTGACAGTAATGCAGTGAACCACGTTGAGACGTTGAGACATTTCGCCATGATTAAGACAATATAAAAATATGTATTTCTTTCTAAAATTGCTGAGTTAGGGGATCACAATGACGTCTGGGAATGGGAGAAAGGCAAGAAAAGAAGCTAAAAGTCGCAGTCAAACTGGTATTTAGTGACATGTGGACAGGAAAGAACAGAATCAAGGTGTAATGCCTTCAAAGTTGCTCAAATGAAAAATAGTTACTTGGGAAAGTGAATGTTACCCACAATCTTCAGAAAAGGCAAAAAAAATTAGAGGGGAGTAAGATTGTGGGACATTGCTGTATCGTATTTGCGTACAAAATAACAGGCACTGTATTTGACAGTAATACAGTGAACCACGTTGAGACATTTCGCCATGATTAAGACAATATAAAAATATGTATTTCTTTCTAAAATTGCTTTTGTGGAAAGAATTGTGAACAAAATCAACAAGGAGGACTCCAGAGTATAGGCTTTAAATTTTTACACAGACTGAACTTGCTTTGGATGCAGAACAAAATATTCAGGATTGACGCAGCTTTTAAATTGATAGGAGGAATGAAGAGTGGAGCTGTAAGCATGTCATTTAACTTTGACTTTCAGCACAGAAGGAGAACACAAATGTAAAAGTAGCAAATGTAAGACCAGAATATTGAATGTATGGAGAAGCTACCCAGCAAGAGCAGTCAAACCATTGAGAAAAACAATTGATTGGAACTGGAGGGGGCTGGCTTAACAAAAATCCAAGCAAACCAGGAATAAATAATGTACAACAACTTGAACTGATGCAGCACCTTCCACATAAGATAATGTCTCAAAATGATTTACAAAGACAATGGGCATCACTGAGCAGGGTGGGAAGAAGAAGGATTTAGAGGACAACGATTTTATTCTGGCCAGCCACCATCTTTCCCCCCAAAATGGTCAGTTACTGTTGGAAATTGCTATGCCCAAATTGGCTGACGCCAATTTATCCTGCAAAGTGCTTTGGGACATCCTCCTGATGTAAAAGGTGCTTTTAAAAATAGGGATTACTACTGTTTATGACAATCAAAACTACTGTTCAAGAGATAAGTTTTGAAGAGGGTTTGAATTGCAAGGAGATGTCGCCAGTTGAGTCACAATAGAGGTAATTGTTCAGTTTGGTTGGGGAATGTGCTTGATAGTCTGAGTGTCCTCTCCCGCACCAAACTCCGTGACCCCATCTCCCCCACTCACGCCCAACTCCATTGGTTCCCTATCCTTCAGAGGATCCAGTTCAAGATCCTGGTCCTCACATACAAAGCCCGCCATGGCCTCGCCCCAACCTATCTCTGCGACCTCCTAACCCCCTACCAACCCGCCCGTTCCTTCCGGTCAGCCGGCTCTGGCCTGCTCGACGTCCCCTGACCCACCCGCCTCACCATTGGCAGGAGAGCCTTCAGCCACTCTGCTCCCAATCTCTGGAATTCCATCCCCCAGTCACTCCGCCTCACCCCCTCCTTAGCCTCCTTCAAGTCCCGCCTCAAGACCCTCCTCTTCGACCATGCCATCAGCCACCCCCCTTCCCCTCCCCTCCCTTACCCCCCCAACCCCAGCTCGGGTCTGAAATGCCGTGCTCTGTCCAGCGCCTTGGGACGTCCTCCTGATGTGAAGGTACTATGCAAATATAATCTTGTTGTTGTTACCCATTTTTCTTGAATACTAATAATCGTTGATTTGATGTAGCACCTTATCACATTGTTAAAGCGCTTCACAGAATATATTGGAAAGTGGATTGATTCTGTTTTTTTGTGGGCGAAACGCGCGGCAGACAACCTCCTTACATTTTATCGGTTGGGGGGAATGGAGCAGAAGCCCATCCTCCTGGGTAGTCCCTCCCTCATCCCGCTGCAGAAAATGCACACCGATGCCTCTCACTCTCATAGCCACTGAATCTTGGACTGCCCATGTCAGAGACTGGGTTACAGATGGCAAACGACACACTGATTTAAAATTCAATGGTGTTATATCATGCATGCAAACAGAGAAAGGGACAAAAGCTATTTCTACACACTATAGACGTTGTACTTACGGCTGTATCCAACCAGTGCTCCGATGGCCAAGATAAGGCTCACAGCCAACACTGGAGCTCGCTTGTGCAGTATATCAGATATCAGTCCTTGAATCATACCACCTTTTAAGAAAGAAAGGAAGAACCATGTTAAAGCTTCAGAAAGGGACAAGAAACAAGAACTTGCATTTTTATTATGCCCTTCACCAAAGAAAGTCTTGCATCATTTCATTGATAGGGTTGGATGCCAAGTGAGGAGGAAGGCAGTTGAAGAGACAGGTGCAGTTGAATAAATACAACAACAAAATTACATTTATAGAGCGCCTTTCATGTCGGGAAGACGTCCCATAGCGCTGAACAGTCAGGTGTCCGGGCCTAAATAGTAGGATTTGAAGATAAAAGGAGAGAGTGGAGAGCTAAGCAAGGAGTTTCAGAGACAAGGAGTATGATAGCTGATGGCACAGCCACCGATGGTGACGCAGAGGGGTCGAGGGAGAAGCAGCAGGCTTTTGTTCCTGAGTAAATAAGAGCAAGCTTGTGTTACTGATGAGCAGGGAACAAACTGCACAGAGAGGCCAGGGAGTGATTGGACATTAAGGGATTTGTATGTGTGAGTGAGGACCTTGATCAATCTGTTGAGATGTAGGGAGCCTGGCAAGGAATGCAGTGATGAGCATGCAGAATTTGGTGCAGGTGAGGATATGGGTGGCCGAGTTTTGTATCAGCTGCACCTTGTGGATGGTGGAACTGGGAGACCAGTGAGGAGCACATTGGAGAAATCAAAGTGGGAGGTGAGAAAGGTTTCTGTTCTATTTGGTGTGAGATAGGGGCAGAGGCGGGCGATGCAGCAGAGAAAATAATAATAATAATCCTTGCATTTGATATAGCGCCTTATCGTGTCTTCGAGACATCGCAAAGCTCTTCACAGAATATACTGTAAAGTGAATTGACTGTAAATTTTGTGGGCGAAATGCGGCAGCAGATTGCGCACAGCAGTGTCGCACAAACAGTCGTGGATTCAGTAACCAATTTTTTTTTTTGAAGAAATTATTAGCCCCGGAAAAGCAAACCGCCAATTGACTAACGACCGGGTTCCTACTTACTGCTAGGTAAACAGGGGCATGTGGAGTAAGGAAACTTGCCCAACGTTTCGCTTTGACCGGGAATCAAACCCAGGTCTCTCGCTCGCAAGGCGAGTGCTCCAACCGCTGAGCTACAATGAGACCATGAGATGGGAGGAAAGTGGAGAACGAGGGCCATCTGAAGATTGAACCAACTGCAGAGATTGGGCGTTGGTTCGGTGAGTCAGAGATAAACTGAAACTGAGGAGATCAGAACTGGAAGTGAGGAGATGCTGGCAGAGCATATTGTCCATGATAAGCTGCAGAAAGTTGGCCTTAATGCAAAACTTGGCCAGGCATTAATGCAAAACTTCACCCCCCACCCCCGTACACTAACCCGTTCTAAACTCTGTTCTGGCATCACACAAGTCCTCGCCAGGCTCCACTGGCTCCACATCAGAAAACGCATTGACTTCAAGATCCTCTCACTCGTCTACAAATTCATTCATGACTGGCACCTCCCTAACTCTCTGATGTGCTTACTCCTCACTCCACCAACCGCTGGCTCAACTCAGCTGGCTCCAGCTTGCTGCTTATCACTCAACCCATTCGTCCACAATCGGCAGACTAGCTTTCAGCTACTATGCCCCCAAACTCTTTCCCTCGATCCCTCCGCCTTGTTCGCTCCTTCGCCATTTTCAGATCTTGCCTGAAGACCTTCGACTGTGCTTAAAGTCACCCCACCCCTTGCCCCGGCTTTGCGTCAGGCTCCGCCACTGTTAAGCACTCCAAGATGCAGCCTCTCGTGAAGGGCGCTATATAAATGCAACTTGATATCTGACAGGCAGGTGGCCAACACATCACTGAGATTGTGACAAGAAGGATAAGTTGATAGAGGTGTCATCCATATGTATATAGAAACTGACCCCATGTTTGCAGATATTGTCAAGAGAAGGTACGTAGATAAAAAAGAGGGGTCGAAAGATAGAGCCCTGAGGTAATAACAATAATAATAATAATTCTTGCATTTGATATAGCACTTTTTACGTCAGGAGGACGTCCCAAAGCGCTTCACAGAACACACTGTAAAGTGAATTGACTGTATACTTGTGGGCGAACGCGGCAGCCAATTGCGCACAGCAATGTCCCACAATCAGTCGTAGATTGAAAATGACCAATTTAATTATTGTTTTTGTTTTTGGAGGGATTATTATTAGGCTGTGGAGTAAGGAAACTTGCCCAAGGTTTCGCCCTCTGCCTGGAATTGAACTCAGGTCTCTCGCTTGCAAAGCGAGTGCTCTAACCACTGAGCTGCAGGACTCCGATACGCTGCACATGACCATGGGAGGAAAGGAGGATAAACCACTGAACGATTCAAAGTGGAGGCAGTGCATCAAGTAGGAATTGAACAAAGTGAGTGTGGTCTCACAGAGGTAGATAATAATATAATAATAATCCTTCCATTTGATATAGTGCTTTTCATGTCTTCTCGACGTCTCAAAGCGCTTCGCAGAATATGCTATAAAGTGAATTGACTATATATTTGTGGGCGAAACGCGGCAGCCAATTGCGCACAACAATGTCCCACAAACAGTCGTGGATTGAAATGACCAATTTATTATTGCTTTGTTTTTTTGGAGGGATTATTATTAGGCATGTGGAGTAAGGAAACTTGACCAAGGTTTCACCCTGCCTGGAGTTGAACCCAGGTGTCTCGCTTGCAAGGCGAGTGCTCTAACCACTGAGCTACAGGACTCCAGATAAGGGAGAATAGGAAATCGAGGAGGATTTTTAACTGAAACTTTTACAACAAATTACATCTTTCACATCAGGAGGATGTCCCAAGGTGCTGTATAGTCAGGGATTTGTACCTGAACAGGGAGTTGGGATCAGGAAGGGTGGAGGGGTAGGAGGGTGGTCAAATGCACAGTCGAAGAGGAGGGTCTTGAGACATGCCTTGAAGGAGGCAAGGGAGGGAGCAAGGCGAAGGAACTGTGGGATTGAGTTCCAAAGGGTGGGGGCAGAGAGGATGAAGGCCCAACCGCTGATGGTGGGGTGGGCCGGGTGGGGAACCTGGAGCCTGCTGAGCGGAGCCTGCTGAGCAGAGAGAGCAGACAGGTTACTATGGCATTAGCTGGTCACAGAGGTAGGGAGGAGCAAGGCCACGGAGGAGATGTGGAGTCCTGTAGCTCAGTGGTTAGAGCACTCGCTTTGCAAGCGAGAGACCTGAGTTCAATTCCAGGCAGGGCGAAATCTTGGGCAAGTTTCCTTACTCCACACGCCTAAATAATAATCCCTCCAAAAAAACAAAACAATAATAAATTGGTCATTTTCAATCTACGACTGTTTGTGGGACATTGCTGTGCGCAATTGGCTGCCGCGCTCGCCCACAAATATACAGTCAATTCACTTTACAGTGTGTTCTGTGAAGCGCTTTGGGACGTCCTCCCAACGTGAAAAGTGCTATATCAAATGCAAGGATTATTATTACTATTATTATTATACTATCTAGCACTGCAGTGTGTTGGCTTCAACAGAATGGTCTGAATAGAAATCATAATAATAATCCTTGCATTTGATATATTGCCTTATCACATCACTGAGACGTCTCAAACCACTTCACAGAAGGTAGAGTTTTGTAGCTCAGTGGTTAGAGCACTTGCAAGCGAGAGGCCTGAGTTTGATTCTCAGCAGGGTGAAATATTGGGCAAGTTTCCTTACTCCACGTGCCTCTGATTACCTAGCAGTAAGTAGGAACCCGGTTGTTAGTTAATTGGCAGATCGCTTTTCCAGGGGAATAATTTAAAAAAATAATAAATTGGGTCACTTCAATCCACGATTGTTTGTGGAACACTGCTGTGCCTAATTGGCTGCCGCATTTCACCCACAAAATATGCAGTCAATTCACTTTACAATATATTCTGTAAAGCGCTTTGAGATTCTCGAAGATGTGATAAGGTGCTAAAGCAAATGCTAGGATTAACTGGATGGATTGACTGAATTTTGTGGGCCAAACGCGGCAGCCAATTACGCTTAGCAGTGTCCCACAAACAGTAGTGAATTGAATGACTAAATTTTTGTTTTTTTTGTTTGTGTGTTGTTTTTGGAAGGATTATTAGCCCTGGAGAGTGATCCTCCAATCGATGAACAACTGGATTCCTACTTATGGCAAGTTAAACAGAGGTGTGTGGAGTAAGGAAATCGAACTGTAAAGTGTAAATGTAAAGTGGATTGACTGTGTATTCTGTGGATAAAAAGTGGCAGATAATCTCACACAGCAGTGTCCCGCAAACAGTCGTGGATTGAGGGATTATTACCTCTGGCAAGCGATTCGCCAATCAACTAACAACCACGTTCCTAGTTACTGCTAGATAAACAGAAGCGTGTGGAGTAAGGAAACTTGCCTAAGGTGTCGTCTTGCACTAAAGCAGGTCCTCTTGCTAACCGCTATGCTATGGGAACACTTCTCATAAAGGCAGGTGAGAATGTCAAGTGCACTTGCCTGGAAGGCTGCAGCAACAATCGGGATGTTTAAAAGAGAATAATCCAGGCCAGAGATCAAATCTGCACAGTCTACCCGTTGAGGTGAATGTTAAAGATTCTCTTCTCCCTGTGTCCTGGTCAATCATCCCCGAAATAAAATTGTTCACACTCCACGGCTGTTTGTCGGACATTGCTGTGCACAACTGGCTGCTGCGCCTCACCCACAAAATACAGTCAATCCACTTTACAGCAAATGCTGCGAAGTGTTTTTGCACGTCCGCCTAACCTGAATGACGCTGTACCAAAAGAAGGATTATTATTATTTTTCTGCATTCCTGACACACTTTAATCTTGCAATGAACCAAAGTACCTAGAATTCCACCAACGTCGTACCAGATGGATAGTCTGTCTGCCTCCTCCTCCTTCCAATTGAATTTGCTGTGCAGGTAGAAGGGCAGCCAGAAGAAGAATGAATAATTCACCAGCTTCACACAGGCATAGGCAAGTGAGTACTGAAAAAAAACCCATTCACTTTAAACCAATGCAAACAGACCAAGCTTTCTAATCAGAGCTATAGAATCATTACCAACCAGTTTATAAAAGAAAGATTAAGTCAGACGTCTCATGGTTCTTGATGGTCCGAGTCAAAGTGTTTGAAACCTCAACAATGTACAGACTTAGAGAAAACTGTCAAATTTAGGCTTCGTTTGGAAGCCTTTATTTAAAAAAAACTGCAAAGAAAACTGCTTCCAAATAGAAAAAGTATAAGTAATAATGCTAAATTTTAAGACAATGTCCACAAGACAAGGACCAGGAGGAATTTCAGACCTCTGATTTTGCAGTTCAGGTTGCAAAATGTTCATTCCCACAGAACAGAGGTCAGAAATTACACAAAAATTAGCCTGTAAAACAGTCTTCAAACCAAATCTTACATTTTCAGGAGAAATGGTCTTACAAGACTTGTTTCAACTCTCTTCTGAAGGTCGGAATCTCTGATAATTGATAAGAATATCAGCCAAGACCCGGAGCTCAGGCTCAGAATCTTCTCACCCAGAGGCAAGAGTGCTCCCAACTTTGATAAACTAAAAAATTTAATGTTTATCACATGGGAAATCACAATATAACTCCAGAACATAGTACTTCAAGAACATCTCACCAGCAACACCCCTGGCAGGCAGCAGGCCTGCAGGAAGCCAATGGGTGGAGGCTTTGCTGTGGAGCTCTCCTGGACTGTGTGATTTCTCTCGCAATAATCCTCAGCAAAGGAGTTATCCATCAGTGGTCTGCGAACCTCCTGGTCCAGGTACTCATTTCTGTGGGCAGTGGTGTTGTCTTCATCCTCGGTTGGTGCAGGAAGACCTGGTAAGCGGATCATGGGAAGGAAAGGGAAGGATTAGTAAATAAAATGATAAACCTGCAAGTTTACAAATATTTAATCCTGTAAGTACAATTATGTGTTTCATTGCGATGGGGGAGGAAAATAAATTTGCAGGTTCAGTTCAGGAGTTCAGCTCAGAAAAGTAGAATTAAGATTAAAGGCAGAAGTGTTTTACAGCTCAGGTCCACAGCAATTTCAATCTCAAGAGTCACAGCAACTCTCCTTTGTAATTTGCTTGTCTGCCCACAAAATAGTAATAGAAGTGATGTAATTTGGGACAGGAGATTTCAGTGATAGATCACAAGTGGAAATCGGAGTGTTCCACAGCTGAACTCAGGAAGCTCTCACTTTCCTCTACAAGATTTTTATCACATGGGGAATCACAGTATAACTTGATTAGTGGATCACTTTCCGGGGATGATAATCCCCAGGAGTCCTGTAGTGTGGTGGTTGGCACACTCGCCTCGCAAGTGAGGGGACCTGGGTTTGACTCCTGTGCGGGGCAAAACCTTAGGCAAGTTTCCTTACTCCACACCTCTCTCTGTTTACCTAGCAATAAGTAGGAACCAAGTTGTTAGTTGATTTTGCTTTCCGAAGTAATAATCCCATCAAAAAATAATTGACTCAATCCACACCCATTTGTGGGACACTGCTGTCCGCAAATGGAAGTCACGTTTCGCCCACAAAATACACAGTCAATCCACTTTACAATACATTCTGAGAAGCGCTTTGAGACGTCTCATCGACATGATAAGAAGCTATATCAAATACAAGGCTTATTTATATTATTATAAGAGCAGAAAAGGACTCAACACATTCAATATCAATGAAATGTACCTGCACAAGTAAGATCTCAACACCCTGTAATATAAACATTTACCAAGGTTTGTCAGTATGACTATATAGTGCACGCCCAGAGTGTATGTTATCATAGAATGTTACATTTAACAATAATAATCCTTGCATTTGGTATAAAGCCTTATCATAAAGCCTGGCTGCCCTACCATCGGCGGCCAAGCTTTCAGCTTCTCTGACCTTTGCAACTCTATCCCACAATCACTTTGCCTCGCTCCTTCGTTTGCCTCCTTCAAGGCACGACTCAATCTCCTTTTTGGCTGTGCCTTCAGCCGAACCTCCTACCTCTTTACCCTCACCCATCCGATCCCTGCCCTCCATGCTTGGATCCTAATCCCTGACTGTTCAGGCCTTGGGACGTCCTCCCAATGTGAAAGGCACTTTACAAATGTAATTTTGTTGGTGTTGTTATCAGTTTGTCTGGACAGCTCAAAGTGCTTCACAGGACATCATGTAAAAGTGAATTGACTGACTGTATTTGTAGGCGAAATGTGATTGAGTGACCAATTTTAACTGGGGCAATGTTGGCCATGGCACAGGGAGAAACACCCTTCTCTTTTTGAAAAGTGCCATGGGATCTTTCACATCCACATGAACAGACAGATGGGACCTCGGTTTAACATCTGATGTGAAGAACGTCACATCTGATAATGCAACACCCCCCAGCATTGCATTGGAGCATCAGTTTAGACTAAGTGATTCCAAATCCTGACGTGGGTCTTGATCGACAACATTCTGACTCAGAGTTGCGAGGGCTACCACTGAGCCAGGCTTTGAAAGGAAACAGACCATTCATGTCTGCACTGATGTTTTTTCCATATTAGCCACCTGATCTAATCCAATTCTGCTGATCTCTCCATATATAATTTCATATTGTTCTATCTATTTATTTTCCTTTTGGAAGATCTGCTTCAACTGTAGTTTGTGCCAGAGAATTTCATATTCCAACCACTCGCTGGACGTGGTGTGTACATACAGCATGATTTCTTTAAAGGGTAACCCACTGTGAATAAAGATGAGGTGTTCTACTTATTGCTTATCCCCTCATAACAATATCCTTGCATTTGATGCAGCACCTTATCACGTTGTTGAGACGTCTCAAAGCGCTTCACAGGACATACTATAATGTGGAGTGACTGTATTTTGTAGGTGAAACGCGGCAGCTGACAGCTGTGTCTCACAAACAGTCGTAGATTGAGTGACCCAATTTTTTGGGGGGAGGCAGCATTATTACCTCTGGAAAGTGATCTGCTAGTCGACTAACAACTGGGTTCCTTCTTACTGCTAGGTGAACATAGGTGAGTGAAGTAAGGAAACTTGCCTAAGATTTTGCCTTGCCCAGGAATTCAGTGCTCTAGAAGACTCTACAGAGAGGATGCCATATGTTTGCCTAGAGACACCCAGTCACTACACTTGACAGCCATTGACAGCAAAATGTTCTCAGCCATTGTAGTGCTATAAGCTGAATTGAAGGCAAGCATTAGTATTGTTTCTGGAGATGAGACATTTCCTGATCTTGAAATGTGTCTACAAACAGGCCGTCAAATGGGGCGCTTTAGCACCAATTACTCAGTACAGGGGGCCCATTCTCCCCCTACCTCCCTTCCCTCGTTAAATGTTGGGCCAACTCCCACCCCTGCCCTCCCCTCCCCCACCTGGGAAAGCATTTCAAGGGCGTGGGGACTTGGCGGTGACTAACATGTGGATCCTACATGAAAAATGCACAACACAAAGGACTGCCCGGCATAGTAAAGTGTAGTGACTGTGTATTTTGTGGGCGAAACGCAACAGCCAATTGCGCACAGCAGTTTCCCACAAACAGTCATGGATTAAGTAACCAAGTTTTTTTTATTATTATTGTATTTTTAAAGGGATTATTACCCCTGGAAAAGCAATCTGCCAATCGACTAACAACTGGCTTCCCATTTACTGCTAGGTAAACAGAGGCGTGTGAAGTAAGGAAACTTGCCCAACGTTTCGCCCTGCCCAGAAATCAAACCCAGGGCCTCTCACTTGCGAGGCGAGTGCTCTAAACACTAAGCTAACAGGACTCCACAAAGCGGATGTATTGAAGCTTCTCATTTGTCTAGCCTACAGAAGCGGTTAACAAAATAGGTTAACAGTAGGTTAACAAAATCACAACTCTATGCTATACCCTATGCCAAGTTATACCTTCCATGGAAGCTTTCAAAGCAGTTACACAATAGACCAGTCTCTCTCTTCTAACAACAACAACAAAATTAAATTTGTATAGTGTCTTTCACGTCGGGAGGACGTCCTAAGGCGCTGGAAGACTATCTCCTGTGCTGATTCCAGTTACATTGGGTTGATGCCTCACTTCAAATATTTAATTTTGAAATATAGCTTTAGCATGGATTCAAAGAGGATATAGTTTATTTAATGTATTGTGGATACTGTCGCTGAGAGGTCCATCTAACACAATAGGAACAAACTGGTGAAAGTCAAGGTTCTTGGAAAGATGATTCAGATCCTCTTTGAGGCAAAGCTATTGAGGCGAGGCTGTTATCAGATGAAATTTACAAGTACAATTTGCTGTAATGTGTGCATCAACAGCAAGTCACACGACGGAGATCAGTGATCTGAAATTCTTGAGGGATTATAATCGCGTATTGCCAATGTCGCTAAACACAACATCAACAGGATTTTCAGTCTCACTGAACAAGAGAGGAATTATGCAGTTGATACCAATATAACTTTGGTTACTTTGATGTGTAGACCCCACACTCACTGAGGATGTGCATCTTTTGAATACATGCATTTGTGTAAAAAGGTTAATATTATCTGCACATAAAACAATAATACTCCAGGGAGTGTCCCTGCACAGAAGTCTAAAGCTCCTGTTGTAAAGCCTTTCACTATTATAACAGCTGGCGTTTAAAGCTTAGGGTGAGCTCCTGATCAAACTTAGGCTACATCTCCCATCACCACCGGTTTTCCTTCTAACTCTCAATGAAATATTTTTACAGTAATATATATTGCGTGTGTATTTATTTGTATGGGAGTAGGTATAACTAGGGAGGTGCACATAAAATGTGGAAATGTAAATTGAAGCGAATACTTTTTCATAAGAAAATTTATACCTGATAAGCATTTAAGATAAAAAACCTCAGCTATCCTGCCAAAAGCAAAGGATTATGTTTGTCAACTTTTCAGGTCTAAAGTACACTAAATGTAAATAATACAAAGGAACCTGTTGTTTATGTCATCATGGCCATGAAGTGAAACAACGCACCGATGGAGTTACTATTTTCTTGGATGTGTGCTCTTTTCTTAACTTCTGCACTTACCTACTTCCTTTGGGGAACTCAACAATCCAAAAAACACCACCACTCCCCCAGCAAACAACAGTGCATTGGTCACCAGAAAGGCATACTATAAGAGAGGTGGCAAAGAGAATTAGCTACATCATAAGAACTGCAAAAGATCTTCCCCAGGGATCGCCAACTGGTCAATCACCACTAGGTGGCGATCTTGGGCATGATCAAAAAGACAAGAGGAAGGAGCGATAGAACTGTGTAGTTATTTTCTACAATTGAAAACTAAGTCAGATGCACAAAGTATTTCCTGCATCTCAAAATAAAAATATAAATTCTAATGTTTAAACTGTGGTAAATATCGCTCCTTTCTCTTGTTTTTATTGAACACGTGCGAGATGACACCAGGAAACTCCTGGTCTACACACAACTTCACAACACAGGCACAGGCCTTGGAATAGCCGACTTAAGTAGCTCTTGAAACAGAAGTTAAGTCTTTTCCAATCCTTGACCTAATTGTTCCTACAATTCACAGAGCAGACTGAAAGCAGAAATTTCCCGGTAACATTTCCCAGACACCTTTGTTTTAAATTGTACTGTGCTTGAGCATTAAAAGTGTGCCAGTCATTACATGGCCAGCACCTTCCTTCTATAAACCATGTTCTAATTTACCAGGTCAAAGAACACAAAGTACTTATGCTGTGACTGCACATGGTGGCATTGAAGAACATGAATGCACAAAAGCAAAAGATTGATGTAAGATTTAGAATGGTTAGACAATTGAGCAGTCACATTGGAAATGTATTGCAACACTTACAGTGTTACAAATAGTAACTATGGAAGAAAAGTTTGCAATGAATTCAACAGGAGATGAGGTTAATAAGTAATGGACATGTCACTTTCAATGCTCACATGTATGGAATTCTGGGCAATGCAACGAATCAGTACAAATCTATAGAGAAGAAATCAACGCAGCGCTCCCCTGGCACTGTGTTGAAGTGTTAACCTAAATTCTGAGTTCAAAGACCTTACAAAGGTGATTGAATACACAACCTTGTGACACAGAGGTGAGCCAGGCTGACAAGAGCCACGATTTAGCATGACCTATTTGAAGCTGAGTGGTCTCCAATTCGATATGCCTGCCAATGTATTGTGGGAATTGAATTGCATCTGTGGAAGTCTTGATCTTCCAATACGTTAGCCAGACAGGTTCACGGTTTTCCAAGCCACTGTTGATGACAGACAAGCCAGCATCTCCAGGATCGCTTCTATTTGTATAGCGCTTTTCACATCAGGAGGACGTCCAAAGGTGCTGGACAGTCAGTAATTTCAGTGACAGCCAACATGGTTTGTCGGCAATACCTGGGAGGAGCAGATCAGTCACCAGGCGCAGGAATTATTTCCACCTGGCTCCTTAATCCAGCAATGTAAAACAGATTGGGTAGTGATACACAAATGTAATTTGTTGTTGTTGATGGACAACCAGTACGAAGCTTGTCATTGTTCGTAATGGCAAGTTACATGGTGCTAATGAGTTCCAGCAGTATCCAAATGCTCATTTTGGGGTACCCAAATCTTGGCTCGTCAGTAAGTTTCAGCCTGGTTCAGTTAGTTGCACGCTCAACTCTGAGTCACAAGGATGTGAGTTTGGTAAACAGGATATTCATTTCATTGCAATTTGTATGCCAATTGACTGCTACATTTGCCTAGAAAATACACGGTCACCACACAACAAAAATGAGCAATTACTTGTGAAGCATCTGGAGACATTGAGGTTTGGGGGCAATGACACATGAATGGATTATTATTATTAATGAGCTAAATGGGTTACCGGAAAGGTTAACAAAAGGACATGGGTTTAGGTTTCCAAACAATAATTTCTTATGGACATGGGGAAATGCTTCATTAGTTTGAGGGTACTTAACCAAAAATATTTTTACATTTATATAGCTGCTTGCACATCGAGAGGATTTATCAAAGTACTTCTCAGAGCCTAGGAGCCTGAGCTTTGGTGGGGTGGGGAGCTGAGGAAGGAGTTGGGGGAAAAGCAGAAAAAAAACATGGTCACAAAGAAGGAGTTAAGATGTGCTTCAAAGGTGGGGCTAAAGTGCTGGGACTCCAGGATGAAGTTATGAATGCTCAAAGGACCACCGTAAAACAAAAAAATTAATATCAGGAGTTATGAACGATATTTGGGAGGAAAATATTCACAATACAATTGTATTCCATGATGGGAGAATGAATTTCTGAGAGTGGCGAAGTTTGGTGGGATGATTGGTCATTTTTCATATTCTTCTTCCCGGGATTGAACAACAGGTCAATTTTACAAGGCTGTGGTAATAATCTCGAGTGGCTGTACAGTACGCCTAATAATAATCCCTCCAAAACAAAAAAACAATAATAAATTGGTCATTTTCAATCTACCACTGTTTGCGGGACATTGCTGTGCACAATTGGCTGCTGTGTTCGCCCACAAATATACAGTCAATTCACTTTACAGTATATTCTGTGAAGCGCTTTGAGACATCTAGAAGACGTGAAAAGCGCTATATCAAATGCAAGGATTATTATTATTACAGAGAATTGGCATAGATACAAACTCTGCAGCGCCACCAGTTGAAGCGTGCTGATAGTGCAGGCATTTGAGACAAGTGTTTTTATAGTGAATGTAGGCATTGATTGCTACCTTCATTGAGCCTCATCTCTATACTGCTACCTTCATCGTCACTCATCAGTATAGAGATGACAAATCCTTCCTGCTCCTCGATACTGATCTTGGTGCTCAATCCCAAGGGCCAGGAACCATATTCAAATGCAATGCAGACATAAGATTGATTGAGGACATCATGAACAAACAATACCTGCAGAGTGGGGCTAGAGGCAGCTGGACGTTACACTGCCTTTATACACAAGCACAGTGGAGCTCCAGCCAAATAAACAAATAATAAAGAATAATAATCCTTGATTTGAAATAGTGTTTTACATTAGGGGAGGATGTCTCAATGCATTTCATAGGATTCACTGTGAAGTGAGGTGAATGTATCTGAAGCAAACCTGGCAACCAATTAGTGCACAGCAATGTCTCACAAACAGTTGTAAAGGGATTATTGGCAGGACACCAGGAGAGAGAAACTTCCTCTTTGAGTGTGCCACAGAATCTTTAACATTCACCTAAACAGGCAGACGAGACCTCGGTTTAACATCTCATGCAAAGAATGCCACCTCCAGAAATGTAGCCTAGACTATGAGCTCCAAGCATCAATGCTGGACAGAGATAAGACCGCGACCAACTGAGGCAAGCTGACACCTGACACACCCTTGAAAGACACTGAGCCCTCTGCAGTATTCACGATTACAAAGTGATTCCCGCATACCGCTATTGAACACATTTTTTTTTAGAAGCAGTGGATCATTCATCAGGTACAAATTCCGCATTAAGGCCCAAACCTACCTCATAGCCAAACTTTAGGACAGAGGCAACAAGGAATGCTCCAAGGATGTTCCCCACAGAGGCACAGGCGCTCCAGATCCCGAACAGAAAGCCACGCCTGGTAAAGCACACAGCATTCAGCACCTTTTAAACTTCTGAAAAAGCCTCCAATTGAAAGGCAGCAATAAGTGTGTAAAAAATGGATCATAGAAAATGGTTACAAAAACTGATTTCAAGCAGAATTTCTGAATAAATATTTCTAAATTGTGAATGGAAAATTCCTTCTGGTAACCAGAATTGCATCAGGCTGACCTGTGGGAACTAATGTCCCAAAGATAATTGTGAACAAGAGAATAGAATTCTCTTCTAAGGCAGGATGTATTTCCTGGAACAGGAGGAATTACATTTTTGCGACTAGAATGCTTTCTAACATCTTTAAAACCGTCCTTTCTTAAAGATAGAAATGGGTTCCAAGATTGAACCTTATGGAGTTATTTGGATAATTTTAATATTAATAATAATCCATTTGATATTACGCTTTATCACGTCGTCGAGGCATCTCAAAGTGCTTCACAGGATATTCTGTAAAGGGGATTGACTATATATTTTTTGAGGCGATACGTGGCAGCCAATTTTGGGCACAGCAATGTCCCACAAACAACCATGGAGCTAGCGACCAATTGTATTTGGGGGATTGTTGGCCAGGACACTGGAGAGAGAAACCTCCTTCTCTTTTAAAATAGCTTCATGGGATCTTTAATGTCAACCTGAACAGGCAGTCAGGGCCTTGGTTTACCGTTTCACCCAAAGCATGGTGCCTCCGATAATGCAACACACCCCCAGCACTGCATAGGAGTGTCAGCTTAGAAGACTATGTGATTCCAAGTACCGACGTGGGACTTGAACCCACAATCATCTGATTCAGAGATGAAAGTTCTACCACTCCGCCAGGCTATTGTATCAAGTAAGGGATCTCCTGGAGCAAATTTGAAATGGGAATCGAATTGAACAGAGGTACATACCCAGCCTTTCCAAACCAGTTGCCCAAGATAGCAACGACACAGGGCCAGCCTGTGGACTGCAGCAATCCAACCAGAATCCAGAGAAAACAGTATAGGTACTTGTTATAGAGATGAAACCACTCCAAGACCGTGCCAAACAGAAACATCTGGAAAAACAAGAGTGTCTTTAAACCACAAGGGGAAGCATACCACAAACGCCACTCATAAACACTGTCCCCCAACCACCCCCATCTTTCAACACCTACCCCAGCGGATGTCAACACCCAGGAGAGGAAAAAAGGATAGTACTATATTCTCTTTCAGATATCCACCCCAATAATCAAACTGTGCGCGGTTCCGCAGTGTTCCAGGGCATCTGCTGATGACAGAACAGCCAGCCTGGCTCATTGGCAGGACTTGGAATGGCAGACCAGTCATTGGGGGCAGGGAATCATCCCACTGTTAACCCCGCAAGACAAAGCCCAAACAAGTAGTGGTCCAAGCTGGACAAGCAGCGGGAAAGCTTGTCAGACAGCGATATCAATGGCACACTGTACGGTTTTAGCTTGTTAAACTCCAGCAGTACCCCATGCACACTCGGGGGTCCCCAAGTCTCGGCTTTTGCCTCATACTTTCTGGAATTAGGTCATCAAATGCGTCCCACCAGGGAGAGAGGGCACATTCCATTCCAACAAATTATCTCTGGAATTTCCTGTATAGGTGGGATGCATAGAAATCTCAGCTTGGTTTGGATGATGATGGATTTCTGCATGTGTCAGATACTTGGCTGACCAAAAAGAGAGAAAGGAAAGACACTTTGTAAAAGCAAATGTGTACTTACGACAAGAGCAGATAAACACATTCCAAATGAAAGAATCAGGCGTGGATTTAAACGATCGCCAAAAAATCCACTGATATACAAGCCCTTGGAAGAGAAACAAAAAGGTGAGTTCTACAAGCATCAAAGCTGAGTACCACTGGGAAAGGCCTTTTCCCTTTCCATTTCCATCAAGGAGAGGAGAAGCACACTTGATATTGGATCTCCCCGCAACAGGTCACGTCATGCCTGTCACCCTGCATACAATTGTAGTTGTTCACAAAACAGCCAAGACATGGACGAGGAACTCCAGCGTCTCACTCTAAATCGTGCAAGGTGATGTGGCAGAGGTTGGGAGGAGGCAATGAAGTGAAGAGAACCAACTAATACAGGACACAGAACAACACAAAGCTACAGTATTTCATGACAACAATTTACATTTAAACAATGTCTAGAACATCTGTAGGACGTCTCTGAGAACTTCACACAGCTGACTGGGCGCCAAAACTGGGGGGGGGGGAAGGAGGAGCTGAAAGGGATTGGAACTTGGCCAAAAGCACAGTAAAAAAGACATGTGATTAGGCAGTTTTTGTAGACGGGTAAGGAAGGGTCGAGGCAGAGGAACTCCAGAATGGAATTCCAGAGAGTAGGGGCAGAATGGATGAAAGTTCATCCTCTGTGGGGTGGATCAGCAGGGGACGTGAAGAAGGCCCTTGCTTGCTGAATAGATGTGGGAGTCGGGATTCATGAGGTCACAGAGGTAGAATAGAGCAAGACTTTGTGGACGAGGATCCTGAATTTGATCCTTTGAGAGGTGTGGAGGTGGGAAGCCAGTGGAGCCAAGCGAAGATGGAAGTGATCGGCTCACAGAGTCTAGTGTGGGAGAGGACATGAGCTGCAGGACACGTCAGGATTTGCAACATAAATGTCTGAAAGCAAGCTACACCCATCAAAGTGATGGATTATTACAAAATGATCTTACTCACCACAGCATAAGCAAAGAGGAAAAGGGTGTCAAGGAAGCCAAGGAAGAGAGTGGCTTCTGCCGCATCTGCAAACAGGTGATTTTTGTTCCAAATCTTTAAAATAATAGAAACATACAAATTGCTTAACTGGTGAATGATTAATGTTCTGACCATATAGAGCTTCTTGCTACAATTGTAGAATCACAGAGTATACAACAATTTATACTTTATTTACATTTCACAATTTTACAATTTCCGTTTCACATAGAACCTCTCAAATAAGAGCCTGAGTTGGGAAGGAGGTGGCCAAAGGCACCATTGAAATGAGGTTTTGTGGAAGGATATTAGGTGTGAGTTTCTGAGTATTGGGAAACATGGTTGAAAGCTGATGATCACTGAAACAAGGTCCTCCTCCACACTTTAGAATCTCTCCAGTCTTGCCCCATTCTATTTTCTTTTCCGTGGTTCTTCACACAAGTCGCCTTATCAAATTCTCTTGCTCATTTCCATATCCTTTTATAGTCGCCTCTTCCCCTCCTCACCTGCTCAGCTCCTACCCTCATCTGCAGTTCCCAGCCAGAATTACTTTGGGATGCCCTCCTCACAGGAAAGGCACTATACAGGTGTAAATTGTGCTTCAAATATCTGCATTATTCTGTTTTAAGAATTTACGAACTTTGCCTCAAAATTCCATTTTTAGGATTCATGCCAAATCTGTGTTCTAAATCTAGAAAGCAAAGCCTCAGTTCTCCAACCCCAAAGGTAAAGATAGATTCCCTAAAATAGAATGTCAATGATTCGATAAGGCACTATATCAAATGCAAGGATTATTATTGATTATTTATCCATTGGATTCACAAAGCTCTGTAAGTATCTTCCTAGAAGAGAAAGGCACAAGCTTGCAGTTCTAAAATAGGGTGTGGATTGTATCAGAGCTTGTCAGTCAGTTAGTACCTGATCTGGGTGGAGACCAATGGTTGTGGAGTTACGGAAGGAAGGTATCCACTGGTTGGAGATACTGACTTTCACATTGCTGAAGGTCTTTCGTGTGGCATGGAAGAGTGCATAACTGTAAGAGAAACCAAACAGCGGAATTACAGCGACCATTTCACCACCCTCCAGATAACCCTCAGCTCCCACAAATGCATTCCCCTCAATTATTAATCCATATTTCCACAAGATTTCTCCTTCTGCAGTGAAACTTTGTTTCTATGAACCTTTCATCTGCTTAAAGGCTACACTGACAACTGCAGGTCTGAATTTGAGTTACAGCATGTAACATGTACAGCATGTTATTTCTCTGAAGCAGAGCCAAAATTGCAATGCAACTTCTCTGAAACAGAGCTACAGTGTGCAATGTTCTGTCTGAAGTGGTGCCACAATATGCAATGCTCTGACTCAAAGGTGGAGTCACTGAATACAATACTATGTCTCTAAGATCCTCTATGAACGGAGTTGGAGGTGATGGAAAGCTTCCAAATCAGGAAATAGGAAATAGCCCAAGAACACTGGAAATCAAAATGTCTAAACTAAATCGTGCTCAAACCTCACCTGACGAATGTCAGCAGAAAGACAGATGCATGGTGATGCGTGAACTGGCTCAGAAAACCCCGGCGTGGGGTGGGCGTCATCATTCTGCACAAAGATCAAACAACCAATCCCTCATCAATGACCTGAAAAATAATTGAATTGGAAAAAATACTTCAGATTCAAAGTTTGTTTCAAACAGAGTTCTTAGACCCAGGTAGAAAGGATTTTTTTTCCACAATCTCAGCCAGTTGTTCTTTAAAAGATTTCTGAGCTTGTGCTCAATGCTAGAGAATGATACAGATGTAAATGATATTTACATCATATTTAAATGATATTTACATCTAATCATTCAGCGACCATGCAGATGCAGCACAATTTAGCTGTACATGAAGCAGTTGCAAAATCTACTTTGCACAAATTCCATCTGGTCTTCAGATCACCAATTTTACATTTAAAAATACCTTACCAATCCAAATCCTTGGATTTGATACAGCACATATAACTCTGAAACATCTCAAAGCATTTCACAGGTAATTGCTGTCAAGTTAATAACTCTGAAGATGTAGGCCAATATACGAGACAATTTGCACACAGAAAAGTCCTATAAAGTCCATTTTTTTTGTTATGAGTTGTATAGATCTATATATCTAAGTCTTCATCAGTGAGCCACAAAAGTTAGTGTTTGCTGGTTAGTCACATCACTAATTCTCTTCTCATCAAATGTGCACTTCCAGCAAGGTTGGTGACCAAGTTTGAATTTTGGATTGATTATTCTCCTTTCTCAACCCAGAGGCATTGAGGCCACTTCCAGCAATGGAAGGAATACTCTGAACTAGACTTTCGTTTTTTAATCGGCCCTCAACAGTTTAAGCCAGGGGTGGGCAATTATTTTGACTAGCGGGCCACTTCACGAGTTTTCTTAAGCTTTGCGCGTCACACACTTAATATAGATCCAAATGCTTAATAATAGCTTAAAATCAACTCTTACACTGGTACATAAAATAAAGTCTATATAATTGACATTCATTAAAATTAGGTTAAATAAAAACAACTCAATGAGCAGACATTTATTCGATATTTAGTCACATATTGATGAGAATGTGAGAAGCTCACTCAATGGGAAGAATGAAAGCGCTGATATATGTTAACCAGACAATTGAAGTCAGACATCGTCTCCGTTGTTGCAATGCGGAGTACTGCTGCAAGGTGGTCATCAGTCATCGCCGATCTATGTTTTAAGTTTTTGAATTTCATCACAGAAAATGTCTCCAACCATATGTATGTTGATCCAAACAGGACAAGCATCCTCCGGGCACAAGCCTTTATTTTTTGAAAGGTATATTCATTAAGAGAGGCGTAAACACTGGGTAGCAGCACTGATTTGAATTGCTCCGCAAGACATGGATCACATTGCAGGTCAATAAGCTCAAGTTAGAGGTCAAATGGGGCTTTGTCAACATCAAATGAGAAAGGTGAATAGACCAAAGACAGGTCATTTTCGATCAAATTGAAATCCTGGAATTGGCGAGAAAATGCGGCATGTAAGTCAAGTAGTGACGAAGTATACTTTTTAAAGTTTTGATCGCAAACAGTAATCTGCTGCAAAGTTGGAAAGTGGGCGAACAGGCTGTTTCCTCTCTGACGCGATAAAATAAATAATTTTGTTATAAATTACTTGACACTGCAATACAAATCGTGCACACAAGCCCTCTTCCGTTGCTGTTTTGAATTCAGTTCATTCATGTGGCCCATGATATCAACGGCAAATGCGAAATCCGAGAGCCAATTCGTATCGTTCAGCTGTGGGAAATCCGAATCTTTTTGTTTCATGTCCAAAAATAAATCAATCTCTGCTCTCAGTTCCCACACTCTTTTCAAGACCTTTCCTAAACTAAGCCATCTTACATTCGTGTGATACAGAACATCCATATGCTCAGATTGCAATTCCTCAAGCAGAGTTACAAATTGCCTGTGGTTAAATCCTCTTGTTTGAATGTAGTTGACCACTTTCGTAACTGTGTCCATGACATTGCTTAGTTTTAGAACACTCTTACAGAGGAACTCTTGGTGGATAATGCATTGTAGAAAACAATATTCTGTTCTGGATTTGTTTCTTTGACTTGATCTTGAATTCTTTTCAATAACCCAACATTTTTGCCTGTCAGATTTGGGCTTCCATCGGTGGTCACATTCACCAATTTTTTCCATTCCACTCCTAATTTTAAGAAACACTTATTTACTGCCTCCAAAAAGTCTTCTTCAGTTGTCCTATCTTTCACTGACTGCACTGATGCCAATTCTTCTTTAAGCTCAAAATGTTTGGTGATACCTCAAATAAAAATTATCAACTGGGCTGTGTCTTTGACATCACAACTTTCATCGAGTGCCAGTGAAAATCATGCAAAATTGCTTAATTTATTTTTTAACTGCAGATACAGGTTCTCAGAGATACCCTCGACACATCTCACAATAGTTCACCTTGACAGGCTAATGTTCTTGAACTGTTTTTTCTCGTCTGGACATAAAATCGAGGGAGAGTCAATCATACATACCTTTATAAATCTCCTTCAGAGAATGGTTTGCTGTTCTTGGCGATTTTGTGTACAATCACTTAACTCACTCTTGTAATCTCTTCCTAGGACGCAAATTGTTTTGTGAAAATGCTTTGCTCTTTTTGCATTCGAACAACCATCTCATTAGCTTTCTTTCCTTTTTCTTCGGCAGAAAGCTTCTTATATTTTCAAGCAAGTTTGCTCTCAAAATGGCGATTTAAGTCGTAGTCTTTGAGCACTGCCGCACTTTCTTTGCAAATTAAGCACACAGTTTTTCCACCCACTCTGGCAAAAAAATATTTAGAAGTTTATTCTTTGTTGAATATTCGGCTTTCAGCGTCCACTTTCCGGTTCTTTGATAAACTCATTTTGAATTAACATTCACGGTTTATGGGTAATATAAATACCAAATTGGCGCACAAAAAATACGAACGAGTAATAAATGGATAAATCACAGGAATGTCCTCTTCAGTGAAAAGTATTAATGGCGAACATCAATTCTAGTTAGTATTGACATTCAGTAGTGGTAAGGCTTTACGCTGCTCACGCCGTGGCTGACACCGTGAATCAGCTGTGGTTGCCGCACGCGCATGTTTGAAAATTTGCCGATCCGTAAATTTCTGACGTCAGCCTGATTAACACTTAAGGGAATGTGTGCACAACTAAGCAGCGTGACTGGCTGATGTTCCCGGTCTGATTGAAATGCAGAATTTGTGGAGAAAAAAAACTAACAACTCTAGCAATTAAAAATCGATGCTGTGACAAAAGTAAGAAACGTAAGGGACACATTTAAAACTGATCCTTTCTGGGACTGAATGAACTATAATTTTTTCTATTGCTAAGCACAATGACAGGCCGGACAGAATAATTTGGCGGGCCGGATGTGGCCCACGGGCCGTATTTTGCCCACCCCTGGTTTAAGCCATCACCAATTCTGCCATCTTAAGATCACAGATCTTCCCAGCACCTCCGCTATCTGCTAACAATGCTATGGTACATTGGATGATTGGTTCAGAGCCACCACAAAGCCACAGTTTCCTTGGTTTCACAATAATTTAGCAGTGTCTCCACTGCAGGAATCAGCCAAGCCCTTGGACTACACTGCCTTGTGAGGCTCAGCACTCCCATCTGCCCGCAGACGCGACTTGCGGATGTGGACTGATGCCGATCTTTCTCCAATGATATGGTGTTGACACTGGGACCGATTACCAATAATCCCGTTGCTATTTCCTCGATTCCCGACACTCAATTAAGCTCTAATTTGAGGCTCCGATCAACAGTCTCCTGTCCCCGGGCTCTCTGCTCTCCTGTCCCCGGGCTCTCTGCTCTCCTGTCCCCGGGCTCTCTGCTCTCCTGTCCCCGGGCTCTCTGCTCTCCTGTCCCCGGGCTCTCTGCTCTCCTGTCCCCGGGCTCTCTGCTCTCCTGTCCCCGGGCTCTCTGACCGCCTGTCCCCGGGCTCTCTGCTCTCCTGTCCCCGGGCTCTCTGCTCTGCTGTCCCCGGGCTCTCTGCTCTCCTGTCCCCGGGCACTCTGACCGCCTGTCCCCGGGCTCCCTGTCCGCCTGTCCCCGGGCTCCCTGACCGCCTGTCCCCGGGCTCCCTGACCGCATGTCCCCGGGCTCCCTGACCGCCTGTCCCCGGGCTCTCTGACCGCCTGTCCCCGGGCTCTCTGACCTCCTGTCCCCGGGCTCTCTGACCTCCTGTCCCCGGGCACTCTGACCGCCTGTCCCCGGGCTCCCTTCACGCCTGTCCCCGGGCTCTCTGACCGCCTGTCCCCGGGCTCCCTTCACGCCTGTCCCCGGGCTCTCTGCTCTCCGGTCCCCGGGCTCCCTGATCGCCTGTCCCCGGGCTCCCTGACCGCCTGTCCCCGGGCTCTCTGACCGCCTGTCCCCGGGCTCCCTGACCGCCTGTCCCCGGGCTCCCTGATCTCTGACCGCCTGTCCCTGGGATCTCTGACCTCCTGTCCCCGGGCTCCCTGACCGCCTGTACCCGAGCACTCTGACCTCCTGTCCCCGGGTTCTCTGCTCTCCTGTCCCCGGGTTCCCTGACCGCCTGTCCCCGGGCTCCCTGACCTCCTGTCCCCGGGCTCTCTGACCGCCTGTCCCCGGGCTCCCTGAACGCCTGTCCCCGGGCTCTCTGACCGCCTGTCCCCGGGCTCTCGGACCTCCTGTCCCTGGGCTCTCTGCTCTCCAGTCCCCCTGAGCGCCTGTCCCTGGGCTCCCTGACCGCCTGTCCCCGGGCACCCTGACCGCCTGTCCCCGGGCTCCCTGACCGCCTGTCCCCGGGCTCCCTGACTGCCTGTCCCCGGGATCTCTGACCGCCTGTCCCTGGGATCTCTGACCTCCTGTCCCCGGGCTCCCTGACCGCCTGTACCCGAGCACTTTGACCTCCTGTCCCCGGGCTCTCTAACCGCCTGTCCGCGGGCTCTCTGACCTCCTGTCCCCGGGATCTCTGCTCTCCTGTCCCCGGGCTCCCTGACCTCCTGTCCCCGGGCTCCCTGACCGCCTGTCCCCGGGCTCCCTGACCGCCTGTCCCCGGGCTCCCTGACCGCCTGTCCCTGGGCTCCCTGACCTCCTGTCCCCGGGCTCTCTAACCGCCTGTCCCCGGGCTCCCGGACCGCCTGACCCCGGGCTCTCTGACCGCCTGTCCCCGGGCTCGCTGACCGCCTGTCCCCGGGCTCCCTGACCGCCTGTCCCCGGGCTCTATGACCGCCTGTTCCCGGGCTCTCTGACCTCCTGTCCCCGGGCTCTCTGCTCTCCTGTCCCCGGGCTCCCTGACCGCCTGTCCCCGAGCTCTCTGACCGCCTGTCCCCGGGCTCTCTGACCGCCTGTCCCCGGACTCCCCGACCGCCTGTCCCCAGGCACTCTGACCTCCTGTCCCCGGGCTCTCTGACCTCCTGTCCCCGGGCTCCCTGTCCGCCTGTCCCCGGGCTCCCTGACCGCCTGTCCCCGGGCTCCCTGACCGCATGTCCCCGGGCTCCCTGACCGCCTGTCCCCGGGCTCCCTGAACGCCTGTCCCCGGGCTCCTCACGCCTGTCCCCGGGCTCTCTGCTCTCCGGTCCCCGGGCTCCCTGATCGCCTGTCCCCGGGCTCCCTGACCGCCTGTCCCCGGGCTCTCTGACCGCCTGTCCCCGGGTTCCCTGACCGCCTGTCCTCGGGCTCCCTGACCGCCTGTCCCCGGGCTCCCTGATCTCTGACCGCCTGTCCCTGGGATCTCTGACCTCCTGTCCCCGGGCTCCCTGACCGCCTGTACCCGAGCACTCTGACCTCCTGTCCCCGGGTTCTCTGCTCTCCTGTCCCCGGGCTCCCTGACCTCCTGTCCCCGGGCTCTCTGACCGCCTGTCCCCGGGCTCCCTGAACGCCTGTCCCCGGGCTCTCTGACCGCCTGTCCCCGGGCTCTCGGACCTCCTGTCCCTGGGCTCTCTGCTCTCCAGTCCCCCTGAGCGCCTGTCCCTGGGCTCCCTGACCGCCTGTCCCCGGGCTCTCTGACCGCCTGTCCCCGGGCTCCCTGACCGCCTGTCCCCGGGCTCCCTGACCGCCTGTCCCCGGGCTCCCTGACCGCCTGTCCCCGGGATCTCTGACCGCCTGTCCCCGGGCTCCCTGACCGCCTGTACCCGAGCACTTTGACCTCCTGTCCCCGGGCTCTCTAACCGCCTGTCCGCGGGCTCTCTGACCTCCTGTCCCCGGGATCTCTGCTCTCCTGTCCCCGGGCTCCCTGACCTCCTGTCCCCGGGCTCCCTGACCGCCTGTCCCCGGGCTCCCTGACCGCCTGTCCCCGGGCTCCCTGACCGCCTGTCCCTGGGCTCCCTGACCTCCTGTCCCCGGGCTCTCTGACCGCCTGTCCCCGGGCTCCCGGACCGCCTGACCCCGGGCTCTCTGACCGCCTGTCCCCGGGCTCGCTGACCGCCTGTCCCCGGGCTCCCTGACCGCCTGTTCCCGGGCTCTCTGACCTCCTGTCCCCGGGCTCTCTGCTCTCCTGTCCCCGGGCTCCCTGACCGCCTGTCCCCGGGCTCTCTGACCGCCTGTCCCCGGACTCCCTGACCGCCTGTCCCCAGGCACTCTGACCTCCTGTCCCCGGGCTCTCTGACCTCCTGTCCCCGGGCTCTCTGACCGCCTGTCCCCGGGCTCTCTGACCGCCTGTCCCCGGGCTCTCTGACCTCCTGTCCCCGGGCTCTCTGACCGCCTGTCCCCGGGCTCTCTGCTCTCCTGTCCCCGGGCTCTCTGCTCTCCTGTCCCCGGGCACTCTGACCGCCTGTCCCCGGGCTCTCTGCTCTCCTGTCCCCAGGCTCTCTGACCTCCTGTCCCCGGGCTCTCTGCTTTCCTGTCCCCGGGCACTCTGACCGCCTGTCCCCGGGCTCTTTGACCGCCTGATCCCGGGCTCTCTGCTCTCCTGTCCCCGGGCACTCTGACCGCCTGTCCCCGGGCACTCTGACCTCCTGTCCCCGGGCTCTCTGACCGCCTGTCCCCGGGCTCTCGGACCTCCTGTCCCTGGGCTCTCTGCTCTCCAGTCCCCCTGAGCGCCTGTCCCTGGGCTCCCTGACCGCCTGTCCCCGGGCTCCCTGACCGCCTGTCCCCGGGCTCCCTGACCGCCTGTCCCCGGGATCTCTGACCGCCTGTCCCTGGGATCTCTGACCTCCTGTCCCCGGGCTCCCTGACCGCCTGTCCCCGAGCTCTCTGACCGCCTGTCCCCGGGCTCTCTGACCGCCTGTCCCCGGACTCCCTGACCGCCTGTCCCCAGGCACTCTGACCTCCTGTCCCCGGGCTCTCTGACCTCCTGTCCCCGGGCTCCCTGTCCGCCTGTCCCCGGGCTCCCTGACCGCCTGTCCCCGGGCTCCCTGACCGCATGTCCCCGGGCTCCCTGAACGCCTGTCCCCGGGCTCCCTGACCGCCTGTCCCCGGGCTCCCTGACCGCCTGTCCCCGGGCTCTCTGACCTCCTGTCCCCGGGCTCTCTGACCTCCTGTCCCCGGGCTCTCTGACCGCCTGTCCCCGGGCTCCCTTCACGCCTGTCCCCGGGCTCTCTGACCGCCTGTCCCCGGGCTCCCTTCACGCCTGTCCCCGGGCTCTCTGCTCTCCGGTCCCCGGGCTCCCTGATCGCCTGTCCCCGGGCTCCCTGACCGCCTGTCCCCGGGCTCCCTGAACGCCTGTCCCCGGGCTCCCTGACCGCCTGTCCCCGGGCTCTCTGACCGCCTGTCCCCGGGCTCTCTGACCTCCTGTCCCCGGGCTCTCTGACCTCCTGTCCCCGGGCTCTCTGACCGCCTGTCCCCGGGCTCTCTGACCTCCTGTCCCCGGGCTCTCTGACCTCCTGTCCCCGGGCTCTCTGACCGCCTGTCCCCGGGCTCCCTTCACGCCTGTCCCCGGGCTCTCTGACCGCATGTCCCCGGGCTCCCTTCACGCCTGTCCCCGGGCTCTCTGCTCTCCGGTCCCCGGGCTCCCTGATCGCCTGTCCCCGGGCTCCCTGACCGCCTGTCCCCGGGCTCTCTGACCGCCTGTCCCCGGGCTCCCTGACCGCCTGTCCCCGGGCTCCCTGACCGCCTGTCCCCGGGCTCCCTGATCTCTGACCGCCTGTCCCTGGGATCTCTGACCTCCTGTCCCCGGGCTCCCTGACCGCCTGTACCCGAGCACTCTGACCTCCTGTCCCCGGGTTCTCTGCTCTCCTGTCCCCGGGTTCCCTGACCGCCTGTCCCCGGGCTCCCTGACCTCCTGTCCCCGGGCTCTCTGACCGCCTGTCCCCGGGCTCCCTGAACGCCTGTCCCCGGGCTCTCTGACCGCCTGTCCCCGGGCTCTCGGACCTCCTGTCCCTGGGCTCTCTGCTCTCCAGTCCCCCTGAGCGCCTGTCCCTGGGCTCCCTGACCGCCTGTCCCCGGGCTCTCTGACCGCCTGTCCCCGGGCTCCCTGACCGCCTGTCCCCGGGCTCCCTGACCGCCTGTCCCCGGGCTCTCTGACCGGTTGTCCCCGGACTCCCTGACCGCCTGTCCCTGGGCTCTCTGACCGGTTGTCCCCGGACTCCCTGACCGCCTGTCCCCGTCTCCCTGACCGCCTGTCCCCGTCTCTCTGACCGCCTGTCCCCGGACTCCCTGACCGCCTGTCCCCGTCTCCCTGACCGCCTGTCCCCGGGATCTCTGATCTCTGTACTCACCGATCTCTTGGTCTTCTGGCCCCGGGCTGCCCGCTCCCTCCGCTCCGCTGGCCCCGGGCTGCCCGCTCCCTCCGCTCCGCTGGCCCCGGGCTGCCCGCTCCCTCCGCTCCGCTGGCCCCGGGCTGCCCGCTCCCTCCGCTCCGCTGGCCCCGGGCTGCCCGCTCTCTCCGCTCCGCTGGCCCCGGGCTGCCCGCTCTCTCGCTGTCAGAGACTGGAGGGCGGTTGCTAGGGTCGCTGTGATTGATGGTTCCGCTTCACCATTCAGAAGGCCGCCGAATGCGACGTGACGCCCCCACAGGCCAACCAGCGGCGGCGCCCTGAGGTGAAAATCGTCTGTAACCTGTCACCCGGGTTTGCAGGGCGCTGCTCCCCCGCGCTCAGCCCCGGGGGGGGTGTTGGGGGTGTCCCGTGTGAGGAGGGAGGAGGCAAACAACGGGAAGGAAGGGCCGCGCCGGTGCCGCGGTTGTTCCGACGCCGACAACTGATGCACTGCGTTGCGCATGCGTTGACCGCGAAGCATCGCGGAAGTTGTTGTCCCCGAACCTCCGGCTCCAACTACAATCCCCAGAGTGCACCGCGCGCCAGTGAGGCGTCCAGGAAACGAGAGTGAGAGAGACAGGTGGGCACAGGTGCACTGGGGCAGGTGAGAGGGGCATCACAGGACAGAGACAGAAACACACAGACGGTGCAAATCCTTTTCAGAAATAATAACACAGACAAATGGTGAAAAGTAAGTTTGCTTCAAGTATTTGTAACTTTTAAAATTGTATTTAAACTAACTTTGCTGCCCAAATGAATAGATGCAGCAGACGATCAGGTGAGGAAATAAACCATCGGCGTATTATTTTTCAATTAATATTTCTGTGAACGTGTACAGGACGTTAATGAAACCCCCAGGAAGCAAAGTTCAATGAATCGGTTTGAGATTGAAGAACAAGAATGGTGAGAAGCTTTAATTTTACAGTGAAGATTTAAAGTGTTTAAAATAAGGAAAGAATGTTGATTGCAAAAGTCAAACACTATATTACACCAACAACTTGCCCTAATTTAGTGCCTTCCACTCATGGTAGTGTCTCAGAGCGATTGACAGTGGGTGGGGGGTGGTGGGGTGGCCGAAAGCACGATCGAAGAGGAAGGACGTGAAAGAAAGGAGAGAGTGGGCAAGGCAGAGGGATTGAGGGAGAGTGTTCCAGAGTTTTGGGGCGTAGTGGCTGAAAGCGCGACCTCCAATGGTGGAGCGGAGGGTGTGAGGGACAAGCAGGAGGCCGGTGCCAGTCGAGCGGAGGATTGGGGAGTGAAGAGGTCTGAGAGGTAGGGAGGTGCCAGGGAGTGAATGGATTTGAACACGAGTGTGAGGATCTTGAAGTCGATCCATTCAGTGATGGGGAGCCAGTGGAGCCCGGCCAGAACTGGTGAGATGGGGGTATGGAGTTTGGTCCAGGTAAGTATGTGGGCAGCAGACCATATTACCATTTGATTCCTGTTTTCTTGAAAAAAGAGAATTTTCTTGTTCAACATTTCAAATACTGTGTCCAGTTTGGGGCTCCCTAACTGCAAATTATATTGAAGGGTTGAAGCTCAAAGCTGTGATAAAAGCTAATGGAAATCAATCTTATTTTTAAAAAACAATTGAGGGGAAACATAATTCTGATCTTTAAAATGCTAAGAGGCAGACTTATTGTAGATAAAATCAAAACACTGCATTGGGCAATGAGATTCCAACTGATGGCCATAGGTTTAAATTCAAAAGCTTCATGCATGAACACAGATTTGTTTTTTTCTCTCTCCCTTGGAGGGTAGGAATTGTGGTAAAGATTCCCAAAAATGACATGGCATCAATTACCTGTCTCNAAAAATAACTCAAAAATTATGTGTATGGCAATGGTAATGAAGGATGTAGATAGGTTCAGACTGAGATGAAAAAGTGTCAACCTGGCTCATTTGGTAGCACTCTTGCCTCTGGGTTAGAAAGATATTCTCAAGTCCCACATAAGGACTTTGACCTCAAAGAAAAGTTTGACACTGATTTTAATTCAGCTCCTTCATATTGTTGGGCTCAGTAACTCCCAGACTCATGGCTCTGTTCATGATTTTAATTCAACTCCCTCACATTGTTCCATAGCATAGTGGTTAACTCGCTCACCTCACAAGCGAGAGGACCCGTGTTCGATTCCCAGTGGAGAAAATCCTTAGGCAAGTGTCCTTACTCCACGCGCCTCTGTTTACCTAACAGTAGGAACCTGGTTGTCAGTCGACTGGCAGATCACTTTCCGGGGTAATAACTCCCCCTCCAAAAAATGTGGTCACTCAATCCTAACTGTTTATGGGACATTGCTGTGCGCAATTGGCTGCCATTTTTCTCCCACAAAATACATAGTCTATCCACTTTACAATATATTCTGTGAAGCGCTTTGAGACCTCAACAATGTGAAAAGGCGCTAGGTCAAATGCAAGGATTATTATTGTTCTTTGTCAAGCATATCTTTCCACATTCAATGCCGACCAGATAGAAGCCATTATTGTTCAACTCTGGCTAGAAATTGTGTACCTCTGTGCCTTTGTGAGTTGTGATATTCCTGGTTGGTTAATTCTGGCCAAACACAGTCTCATCCCGAGATACAAAACCCAATCTTTTGTCAGACTGTTTTCTTTCACTTTCAAAACATTGCTCTTTTACACCTCACACAACTGCTTTGAAATCATTATCCTCATTTTTGTTATCTTCACCAGAGATTTCTTCAATGTTTTCAACACTCTCACTCTACCTTTACAAAACTCCAACTAATTCTAAACTCGTTGGTTCAAGTCCGCTCTGCACTCCATTGTCCTCTCCTTGCCAACTCCATTGGTTGCCTGTCCCTCAGTGGATGAATTTACAGTTCTACTTTCTTTAAAATGTTGTGTGGTCTTGCTCTGCTATTTCTCTACAATCTTTTTGCGTCCACAGTCCTCTAACTCTGAAATATAGTTTTCAGCTATGGGTCTCTGGAATAATAAATTGAAGCCAGAAACTGGCTAATTTTTGACCTGCATTGTCTCAGGACAAGGGAGTTGTGGTGCCTGTACTATAAATTTGTTAACCCAGCACAAACCTGAGATTCACCTGGTGACCTTTCTGCTCTGTGTGGCAAAGTTGCAAACTGCACTTGCCAACTATGATATCATTTGGAGTGNTTTTTTGGTGTGTGCTGTTTAATCATAACACAGTCTTCAATGCTGATGTGAACATGATCGCAGCCCACACTGGCTTCAATTGGTTACAGTTTTACAGTTGATTCTGGCGGGAGAAGCAATTTGAGTCGTGGTGGTATTTTCACATGTCTTATGATGTTTGGTTGCAGTATGAATGCAGATGAAACGTTTGACTATCTCTTCAAGATAGTTCTTATTGGTGATTCCAACATTGGCAAGACCTGTGTGGTTCATCGTTTCAAATCCGGCATCTTCATAGAAAAGCAGCAGAACACCATCGGCGTCGACTTCATTGTCAAGACACTGGACATCGATGGCAAAAAGGTCAAGGTGGGGCCAGTTGCTGCTTCTCTATCTCTGCCGCTTCCAATTGTCTTTCACCCCCCTCTCCTCCCCACCCTCTCTAGAGACACATAATTCCATACAGTCTTATGTCACACTGAAATCCTATGTCTTAAAATTTAACTTTGCGCTGCAGTGGAGAAAATTCGCAAATTCAGTCTTGATTTGGAAGCCATTTCTCTGAAGTTCTTAAAAAGAACCGGGGAGTGATTTGCTGATATTAAAGGGAACTCTTGCAATGCCTTGAATCAGTCACACTAAGTTTTGCATGTCTTCTGACAACCAGTGAACAAGTGTCAGTCTGGTTTAGTTGGATGCATTCTCTTCTCTGGGTCAGAAGGTTGTGGGTTGAAGGCTCTCTTTGGGATTTGAGCTCAGTCTAAGCTGACACTCCAGTTAGTATTGGCGATTCTCAGACTTGCTTGAGTTGCTGTCCTTCGGTGAAACCATAGTCCCATCAAACTGTTCAGTTGAACATTAAAAATCTGTTAAAAACACAAAAATTTTAACACTAATTCTCTGTCTCTTAAGGTTCAGGTGTGGGACACGGCTGGACAGGAGCGTTTCAGGACAATCACACAGAGCTATTACCGAAGTGCTCACGGTGCCATCATTGCCTATGATATCACCAAACAAACCTCCTTCAACTCTGTGCCACACTGGATCAACGAGATACAACGGTACGGAGCAGCCAATGTGGTCCAGATGCTCATCGGTAGGTTTCAGGATGTATGAAATAAAAAAATCCTAAACGGGTTAAAGAGATTGCAACAGGCTCCATGAAGACTCTGCCTAATAAGGGAGTGAGTCATCCAAACCAGTAAGGTTTGATTCCTGACTGGGGCTATTATTTTAGTCCTGTAGCATAGTGGTTAGTGAAAGCGAGAGGACATGGGTTTGATTCCCAGGTGGGGCAAAACATTAGGTAAGTTTCCTTATTCCAAACGCCTTTGTTTCTCCAGCAGTTAGTAGGAACCGAGTTGTTAGTTGATTGGGGGGTAACAACAACAAAATTACATTTTATAGCGCCTTTCATGTTGGGAGGATGTCTCAAGGCATTGCACGTCACTCTTTTGGCCCCGAGCTGAGGGTCGGGATCGAAGAAGGTGGAGGGCGGGGTGGGGGGTTAGGAGGGTGATCAAAGGTATGGTCGAAGAGGAGGGTCTTGAAGGAGACAAGGAAGGGGACGAGGCGGAGGTACTGTGGGATGGAGTTCCAGAGAGTGGGGGCAGAGTGGCTGAAGGCCCACCCGCCTATGGTGGGGTGGGCAGGCAGGGGAACGTGAATCAGGCAGGAGCCCACTGAGCGGAGGGAGCGGGCAGGTTGGTAGGGGGTTAAGAGGTTGCAGAGTTAGTGGGGAGCAAGGCCACAGAGGGCTTTGAAGGTGAAGACCAGGATCTTGAACTGTAGGACAAGGATCTTGAACTATATCCTCTGTGTGATGGGAAGCCAGTGGAGTTGGGTGAGGATGGGCAGATAGGGTCACGGAGCCTGGTGTGGGAGAGGACACGGGCTGCAGAGTTCTGGATGATCTGCAGCCTATTGAGGGAGGAGTTGAGGAGGCCGACAAGCAGGGAGTTTGCAGAGTTAAGCCTGGATGTTATGGATGCATGTATGAGAGTTTCGGTGGCCTGTGGTGTGAGACAATGGCAGAGCCGGGCGATGTTGCAAGGTGGGGGATGGCAGAGTGGGTTATGGCATGGATGTGGGGTAGAAAGGATAGTTGAGGGTCAAAAGAGACACCAAGGTTCCAGACTGGCATAGTATGGTGGAATGTGCATTCTTGGATGGTGATGCTGTCAGCGCCAATCAGGAGAGCCTCGGTCTTGTTGACATTCAACTGAAGAAAGTTAGCTCTCATCCAGGACTTGATGTCTGACCGACATTCTGTCAGAAATTGGGACAGCCAAAATGAGGAATTAGGGTGATGTGTCGAGAGCATCCGTTACCTTGGAACCTTCCCCCTGCGTTAGTCAGTCCCAGCATGGGACAGAAGAAAGCTGATGGTTAGAGAAATTTATTTTGTCATAATGCAGAGTGCAATGACACCTGAATTTGGTTCAATGTATGAACTAAAACTAAAAACTAACCAATTAAATATTCAAACTGAGATCATGTTTCTGAACATGTGTGCACATCTTTTTTCCCCACTTCCCCAATGTCTTCCCATGTCATACCCACCTGTACTTGCTCAGACTGTGTAGGGGGCAGAAAAGTGTAAAATCCCCTTGCCAACCTGTGCCTAGAATTGGGTAAGCAGGATGCATTCCTCCGGGGAGAGAGTGCACATCATATTTCAACATCTATCTCTGGAATTTCTTTTCATGTGTAGGTGGGATGCATGGAATTCTCAGTTTGTTTTGGATATTCTTAAGCATGGTGATGGGTTTCCGCAGACATCTAGCTGACCAAAAAAAGAGTGTTCAGGTTACACTGTCAACTTTGATCTTTGCGGGCTAATGATTTATCCATTTGCTTGAGATCATTTGAGCCTCTCATTAGTGCTTAAGATCCTGTGCCTGGGGATCTGGCAGGAAGTAAAGGAGACAACATCCTGATCAGGGCTGTAAAAGATGCAACAAAAACAAGGAAAAAAATTGAGAGCAGCGATACACCATACTGTGCCAAGTGCGTACTAAGCATTTGGACAGGCTTTCCTGTGACCTCCAGTTTTCAGTACAAGTGTACTGAAGTGAGCACAATGTGAATTTGCATTTTAGTTGCAAAAGTATTTCTTGGACTGAAATGTTTGAAAGAAATGAATTGTTTTGTCGCTGAATTTGATCACAACCTCCAAGAGACAGCCTCCACACGAGCCTCTTTCACACTCAGGGCTGGGCTTCCCAGGTCCCAGATGGTAAATGTGATCCCGCACCACACAGATTAGGAAGATCCTATGTTTTATTACTGGTCTGGGACATATTCATTGATCTCATCTAGAGCAAGGGAACTGGAAAACCACCAGTGACAGATTCAGCTGCAAACCCAGGGAGTTACTAAACCAGACAATAATCCTTGATTTGATATAGCACCCTAGCACGTTGAGACATCAAAATGCTTCACAGAAATATATTGTAAAATGGATTGACTGTGTATTTGTGGGCGAATACGGCAGCATAGGGATTATTACCCCCGGAAAAATGATCCACCAATCGACTAACGACCGAGTTCCTACTTACTGTTAGGTAGCCAGAGGCGTGTGGAGTAAGGAAACTTGCCCAAGGATTTACCCCGCCTTGGAATCGAACGTGGGTCGTCTCGCTTGTAGGCGAGCAAGCTAACCACTCTACTATTGAACAATGTGAGAGAGTTGAATTAAAATCACAAACAGAGCCATGAACCTGGGAAGTTACTAAGCCCGTCAATAAGGGAGCTGAATTAAGATCAGCAACGAGCCACTAACCCAGGGAGTTTCTGAGTTTGATGAACCCATGGGTGGTGTGGTGGGGCAAAATCTGTAAGGGAATCTCTGGAAAGCTGGCTTTTGGAGGTATCAATTGCATTAACATGAGAAATGTAAGACAATTCCAAACAAAATCTAGATTCAAGCCCTTTATTGTGTTTACTCTTGTCCAGGTAACAAAGCCGATCTGAAGGATAAGCGGGAGGTTCCATTTGAGGAAGCCTGCATTGTGGCCGAGAAGTTCGGACTGGTGGCAGCGCTGGAGACCTCGGCCAAGGAATCTCAGAACATCGAAGAGGCTTTTCTGATGATGACGCGGGAGCTGATGGCGAGGAATGGTCTGCACATCTCCTGTGAGACCAGCAGAAGCAGCTTCCACCTGGACTCCAGGCCTGTGAACCTTCCTCTGTCCAATGGGAAAAGCGGCTGTTCTTGCTGAACGGCATTCCCTGCCAGTGAGTGCTCCAGGACATTGAACAGAACTTGGACAGATGTCGGAGCCGGGCCAGCCAACAGTCCAACAGATTGAACCCAGTTAGAAACTTCCTCACCAGCAATCAACAATCACATGACCATTCAAATAGACAATTATTGCAGGTAGAAATCCAGAGCTTTCACGTCCCTTAGGAGTGGCATAAAGCGACTTTTGGTGCAGACTAAACCTTGCATACAGGAAGCTCGATTAAAATCCGTTTCCCCTCATCTCAGTTGGGGGCTACATTTAGCTTTAATGCCCATGTTTTGGGGAGGGGAACAGTCAACTTGGGGATCCTGTTCTCCGGTTCAAAGGTAGAGATCAAGACAGTCTCTTGTCCTGACCCCTTGCGATCAAAATAGACAGGAGAAGCCACTTGGCAACCATTGGACATGGAGGAGAAAAGGTGGAAAACTTAGGAAAAATCCCCCCCCCCCCCCCACACAAATCACCCAGTTTCACAGGGCTCTCCAGAAACTGGGATGGGGCAAGGACAGTTCTGAGGTTCAGAATCTCTGAGATTTTGTCTGGTAGGCAACTGACTGCTGCAATCCGCCCACAAAGTACAGTTAATTCGCTTTATAGTATACTCTGTGAAGCTCTTTGAGACGTCTCAACAATGTGATAAGGCACTATATCAAATGCAAGGATTTTTATTATTATTAGCCATGGAAAAGGTGTTGAGGAGATCTTTCACATGGGCATTATTTAAGCGTGTTTTGGGTTCAAAGGGAAAATATACTAGCTGTACCTGTTACAGCTATGCTTGCAACCAAAGGATCGAATGTGGATTGTAGATTGATGCACAGACACACACAGCAGACATTTCATCTTTATCTATACTCCAGTGGGAGGACTCAGCGGGATGACTCGGCTCTCTAAAAAATTTAATTTGGTTGTTGTTGCTTCGGCTTAGCTTCATCTGTGTTCTTTATTTTGTTCCTGCCACTTGGCTATGTGCGTGCTCTGTGACACAGGATGCCACAGCGCCCACCAGGTGTAACTGCAGTGCGTGTGTACATACCTACGTGCTCTGTGACGCATGATGCCACAGCGTCACTTTGACTCAGCAGCCATCAGGTGCAACTGCAGCGAAAAATGCAAACTGAAAATAACTCATGAACAATAGGAGATACCCGAAAACAAATATGCCCATATCACTCCCAGATGCAAGACCTTTCCGTTGAGGTATAAGTCATGTCTCACGTCAATCAGTTATTGAAATTCTCCTTGAAGCGCACAGACATTGTCATTTTATATATATATAGATAGAAGATTGTTGGAAACACGTTACGAGTTGGTTGAGCATTCAGATCAAAAGGGGGTGAGGGGAATTGTGGACAGAAGTCATCAGCAGCAGGAGCAGCAGATGATAGAATTGACTTACTTAACTTGTTTTCTCCATTCACTTGGATTCTTTCCCAAGTATTTGCCCACTGCGCCTCACCGATAGCTCTCACATCTTGTTTGCTTAGTCCCCATACCCTGGCAATTGCCCTTGTAATTCTAATTCTAACAATTCGAACAATGTCCAACGTGGGCTGAATGGCCCTCTTCTGTGCTGAATATTTCTATGGCTTGATGTGCACTTACCTCCATCATATGTGGCAGCTTTCAGTTCAGCGTTGACAAAGGTTCACTCCTGAAACACCAGCCTGCCTCTCCTCTCACACAGCTGCTGTGAATTTGCAGGTTTACGTTTCCCAGCTTCCTACGATTCTTTTCCATTCCTTGCAATGTGTTATATGGCTGTACCTGAAGAGAGCATCTCTTTGCTGCTCTGCAATTCTACATTTGGAGAACTTGGTTGTTATTTTGACGCTTTAGTACTCTCCGCTGCAAGTTGAAATCCCTGAAACCAAATGTATATCATGTTCAAATGCTGCCTGAACAATCAGTGTCTTATTACTGACAGTTGTTCTTCGATCAGGTACAGAAAACGTGCAGCTGCTGAAACAAAACGGGAACCACAAGTGTTTGTGTTCCAGCTATAGCAGCATCTTACAGAGCATGAGTCAAGTCAGATTGATGCACACGTTTCTTTTCAAGAGCCTAACAGTGTGAGTGATGTGAAGCTGAGGCTAAATTTGTACACGTCAGATGAAGAAGTTGACAAAAGCCTACGTCTTGCTAAAGCTATTTTTAAGGCTTGATTTAGGAGGATGTCTTGTACTGTAAGATGTATCTGTCTAATGTCTTTTTGTGTGTTTGTGTTCTATTGTGCAACTGGATTAAATATTTTAAACAAAGTATTTGAATTAAATTTTCTGATGCGTTATGGAAGCCGGTTAAGCCAGACACTTCGGGCCGGCCGTTTTGCCCGGTTCAAGAAACATCCAAGATTAACCGAAATACCATTCCCATCCAGCAGAGCAGCGGCGCTGTATAACATGTAATAATGTTGTTTCACTTGAAGCAGTGTTGATTAACCAAACAGGACACTAAGTATTTTAACATAGGAGTTGTTAAAAGTTAAAATACACTCACAGAATTCAGTAAAATATATCAGGCTTTGTTTGGCTTAAAATACTCTCCAGAGGAGCAGCGCGGGGCTGCCAACTCCCATTGTTGTTTGCATTGGATGGGAAGGGGACCAATTAACAACGGCTCTGAGGTGATTGACCGCCTTGGAACCACTTGTGAATGGATGGACCCTCCGCCCAGTCACAAGTGGCTCTGTCTGTCTGTCAGTCAGTCAGTCAGAATTTGACTCCTCCATCACCTCATTGGTTTATTCCTGTTCCTCTGCCCCCTCACTGATTGGCAGTCCAGCTCCAGCCACTTGTGATTGGTTGGAGTCTGCTGTCAATCACTATTAGAAGCATCCCATCTCCATCCTAGAGCCGCTGGACACGCTTAAAGCTTGAATGAGTACATTCAGTGGCGAGATTAACCGGCATGTTTAAAAGCGGTAAAAATACAAATGAATCAGGGCCAGGTTTTTTGTTCAAATCAACAGTCATCCGACAAAAGTGGATTTCATTGTATTATCATTTTTTCCCCCCCACTGAAAGAAAGGAATAATTTCCCCTGGTTTGTACCTGGTGTCAGCATGAGTCACTGCACAACTAGGTGTACAGGGCATAATTCTTCAGAGAAGACGCTCAACCGAGATCCCAACTGTCTTTATCAGAGTAACTTAACTCCCATTGCATTTTGTAAGAACTGGGAAAATCTGCTCAACAATAAAGTTCCAAAAGAATTGGTTGGCCACCTCATGCTGCTCGTGAGGACCCCGCTGTGTGCGTCCAGAAGATAACATATACCAAATTGATAAGGCAAACTTTTTTTCTCTTTGCCTGTGCAGCGCTTCAACTGAAAATTACATTTGTATGCCCATTACAACCAGGCTGTATTGGGATTGCTCTCTGCCTCCCCACCCTCCCCCACTTTCACACATGTATTGAACTCATAGATTTTGGCAATTCCCATAGCTTAGTGGTTAATGCGTTCGCAAGCAAAGAGGACTTGGGTTCGATTCCCAGGGTAAGTGAAACCTTAGGCAAGTTAGCTTACTCTACATGCCTGCTTACCTTGCAATAATTAGGAACCTGTCGATTGGCATATTTATGGGGGTAATAATCACTCCAAAAATTAAAAAATTAGAATTTGGTCATTCAATCCTCGACTGCTGCATTTCATCCACCACAAAATATACAGTCAATCCACTTTACAATATATTCTGTGAAGAAGTGACCAGGAGCTATATCAAATGTAAGGATTATTTTAATTCACTGGAGGATCTCCAGCTGCATCATTTAAGAAGATGGATGGGGGATTCCATTAGGAAAACGGAAAGGGTACAGTGAAATTGCAGATCTTTTCCTCTCACCGCATGTACGGTCAAATATAATCAACACAACCATAACAGATTACACAATATTTGTAGGTGTCTCTCTCAGAATTATCCCTGCAACAATTGCGCAATTAACCCTCCCGCAAAACAGGTTTGCGCTGACACTGAATGGGTGCAGTTTTTCTGCTGGAGGAGGAGGGCGGTCGGCTGGGAATCATTTCTACAGGCACCAGCCCTCCTCTCCCTATTCTTCCTGTGAGGCGAAGACAGGGGGGTTGAGCCCTGTCCGGACCCTACGTTCATATGCCTAGTATCTTTGGATCATGTTAAGGAACAAGTACCTTTGCTGGTTTACCCCTCCCTAACCAAGAGTCCTGAGACTGATCGTCACCTCAAAGGCTGCCACGATTAACATCAGTAACTCAGCACAGACCAGGATTCAAACCTGTGACCTGACAGTCTGTCCATGTGTGTCCATGTCCATGCACTGGGTGGCACTTTTACCCACTGGGTAGGGAGTGAGGATCAATTTATTAGCATTCCTGTCTCTTGGTCAATCGTTCCAGTGTCCACCCTACAAAGACTTGTACAGCTGTGGAACTCAGCAAGAGCTAAGAAACCTCATAATGTGGTTAACACTGACCCCAACAAATCAGGAATGACATGTCCTCATTTTTGCTGCAACTGATCTTTGGGCTCCTGGATTAGGGAGAGCAAAGCAAATCTGGTTCCCAATTCCTCCAGACACCAGAAAAATTATGCACACTTAAATTGTCTTTTGTAACTGTGCTCTGGGATCACCCTGAACTGAATATATCAGCTACAAACACATCCACTTGGAGGTGAGAAAGAAGCATAGCTGTTGCATCCATTCGGTAGAGGTAACACAGGTTCCCCCGATTTCAAGACTGCAATAGGCTGGATGTGCCCATCACTGGAGTCCAGCAGAGATGTTGGGTTCGTAGCAGAATCAACAGACTCTGGGCAGCCTCATATTACTTGCTTTGGTTCCACAATTATTCCCAGATTTCCTTTCTGGTGATGCAAGCAAAGAATCTGACCTGTATTCTTGCATAACACGTGACAATTTGGAGATTTTAATAATCTTTGCATTTGATATAGTGCTTTTCATGTCTTCTAGACGCTCAAAGCACTTCACGGAATATACTGTAAACTGAATTGACTGTATATTTTGTGGGCGAAACGTGACAGCCAATTGCGCATAGTCTGTCCCACAAACAGTCGTGAATTGACTGACCAAATTATTATTGTTTTTTTGAGGGATTAACAGGTATGTTCAGTTAGGGAACTTGCCCAAGGTTTCACCCTGCCAGAAATCAAACCCAGGTCTCCCACTTGCGAGGCGGGTGTTCTAACCACTGAGCTACAGGACTCCTTTTTTTCCAGCACAGGAGGTGGTCACTTGGTCCATCTTGCCTGCTCTGGCTCCCCAAGAATTGTCTGTTCAGTCCTGCCTTTTCCCCACATCCTTTCAGATTTTATCTCTGCTAAGAATCGACTTCTAAAACTGCTTTGGATTCTTGAATTAATTCACCATCCACTTGATAATAATAATCCTTGCATGTGATATAGCGTCTTATCACATCGTTGAGATGTTTCAAGAGCTTCAGAATATATTGTAAAGTCGATTGACTGTGTATTTTGTTGGTGAAACACGACAGCCGATTGCGCACAGCAGTGTCCCACAAACAGTTGTGGATTGAGTGATCCAATTTTTTTTCTGAAGGGATTATTAGTCCTGGAAAGCGATCTGCCAATCAACATCCAAGTTTCTACTTGCTGCTAAGCAAAAAGAATGTGGAGTAAGGAAACTTGCCTAAGGTTTTACGCTGTCTGGGAATCGAATCCGGATCCTCTTGCTTGCGAGGCGAGCGCACTAACCACTATGGGGTTAGTGCTATGGGGCTCCAAAAGAACTTCAAAAGAAATCTGCCTCACAATATCCTTACATACTAAATTAGCCTCAAAAATAAAATGAGATATATTTCCTTCAAACCTTCTTTCAATATATCAGCCAATCACAGCAACAGCATTCTTTTTGTTAAACACGCTCAGCATCTCACACCCACAATGCCATTACTGGCAATATAAAACAACATAAAACATCTTATTTTGAAACCCTAATGAATACACAGGCATCATGGAACAAAACAAGAAAAAAATATAAGGGAGCTGCCCTGGTTTTTGGAGAGCTGCAACAAGGGCACAATGTGAAGGGAGGATGCAGCTCAATTAATGGACTGCACCAGCAGAACCTGCTGGCGTGGCATTCCTTAATGGAATCTGTATCCTGTCAGCACTGTGTGAGAGAATTTTTTTTTAACTGAACAGCAGCAATCAAACCACTGGTACAGCAGTGGCTGGAAGACAGACGAGAGTTAAGATTTTGAAAATCTCCTTCAGGTGTGACCTGCTGTGCTTGGGTATATCACAAGGGCTGCCTTGCCCAAGTTGCCATTGTTCATGTGCAAGTTTGGACAGTGAGCATCAGTAACTGTGGAGGAGTGACAGCAAAGGTTAGGAGCGCCAGACAACCCTGGCAAACTGTCTCCTTCCCACTTGTTGAACTTAATAAAACAAAAACAATTTGCATTTATATAGCGCCCCACACAGGGTAGTGTCCCAGAGTGCTTGACAGTGGTGGAGCACGACGCCAAGCCTGGAGAGATTACTGTAGGCACGGTCGAAGAGGAGGGTCTGAAGATGGGAAAGTTAGGGGCAAGGCTGAGGGGGAGTGTTCCAGAGTTTTATTAATCACTGTTCTGTGCTGAGGTTATCTAATCCAGTTCAGAACAGGGATCAAACCGTAGTCCTTGCCTGCGTTAGTTTGGCTCAGTGCTTTCACACACTGTGCCATTTTAGAAACGTATTTTTAACGTTATGCGATCAAGGTGGGTGAAGTAAGTGCAGGTTGCTCTCTATGCTGAGGGCAGACACAGGCGTATGATGCTGGATCAAGATTGTAAACTAAATGTGACAAATGACAAGAGAGAACGAAAGTATCTGGGGGTGACGAGGAAGAAGCTGCACTGAAAAATACATAATTCTCCTTGGTCAGACTTATTTTTGTGTAAAAATTAAATTATATACTGACAACAATAATTCGGGTGAATTGCTTCTGGATGTCTTTACATCTAAGATATAACCACACTTGAAGACAGCAGTACTGCAGAGCCCATGCAGTAAATCAGCATCAGCAATGCCTGTGGTCTCTAGCATCCAAACCATGTTAAAACTCAATTAATCTATACCAGGAATGAACAGAATCACTCCTGGAGTCTGTTATTCTATACATAAACTACTTGAATGCAGGGATTAGATTCTAGTCTGTAATACACTCTCGGGATCTTTTGTTCTATATATTCTGACCTGTAACTCACTGCCGAGTTGGTTATTCTATTATATAAACTACTGAAACCTGGATTTCAGCCTATAAGTCACTTCCAAATCCATTGTAAAAAATATTATCCACTTGAACCGTGGATTACATTCCAGCCTGCAATTCATTCCCGGTATGCGGTATTCTACATAACACGACCGAACATTTGGATTGGGTTTTCACCCGTAACTCACTACCAGGGTATTCTACAGATTAAAAAAAAATCATAGCAAGGATGGGATTGCATGACAAAGAATACAGTGTGCGGATGACAGGGTAGGATGTGTGCACAGAGGATGGGAGGAGAATGTAAGTGTCTCAAAAGGTAGAGATCAAATCTAGTGGTTGAGTTCTTGCACAATTGTACTTTCCTGCACCATAACTCATTCTCTCCCTCCCATCCAAAATGTTACCATCTCGGATGTTTTAACTGGAGTGTGAACATATAAGGAATGGAATTCTAAAATTCAAACCAATAAGAAGCCCTGGTCCCAGCCCACAGTTCATCTGAAATTCTTTCAATTTGATTCCTGCGGCCTGCTCTCCTCTTGAAAAACTAGATCCACGGCTTCCTTCACATCCTGTACCATGTAGGTTGGCTCTACCAGGCTGGGATCGAAGCGGAAGTCTCTGTGTCCGTGGAAGACGGTCTCGGTGACGCTGACGTGTGGGTCACAGGGCACCTCCTCGTGGCGGCAGTACACTCCAGTGCACACAAGAATGGACTTGCAGCTCTCTGTGGTGCTGCCAGCTAACTCGCCCTCTTCCACTGGGCCCATCTCGGGCACATCCTCCCTGGTCTCCACGACTTTGCCCGCAATGACCTTGGCCTGGACACGCAGCTTGTGAGCCGACTGCACGTAGCGGTTGTAAATATTAGCCCCATAGATGTCAGTCATGGGGTTGTCGCTGTAAGTAAACAATTAATAATAATAACCCGTGCATTTGATATAGTGCTCACAAAATACAGTCAATCCACTTTTCAATATAGTCTGGGAAGTGCTTTGAGATATGCTAAGGCGCTATATCAAATACAGTACAAAATTATATTTGTATAATGCCTTTCACGTCGGGAGGATGTCCCAAGGCGCTGGACAGCCAGGTATTTGGACCTGAGCTGGGGGTCGGGATCAGGAGAGTGAAGTGCATGGAGGATGGCCGAAGGCTCAGTTGAAGAGGGTTTTGAGGCACCTTGAAGGAGGCAAGGGAGTGAGCGAGGCAAAGGGAATGTGGGATTGAGTTCCATTAGGTGGGGGCAGAAAGAATGAAGGCCCAACCGTCGATGGTGAGGTGAACCAGGCATGGGACATGGAGTAGGCCACAGCTTGCTGAGCGGAGGGAGCGGACAGGTTGATATGGGGTCGCAGAGGTAGGGAGGAGAAGGCCGTGGAGGGCCTTTTTGGAGAGGACGGGGATTTTGAACTCTATCCTCTGGGGGTTGGGGGTGCCTGTGGAGCCAGGTGAGGGTTGGGGGTGATGGAGTCACAGAGCGTGTTGCAGGAGAGGACACGAGATGCAGAGATCTGGATGATCTGCAACTTGTGGAGGTAAGAGTTGGTAAAGCCGACATGCAGGGAGTTGGTGTAGTTGAGCCTAGATATAATGAATGTGTGGATGAGGGTTTCGATGGCATGAAGGATTATTATTATTGTTATTAAGTTCTGATGTAAACCCACAATCTTCCAACAAAGAGGTGAGAGTGCCACTATCCGAGACATGCCGAGAAACTTGATTCTGATCATTGGAAGAGAATATAAAGCAATGAGATAAGAAAAGACTTTCATTGTTAAATCATCTGTTTGGGTACATACCCAATGGCGTAGAGCCGGCGGATAGGAGCATTCCAGCCTCTGCTCTCGCCTAATTTCCGTACGAGGAAGTCCGCATAGTTGTATGTGATAACGCTGGGTTTGCCGATCAGCGCCTCATACTTCAGTTCCTTCCCAGTGACCTTCTTGTAGATGTTCTCCAGACACACAAGGAATGTGCCGTGCCCAAACCTAAAACAAAAATCAATCAGAAGAAGTCATAGTGAGACTGGAATTGGAAGCGAATCATTTGCTGCTCAGGGCAGGCTCAGTTCTAAAGCATGCCATGTCCAGCTGGGGATGTGCATTTGCATTAAGTTTATACTGTAAACTCTCCCCATGCAGCTCAGCTGGATTGTCCCTTCTCCCACCTCTCCCAAATAAATCCCAGCTTTTAGCATCAAAACAGCAGAAGAGGTAGAGAGTCACAAAGAATGATGATGGAGGTGCTCCCAGGGTTTCCATTTTCTGGCATAATCATTCTATTTTGACATTTTCCACCCTCGTTTGATACTGCAGTACGTCACACTTTTGCAGAGGAAGAGAAGAGGGGTGGGTGAGGAGTGGGGGGTAAAGGAGGAAAATGATCTATTCCCAACTCCTTCCAACACTGCCTTGGGAACTTTATTTGCCTTTTGCTCTCCTGAGTCCCACCTCAGAACATGGCCACAGGTCGTTTTCTCGTGTCTCCCCTATATGGTGTTCTTTGGTCTGATACGGACAGTGCAACAAGTAGGCACTCGTCCATCATCTCAAGACCTTTCTCTTTGATTGTACCTTCGGTCATATTTCTGACATTCAAAAGTGCCATATAAATGTAAATTTGTATCATGTTCTAATAATAACCCTACATTTGACATAACGCCTCATCAAGTTGTTGAATATACTGTAAAAGTGAGTTGATTGTGCGTTTTGTGGGAGAAACATGGTGTTGCATCATGGTGGGAAGTGGGGGAAGGAGTAATTTATCACAAGAGCTATCAGCACAGGAACTCTGTCTGATTTTCCATACGCTAATCCAGTATGTTAAGATCACAAGTGTCCCTTTAGTGCTGCCCAGATGACAATACCAACAAAAGCATCGACCAACAATAAAAACTGGGGCCTTCCTGGTTTCTGTTGATCAGCATTGGGCAGCAGCTTTAACATCTGAGCTGTTGACCAGATTACAGGATCAGCTTGGATGAAGAAGGCCCTTCAATCCATCCAATCTCATCTTTCCAGAACAATCACAATATAATCTCCCCACCATCAGTTTCAAGCTGCTTGTTAAATTAATTCAGTTGATGATGTTCTAGTGGTGAATTCTGAAGTGAGGTGGATTTTTTCCACTCCAATTGGGGAATACATTGGTGTCTTCTTAGCTCCATCCCCATCAAATAAAACACCCTCAAGGTTTACTTTTGTGGCTTAAAATACCAACTCACTGAACTGCCCCCCAGCCGTTACAGACTTGCAACACACCCATATTGTTACAACTGACCCTCTCACCTGGGCATTTTGGCTTCTGCCATCCACATGAGGTCCATGTTGCATGCTAGGACAGGTATATGTGGATAGGGAACTCCCTTCACTGTGTTTCTGGGGTTTCCATTAGTCAATAGAACATCAATGATGAGCTGCAGATTGGTCTCCCATCTTATTGGCTCTCCAAATAGGATAACAGCTGCAGGAGGCAGATAAACAAAACTACATTTGTATTATGCCTTTCATGTCAGGAGGATGTCCCAAGGCGCTGGACAATCAGGAATCCACATCCGATCCGGTGGTTGGGATCAGGAAGGGTGGAGCGCTGGGTAGGAGGGTGACCAAAGGCACGGTTGAAGAGGAGGTTCTTGAGACGGGTCTTGAAGGAGGCAAGGGAGGGGGCAATGCGGAAGGACCATGGGATGGAGTTCCAGAAGCTGAAGGCCCGTCCGCCAATGGTGCAAGGCGGGAGACGTGAAGCAGGCCTGAACCCGCTGAGCAGAGGGAGCGGATACGTTAGTAGGAGGTTACGAGGTTACAGAGGTAGGGAGGAGCAAGCTCTTGGAGGGCTTTGGAGGTGAAGACCAGGATACTGAACTCTATCCTATGAGTGATGGGGAGCCAGTGGAGTTGGGTGAGGATGGGGGTGATAAGAGTTGCTGTTACATATAAAATCTAGCACTTACCGTCTATATGGGGGAAGGTCTTGGTGGGTGGAGGCTGCAAAATAGAAGAGCCCAGAACACAGGTTTCAACAGATTAGATACAATTAGAGTATGAAAAACTTGCAATTTTTATAGCAGCTTCTTGTGTCAAAGGTTATGAAAATACATCATAGTTGTCAAGTGTAGTGACTGCATTTATAGGCAAATGGGGCAGCCAATTTGCACATAGCATGTCCCACAAACAGCAATGAAATGAATGACCCATTTATATGGAACAACGTTGATCAAGACATTGTGAGAAACTCTTCTCCTATCCAATAGTGCCGCAGAATCTTTAAATATCCACCTAATTGGGTGGACTGGACTGGACATTTTTCATCTAAAATACAGCATGTAAAGACTTGTACTGAGCTCCCCAAGTACTTCCAAGTGGTGTTCAGACTTAAACTCACAGTTCAAACTGATTGGCTTCAATCCACAACTTTCTGACCCAGAAGCGAGAGTGCGACCAGAGCATGCTGCAAAATCAACTGCAGCTAAATTCAAGGCACTGAAGACACTCTTGGCTAAACAGTAATTTTGATCTGTATGAGATGAACTGATTCTCACAGCACATTCTTGTAATTTCATCCACTGAGCAGCACTCATGGGCAATCTCAGTTGTCTTTTGGTACTTTCCATAAAGAGCTATGGGTTGGGCCAATGGAAAAGTGCAGAAATGTTTGCCAAGAATTGCGGGGAAATTTTTGACAAATTTTGCAAAAAATGTCGGGGAGTTGATTGGTGCTATTGAAGTACATTTTACTGCAAACCTACATTTTTTCACCCTATTGATTACAACAACAGCATTACATTTGTATAGTGCCTTTTCATGACGGGAGGACGTCCCAAGACGCTGGACAGATAGTGTTTCAGACCTGAGCTGGGGGTCGGGATCGGGAAGGGTGATTAAAAACTAAACATGAGGAAATAACACATATATAGACTTGCAAAAAAATATTAATTGTTTTTTTAACAAACTCTGGGTGGCCTTTTTTTGGGGACGGGAGGGCGAAAGTAGGGGAAGGGGGACACCAGCGAGGCAACAGGAGCACTTGGGGCCCAGCAGCGAACACAGACCCAGAGAGAGAGACGCATGGACACAGAGACACACATACACACACATTCAGAGACGCACGCTCTCACAGACAGAGAGACAGACACACATTTATAGACACAGAGACACACATTCTCAGAGACCCACTCACATACAGACACCCACAAACATGTAAGAGAACATAAGAGAGCCACACACAGACACACCTGCAAACACACATAGGAAAGGGTGACCTAAACGTACTCACATAAACATTCAAGAGAGAGATACACACAGATACACACACAGAGACATACACACAAGACAATCATACACACTCACACACAGATAATCACAACAGCGGGACCTCCGAATGAAGCCCATTTGCCGCTTGCGTCACCCCACGCATGCACGTTTGGAGCCGCCACACCCACAGTGATATGAGGTAAACAGCAGGGAGGCTGCGGGCCAGAAACTACATTATAGCGGGTTTGTAGCAGAGGGGGGTGTTTGTAGTGGATTCCGCGGAAAACGTGTGGCCACACTGTTTTATTGGGCCAGGCTATGGGGTACAAGGCTTCTGTGTGAAGGGCACTGGCCATGTTGCTCTGAGTGAAAACACCACTTAAGACACTAAGCCTCAAAACTCATTGCTGAAAGACTGTTCACTCAGCGTGCAGAAGATTGTGATGGAGAATCCAAGCAACCATGAAGTTGGATCCAACCAGTATAGGAAGTCTGCAAATGTTCCAACACACCTGATTATCATTATCAAAATAAAATTAGTCCCTCAATCCACAAATGTTTGTGGGACACTGCAGCACACAATTAACTGCTGTATTTCACCCATAAAATACACACTTTACAATATATTCTGTGAAGCGCTTTGAGCCATCTCAATAACATGATAAAACACTATATCAAGTGCAAGGATTATTATTATTCAAATCCAGTGAGACTTACAAGGTGCAGATAGCACTCAAATTAATAACCACTAGTTCCTCTGCTACTGCAATGTATTTCCTTAATGATCTCAGGATATGAAGGACTATCCATTTGAACATACAATTTTTGTACTAAACATTGCTTCGAAAAGAGCTCGTCTCACTGTAGCTTAGGGGTTAGAGCATTCGCCTCACAAGCGAGAGCACCCAAGTTCGATTCACGGGCAGGGTGAAACATTGGGCAAGTTTCCTTACTCCACATGTCTGTGTTTACCTAGTGTTTTGTAGGAACCCAGTTGTTTGGCAGATTGCTTTCTGAGGATGATAATCCTTCCAAAACAAAATTTAAAAAACTAAAAAATTTGGTCAATTAATCCACCATTGTTCGTGGGACACTGCTGTGTGCAATTGGCTGTAGCATTCGCTCACAAAATAGTGCTTTACAATATATTCTGTGAAGCACTTTGAGACGTCTCGAAGACATAAGACAATATATCAAATGCAAGGATTATTATTGATGTGTTCTGTATACACATCCCTCAACAGTATTTACAGAACACAATAATAATAATCCTTGCATTTGACATAACGCCTTATCAAGTCGTTCAGATGTCTCAACGCGCTTCACAGTTTATATTGTAAAGTGGAGTAACTGTATTTTGTGCATGTCTCTGTGTCTGTACTTGGACTTTAGTGCGAGGGAAAGGACTCCCCAAAGTGACAGCTTTCATTTATGCAGAGGTAGCAGTTTTGAGAAATAGACTTGCATCTTACTTAAGAAATTAAAGATCTTGTGAGGCACAGCACCTACCAGTTCTTTCGGTCTGCGGTTGCGATCCACCACATCCAGCAAGGGGAAAGCCTCCCGAAGCATCTCAATGGTGATCACTCGCTCAAAGCCCAGACTGAGCGGCCACGTGTTAAAGTATCCAACACAGTGGAGAAGCATAACATTTCAAAGGAGGACAGTGGACGGGAAAGTGCTCCCTCAATGACTAAACATGAAGAACTTGTTTCTCCACGAGCGAGATAGTTTGATGTTTCCATTGATATTCACCCTAACATGGATACATTTTCATTCTGCAATCGCCCTTCATCAGGGAGCATCTCCAATGATGTAATTAATTGGAAATCGTAACTCTAATGAGCAGGGAATGCCTCCAGTAATGTAGTCCACTTGTATACCACGGAGTGTCTCCAATGATGTTGGTGAGGGAGAGTGGCTGAGCTCAGAATTGGAGGATTGCCCATGTACTTCTGAGCCACCCTGAGAGATACTCACGCAATAATAATCCTTGCGTTTGATATAGCGCCTTATCACGTTTTCGAGTCATCTCAAAGCGCCTCATAGAATATACTGTAAAGTGAATTGACTGTATATTTTGTGGGCGAAACAGCCTCAAGAGCTGGAAGAACAAGGACATTGGCAGAGTGGTCACCCACCTGGCACATATGGTTCATGGTCATACGGATCACTGTGTGTTATCCTGACTGTGGAAGTTGTAAAGGGGAAGTCTTGTCAATAAAGCTTTCACTTGTTTCTTTTCCTTAAAAGTGCTTTACACTAGGTGGACTGTGCAAAAAAGTGTGCAATAGACTTATAAATATCTTTCTGTGTTCATAGCTCAGCATTTTGCAGATAGCTGCTCTATGCTGTTAAATAAATGTTGTAAAATACGAACACCAGGATGGTAGAAGGCCAATTGGATGAACCTTGATGTTTTTTGTCTAATAATTTCTATGTTCCTAAACGTCTGCATCTCAAAATTACTGCTTCTCATCTGAACCAGTGAGAACTGTGTGGCTTAGTAACTGGGAAAAAATTGGAAAAGGAATTGTAAAAGATCTTCAAAAATGACCCAACAGTAGAGGATACTTCCTGGCAATCTCCTCCACATGGCCTTGTCCCGACACCAGAACATTCTTGTTATGGAAATCTCGGAACATTCTCAAAGGGCTGTGGGACAGCATCACTTGATCCTGTGAGACCTGAACAAAGCAAAAACATTATCAGCTGCACAGCACATGGTGGGAAGTGCTCTAAAAGTGAATGCCCACTTTCAAACATTGCTGCCAACATAAAAGTCGTAATAATCCACAACATATATACAGTGGCTGCAATGTAGACATCTCTGCTACAAACCGTCATTTGAAGCTGAATCCTTAAATTATTTTGAAAAGGAACAGGTTAGATTATTGAAGAGGAGGCGGCAAAATCTGTACAATACAACGCAATACAATTTACATAGCATCTGTCATGAATACGTCTCAAAGTTCTTGACACTGCTGATTGGGCTCTTGAGCTGGGGGTTGGAGGGGAAAGATAACCAAAAAGTGTACGTCTTAAAAAACATTTTTCCTATTTATGTTTCATATATAAAGGGTTTTGGGGGAAAATGCATTGGAGTGGGACTTTCAGCATGTTGGCACAGGGACAATGGGTCATAAATTTCTCCTAAGCTGTACGATTTTAAAGGGCATGTGAAGCAAGCAAGAGAGTGATTAGATTAGGTACTTTGCGTGGAGGAAAACACCAGCACAGATTTGATGGGTTTTGGGATGTCCTTCTGAGTGAAAAGCTCTATACAAATTTAATTTGTTGTTGTTGCTGTTTATCCGCTCCAAACATTCTCACACTGCTTGGTAGCAATGAGCCACATGAACTGGAAAAGTCCTGAGTACAATCCTCGGTTGAGCAGCTCCCACGGTTGAACAGTCAGATGCTGCTCAATGTGTCTGGGCTTACACATGAATAGGTACATATACAATCTGCAATTGTGCGACACGGTACAGTACTTCTGTACTCCAGCATAACCGATCTTATGGAAGAAGACAGGAGAAGAAATTGGAAATCATGTCTTAAAACACCTCATTGCTTCCAACAGCCCACTGTTCTCAACAATATTCTGTACATCAGTAATGTTCAGTAACCATACATTGTCACCACAATACACAGTTGACAGTAACACGAGTCCCTGAATCTTGCTGTCAGTACCATCAGGATTCAGGGGCTCATGCAACTCAATTCTTGGAGATCGCAACTGCCAAGAACTGGAAAGTTGTCCACTGCTCCTTGAGATCAGGTTGGTAAACGCAGGTATAAATAAATGAGCAACTATCACATTGAAATGTCTCAAAGAGCTTCCAGGTAATTGCTGTACAGTACATTGATATTTTTGCAAGCAAACCCAATTTTGTGTGCAGTTAAAAGTCCTACAAATTGCCATGAGGTTAATGACCAATTTACCTGGAGGATTGTTGGCCAGGGCAAAAGGACCTCTGACAATGCAGCATTCCCTCAGCCATAATTCTGACCTCAAGTCCCAAGGGGATTAAGCTTTGTGAGCCCATTTATGCCCAGCTTCATTGGCTCCCTGGCCCCAAATAATCAACTTCAGGATTCTTGTCCTCACCTTAAAAGCCCTCCATGGTCTTGCTCCATCCTGCTTCTGGAGCTATTAAAACTTCACCAAGCTATCCATTCTCTATGCTCTGCAGGCAATAGCCCACTCCACGTCCCCCGCCCTGCCTGCTCCACCATTGGCAGTCAGCCTTTATGCTTTCCACCCTCTAGAACTCCATCCCGGAGCCCCTCTGTCTCGGTCCTACCTTGCCTCCTTCAAAGCCTGTTTCAAAACCTTCGGTCACTTTCTCTGCTCCACTCCCCTTACTCTGTACCACTCTGATCTCAACTCACAGCTTCGGTGCAAACCCTTCATAGTCCAGCGCCTTGGGATGTCCTCCCGACATGATAGCTGTCAAATAAATGCAATTGTTAAACTCACCCAGCGGCAGGAGTGCTTCTGTCCGTACCAAGCTGAACATTTTCACAACACTGTTATTCAAATTTAATTGTAAACTATACCTTTATCCTGATAACTCAACGACAGCCCACCAGGCTGAGACTCACCTCCACATCCAGAATCTCAGAAAGCTGTTGTGCTTTTGCTTGTCGAAGGCAGTTCCCAGCATTTGTCACAAACACAACGGGCACCTGGAACTCTCCGTTGTTGTCGACCAGTTTCCGGAAGGCTTCCTTCGCTGCTGGGATGGGCGTGCGACCCCGGACAAGAACACCATCGATGTCAAACAGTAGCCCAAAGGTGGCTTGGCTCTACAGCAAACAGGAAAAAGATGGTGAAATGTGGCCGATATTGTCTCACAGCATCAACATAGGAAGATGACAGGTTCTCGCCCTACCTCCTCCGAGGATATGGCCAGTTCCCTCTTTGAGCAGAGGATCTTGTCCCTCTGTTCCATAGGCCTGTCAATCTCACTCATCCCATGGACTACTCCATCTCTTTCTTTTTATCTATGGACCAGTCCTCATCACCACCTTTCCATAGGCTTTCATCCCATAGATATCAGTTTCCTCCATCTAATCCATGGACTTCTGACCTCCCCACACCCCATCAACCAGTTACTCTCCCTCTTCCTTCCCATGGACCAGCCACTCTCCCTCCTCCAACTCTCCATGGGGCAGTCACGCCTCCCCTTCCTCCCCACAGACCAGTCACTCTCCCTCCTCCTTATGGACCCAAGTCTTTCTCTGAAAACAGGTCCCAAATGTCACCATTTATTCTTTTTGGCTCTCCTGGCTCCAGCCTCCCGCTCATCCCTGATCATCTGCTTCTCCCTCACTCCCTGTGTTCCACCATTGTGCTTTCAGCCACTACAACAACAACAACAACAAAATTACATTTGTATAGCGCCTTTCACGTCGGGAAGATGTCCCAAAGGCTCTCGGACAGTTTTGCACCTGAGCTCAGGGAGGGTGGAGGGCAGGAGGGGAAGTAGGGAGATGGAAAGCACGGTCAAAGAGGAGTGTCTTGAGATGGGTCTTGAAGGAGGTGAGGGAGGAGGCGGGACGGAGGGACTGCAGGATGGAGTTCCAGAGGGTGGGGGCAGAGTGGCTGAAGGCCCGCCTACCAATAGTGGGGCGAATGAGGCGGGGGGCGTGAAGCAGGCCGGAGCCCGCTGAGTGGACAGGATGGTCGGGGTAGGAGGACGCAGAGGTAGGGGGGAGCAGGCCATGGAGGGCTGTGAATGTGAGGGCCAGGATCTTGAACTGTATCCTCTGTGTGACGGGAAGTTGGTCCACCCCAAGAACTCTGGAGCTCTCCCCCCAATCTCTCCTCCTTACAACAACAATTTGCACGTGCACAGCGACCTTCAGGCGGGGCAGCGTCCCGGAGATAAACCCTCCCTCCCTCCCTCCTTTCAAATCGCACTTCAACACTTTCCTGTTGCACCGCGCTAACGGCTGTCTCCCCCGGGCCCGGCCTCAGGCTCTGCCCCTGTGAAGCGCTCCCAGACGCTATCCTGCGGTGAGTGTCACTATATAAGTTGTTGGTTTTTTTTTGCAGTCAAACCCTCTCAGTTAGAGAGGGGCAGCGGAGACAATGTGCACCTGGTGTGTGACTGACCTTGTGCCTGGCCGAGGCGGGCCTCAGGCCGGGCTGTGCGGCTCTCAGAAGCTGCCGTAGGTTCCTCAGAGCCGCCATCGTGCACTGGCCTCGCGGCGCGCGACGTCACCGCTCATTCTATCTGGTCACGCAGCGAGAGAGAGAGAAGCGCCAATTGGGGCTACCGGCGCCGCGCCACGTGATCCCCTTCAAACCCGCCATGGCCGCAGGACTACAACTCCCAGGATGCTCCGAAACGCACCGCCGCCACCACGCCCTCTGGGTAGTGTAGTTCATTCGGAAGCAATATTGGGCGGGTTCACACGCAATTGGGCGTTTTGTGAAAAAAATCCTTGCATTTGGTATAGCGTCTTCCACACACCTCAAAGCGCTTTACAGGTTTGCAAAGTGTATTTTGCAGCAGCCATTTGCACTGTGATGTCCCACAAACAGTCATGGAGTGACTGACAAATTATATTCATTTTAATCAGAACAATTGTCAGGCTGACTTAGTTGGTTAACAATAACAACAGGATTCCATTTATAGAGCGCCTTCACGTCAGGAGGACGTCCCAAGGCGCTGCACAGTTGGGTCAGGACCCGAGCATTGGGGGGAAATGGTCAGGGTGAGGGGAGGGAAGGGAGGGAGCGAGGAGGGGGTAGAGAGTCGAGAGGGGAGCTGAAGGCTCGGTCAAAGAGAAAGGTCTTGAGACCGGCCTTGAGGAGGAAAGGGAGGAGGCGGCGAAGGCACTGGGGATAGAGTTCCAGAGCCTCGGGGCTGAGAGGCTGAAGGCCCGGCCACCGATGGTAGGGCGGTTGGGGCGGGGGATGTGGAGGAGACCGGAGCCAGAGGAACGGAGGGTACGGGCAGGTAAGTAGGGGGATAGTAGGTTGGAGAGGTAGGAGGGAGCAAGGCCGTGAATGGCCTTGTAGGTGAGGATGAGGATCTTGAATTCGATCCTCTGGGGGATGGGGAGCCAGTGGAGGCGAGCGAGGGTGGGAGTGATGTGGTCCCGAAGCCTGGTGCGGGACAGTACACGAGCTGCAGAGTTCTGAATGACCTGCAGCTTGTGGAGGGAGGTGGCGGGAAGGCCGGCGAGGAGAGAGTTCCCATAGTCCAGCCTTGAGGTGATAAAGGCATGGACCAGAGTTTCAGCAGCGTGAGGGGTGAGGTAGTGCTGTAGTCTGGCGATATTTCGGAGGTGAGGGAATGCGGTGCCAGTTGTGGTGCGGATATGGGGGAGAAAGAACAGCTCAGGTCGTACAGAACCCCGAGGTTCCTGACTGGTTTTGAGAGGTGGAGAGTGCAGCCTTGGATGCTGATGCTGTCAGTGCCTGAGGTGCGGAGGCGCTGACACGAACCAATCAGGAGGGCCTCAGTTTTGCGCACGTTGAGCTGAAGAAAGTTGTCTCTCGTCCAGGACTCGATGTCGGACAGGCAGCTGTCAGGACATCGGTGGTCGTGGAGTTGAGGGTAGAGGAGGAAAGGTAGAGTTGGGTGTCATCCGCATACATGTGGAAGTTAACCCCATGTCTGCGGATGATGTCACCAAGGGGGAGCATATAGAGGGTGAAGAGGAGGGGACCGAGGACAGAGCCTTGAGGGACACCACACGAGACAGTGTGGGGGCTGGAGGAAAAGCCGTTTGTGGAAACAAAATGAAGACGGTGGGAGAGGTATGACCTAAACCACTCAAGGACAGGGCCTTGAAGGTTGAGGTGGGAGGATAGCGGTGGAGGAGGATAGAGTGGTCAACCGTATCGAATGCTGCCGATAGGTTGAGGAGGACAAGGAAGCAGAGGGAGCCCCGGTCGCAGATGGTCAAGATGTCATTGGTGACCTTGACCAGGGCGTTTTCTGTGCTATGGGCAGCATGGAAACCCGACTGAAGGGGTTTGAATAATGAATGGGTGGAGAGGAAAGAGCGCAGTTGGGAGGCGACGACTCTTTCAAGGACCTTGGACAGGAAGGGGAGGTTGGAGATGGTTAAGCTGGTAGCCTAGCTGCTGCTGTATTACTTTATTGTCCAAAGCACTCAGCTCAATTTGTTGATGAAGGACAAGTTCTAATTGCTGAGAAATCCCAGGAGCTGGATTTAAAACCTGCCACTTTGCAATATTTTCCCCCGAGCAGGAGCCCCATATTCAGTAGGGTCATTGGCATATCAGGCATCAATCTGTCTCTGCCATTTGTTGAAATCAAGTTTAGGATCTGCATCGGTCTTCCTGTTGACCACTCTGGAATGAACTGTAATAATTTGTTACTGTAAACTAAGAATGACCAGAAGAGAAACAAAGCAAACTGAACTTATCATGGGGACACCCCTTGTTTATTGCAAAATTAATTATACAAACATTTTTGATAGACATTTCTAAATTTTATAGAGAACATCCTTTCCATTTATAAAAAAATCTGACGAGCAGGATTGTGGTGCATGGCGAAGATATCTGAAATAGAGATATTCTAGTCAATTAAAAATAAATATCAATATGGTCCGGTGATATGCAGTAAAGAAATGCTGACCTTGGTGCTGACATACATGGGCTTTATTGTTTCTCCCTGCGAGACCCCAAGAGTGGCATGAGACAAACTCTCTGCAGCTTGTATCATTGCGTGGAATTTCCCACAAGACTCATCAGCAAAACCTATTTTCTGCTATTTTGAGAAGTATGGGTGAAAAGGAGGCTGTCCACCCTTGTGCTCCTTGGGTGAAGAGCGGAGATGGAGACTTTACAGGACAAGCAGCAGCAGCTTCCCAGAACATTTGGAAGAACCAACCAAACGAAACACCGCTTCAAATGCCATTGGACACATCACTATTCTGACTGCATATTCTCACCAATGTTGGCACATCTGCACAACCAATCTGAGATTCACCAACTTGGGCAAAGTTAAAGCGGTCAACAAGAGTGTCAGGGGATTATATTCAGAGTTGTGACCATCAATCGTGAGGCACGTTGCCTTTATGTGAAGCTTCTGGCAATGAATGCATCTGAAAGAATTGTTTTGACTGATGAGTGGAGAGTTAGGACAGACTGGTGATTGAACCCATGATCTTCCAGAATAGTATGGCTTTGTACCACACTGTGATGCCTTTATCCACTGAGCCTTTGGGAAAAACTCTCAAAACATAAGGTGCAATCGCAATGCAATTTATTTGCTTCAAAAGGGGTCAGTGGATAAATGCATTGCATGCTTTGATGATGAAATATGGAAACATTGAAGTCCCAGGTTCAATCTTCTGGGCAGCAGAAGGAATACAATTCACCTCAGTGACCCTTGTTGACAAGGGTGGGAAATCTCAAACAAAGCTGGGGAAAAAAATGAACCTCCAAAAAGATCAATATCAGTGGTTGCAACACACCCTCTCCAAAATCTGGATTGCAAAATGGTGCTTGGAACAGGCAACACTGAATGTCCTGCTAATCCTAAAGCTACCTATTCCAGACACCTTTAGGATTAGCAAAATCTAAAATCCTTCTCTAAACCATAGATTTTTGCTTTCAGGTTTTTGAGTTCCCCCTGGATCTTTCTGGATCGGCCATTGGTTTGGCGCACCTCACGAAGGATTGCAAGGTCCTGGTCAGGACCAACTCCAAGTGTCACCTGCAAAGAGAAAGGAGAAGCTTGTGATAGCATGGAATTACTGGACACCATACTGAACGCTCATCCCACGGTTCGTGAAATTCATTTAAAGTTATACTATTACTGAATCATAATAGTTTGATTCAAAATGGGGACCCAACAATATCTGGGGAATTATGATGTCAATACCATTGGTTTTGTGTGCCTCCTCATCACTCTACCACATGAAGCTGCTGCGTAGGTTTGGTGTCCCCAATTGGTAGACCCCGACTGACTTTCAAGCCGCATATCTGAGCTGTCAGTCAATTAGCTTTACTTCATCTCCGCAACTTTGCCTACCTTTGACACTACCACACTTCCTTGGCTGCAGAGACCTTCATTCATGCCTTAATTAATAACAATTCCAGCGCTCTCCTTTGCTCCTTCTAACACAAGCTCCAGACCATCCACAACACGTCAACTTGTGTACTGCTTATAAATCTCACAAATGAAAAACTTTGTTGTTGATTATTGATATTTGGAATTGAATTTTGATCCAAGAATTTCTTTCCTCATTCCATAAGCACTTGGTTAAACCAGGCTGATCCACGGGCAGTGCTTGTTCAGTGGCCAACAACAAGTGTTTTGGGGACAATTTAACATGAGGATATTAGAGCCAAGTCCTCTCCTTAATCCATGACCAACACTGCATTTTACAAACTACTACTCAGCAAACGCTTCCCAAAAATGGCACTTTATCAACTGCAACTCAGTCATACTTGCCCAACATTGTACTATAAAAAACATCCAGTTACATGTTCACAACAGCTTACTGCGAGAGCCTTATGTAAAGGTACAAATTGAATGCAAACAGCAAATTGAATTCATGAATATAATTAATATTTATCTTTAAATCCCTTTAGTCTCGTCCCAACCTACCTCTGCGACCTCCTTCAATCCTACCAACCCAGCCATTCACATCAGGAGTTTGTCACAAACCACAAAGCAAATGTGACATCTCTCTTACACAGTTGAGCTCCTTAACTTCCTGGATTAGTGGCTGTATATGTCATTGATAATACAGTGGGAGGCAAAGTTACAGAGGTGGACGAAAGCTGAGCGAGTGAGAACCCAGATATGGGGTTTTGTGACATCCTCCAAATGTGAAAGATGCCATATCAATATGCTCCATAACAATTAATCAAATTTACATCTCTCAGGGCTTATTTTGCGAGTGACATTGGGGGAAATAGGTGAATTGGCCATTTATCTACCTACTCTACTGGGTGCTTAGCGAGGAGGAGGGTCAGAAATGTGTCAAACGGAAAGAAATACAAACCCCGAAGAAACTGAGTGTTAAAAATGCGAGTGTTATCTTAACATCCTTGCTAAAGCAATGCTGACCAACCTTGAAAAGCTGCTTCTCCACGTCCTTGAGCCGTTGCCTCAGGAGTTTAATGTCACTCTTAAAGCCTTCCACTTCCATGGTTCGGCGCTTCTCCAGTGACTCGTAACGTTGCGTCACCAGCTGCAGCCGCTTCGTTGTTTTGTCAGCACGTTCCTGAATTGGAGCAGAACACACCAGGTCATAAACCTGTGCGCGTACCGCTAAACTGATGGAGAGTTTGAACATTTTCTCAAATAATTGAATTCAAAATCAATTGACTGAGTTTCTCACTGGTGCTTGGTCACCAACGAACTTAACACAGATACTGCCATGATATGGTTTCATGCGTAGTAGGATTATCCCATTGTGAATTTAAGGTCAAGCTTCAAGACAAGATGAAAATGAATAAAATCTATACAAAAAAAAGGCGGATGGCTCAACTAACAAACAGATACATTTACTAACCCGGAGAGTTACTGAGCTCAGTTGTGTGAGGGAGCTGAATTATTAGTCATAGATCGATTCACTAGCTTGGAGATATACTGAGCTTAACTGTGAGGAATCTGAATTATCAGTAACAAATACAGCCACTAACCCAGGAGGTTAAGGAGCTCGACAGTGTGAGAGAGCTAAATCACAAAACGCATTCAACATCATAAATGAACTATCCTCATTATCTGCTAAGTCACTCACTTTTTAAGAAAATGCTGAGTTTCACTGGATAGAAATTTAGGTTTTTGAAAAAAAGCACAAGATTGTTTGCTGTAGTGGACAGAAGTGGTGTCAGGATGTAACCATGCACAATCCTTTGATCAACAAATGCAGCAATGTTTCTCAAAGGAACTGACTCCTCACCGTCAATCGAACAGGATTGATGCATATCCAGTCCAGAGCCTAGTCTTCGGTTATTACAAAAATATTGGACATGAATGGACCATCTCACACATACCTCAAACAGTTTCTTGCCAACATCTCCCTCCTCCATTTTCCGCGCCAGGTCATCCTCCAGCGTCACACACTGCTCTCTGTACATGTCTGCCAGCCGATGTGCCTGCTTCAGCTGCTCCTCCAAAGACTAGTAAAAACAGTTACCATAATTGAGTGCATTTAGCACAACCCCACAGGCAAGCCGTATGTGGAAGGCACTTGTCACAAGTACTTTTGATTGGATTTTTAATGGAGGTGGGCAATCAGACAAATTTGTCACTTTGGTACTGTTTGGTCTGTTCCACCCATAAGGGGAATATCAATCTCAACAATTTTCCCCTTTATGGGATGACAAAATAAAAATTATTTGGAAACAGAAAAACTTGGATTTCTGTATCTGTGTGATGTGAAAACATCTCTGAGATTTTACCTGAGTCATGTGCAGTGATTGTTTTTAATAACTTGCCTACAAAAACCAACAAAACAGATCCATTTATACAAGCATTGTCCCACAAATAGCCACGAGGTGCCAGTGATAATTTAGGAGTGTGAACCTGACAAACTTTATTTTAGTTTCAAATTATATCATGTTATCTGAACTGGCAGACAGGACCTCTACCATCCTTGCGGGTAACGAGTTCCACCAGAGAATTATTTTCTGTGCAAAGAATTACTTTATGCTGTCGGTCTTAAAATTGCACGTTTCATTCCTGAACCTGTGTTCTTGTCCTTAGTTCTGGGTTTACTCACTCTCATGTTCTCTCATCCACCTCTGTGAGGTTTCTTTGTAAGCCTCTTTTCAAGGCTAAGGAAACCTTATTACTGGCACTTCACTGGTAACAATTTATGCTGAATAAATATTTGTATTCACAACTATTCTGCTTGAGCCACTGGTACATTAGAATGTACAGCACAGAAACAGGCCATTTAGCCCAAATGGTCTATGCCGGTTTTATGCTCCACAAGAGTTCCTCCTGCCCTTCCTCAACTAAGCCTTCAAGCATAATCTTCTATTCCTTTCTCCCGCATGTACCTATCTAGCTTCCCCTTAAATACATCTATGCAATTTGCCTCAACAACACCTTATGGTAGCATGTTCCACATTGTCGAGAAATTTCTTCTAACTTCCCTATTTGTGACTATTTTATATTGATAGACCCCACAAGTGGAAGCATCTTCCCTATGTCTACACTGTCAAAACCTTTCATCATTTTAAAGACCTCTCTCAGGTCACCCCTTACCCTCCTCTTTTCAAGAGAAGAGTCCAAGCATGTTCAGGCTTTCCTGATAGGCATAACCTCTCAGTTCTGTGATCATCCTTGTGAATCTCCTTTGCACCCTCTCCAGTGCCTCTACATCCCTTCTATAATGTGGGACCAGAACTGCACACAGTATTCAAGTGTGATCTAACCAAGGTTCTATACAAGTTTACCATAACTTCCCTGGTTTTAATTTCTATCCCACTAGAACACCATACATATCTATTCAACAAACCAATCAGGACAGATTCACACACCCAAAATAGTTGTTTGTATAGAAAGAAAGAGCAGGATGGAGCTGTTTACAGCTACTTCATGACAATATCGACTCTAATAGCTCCAATGTTTTGAAATTTTACCTTTATTTCCTCATTCTGTATATGTCGGATCTCATTCTCCATGGGCGACTCTCGGAGAATCAGTGCCTCTGGGTTGTGGCTCATGTTTATCTGCTCCTTGTAGGAGTCCAGCTGCTGCAGGAGGTTATCTTTCTCTGCCATCCAGGATTTCTCGTTTGCTCGACCCTCAAACTTCTGCTCCAAGAAATCCTTAGTGCTCTCATAAAGCAACTTCTGGGTCTTATGCAACCTGAGGAAATAAAGAACATCAGAAGGAACTTCTTCACCGAGGAAATGTGGAACTTATTACTACAAGGAGTAGTTGAGGCGAATGGCATAGATTTATTTAAGGGGAACCCAGATAAGTACATGAGGGAGAAAGGAATAGAAAGTTATCCTGATAGGCTTAGTTGAGGAAGGGCAGGAGGAGGCTCATGTGAAGCATAAACGTCTTAGACCAGTTGGGCTGAAGGGCCTGTTTCGGTGCTGTATATTCTATGTAATCCTATGTAAAGGAAAAACAGTAGATAGGACATGCTCTTTTCTTCTCCTCGTACCATCAATTTCAGGATTTCAAGATCAATATTTTGCAATTTCATTTGTTTGAAAAATTGTTACCAAATACAATTTATTTTCTCCAATGCAAGCAGTTGTGTTGTGGAATTACATCAATGGTACAAAGGAAGATTGGGGGGCGAGGGCAATACATCCAAGTCAAAGCCAAGTGATTTGGTGTAGCAGCAAGCGGGTCAAGGGGAATGGGCATAAATAATAATATAATAATAATCCTTCCATTTGATAAAGCGCCTTATCACGTCTTTGAGATGTCTTTAAATGCTTCACACAATATACTGTAAAGTGGGTTGACGGTATATTTTATGGGAGAAACGCAACAGCCAATTGTCCCACAAACAGTAGTGGATTGATTGACCACATTTTTAATTTGTTAGTTTTGTTTTTGAAGGGATTATCACCACTAGAAAGAGATCCGCCAATCCACTAACACTGGGTTATTACTGACTGCTAGGTAAACAGAGGCGTGCGGAGTAAGGAAACTTGCCTAAGATTTCGCCCCGCCCAGGAATCAATCCCAGGTCCTCTCACTTTCGAGGCAAGTGCTCTAACCACTAAGCTACAGTACCCCATAGATGAAAAGAATAGAAATAAGTGATGCGGGATTGCTGTCAGAAATTATGGAACTGAAGCATGGTTCACTTCCTGACACAAAGGCAATGAGAACAAGGGGACTGCTTTACTGTCATTGGTTACTCTTGAGCAAAATGACCTTTCTTCCTGTATCAGAAACAGCAGCAATAAAAATGGAAAATAACCTTAATTTAGATCAATTTACATGAAACACTATTTAAAAATCAGCTGCTTCACACAATTACATGGTAGAATGTTTGAAATAGAAATTTTTAGAAAAAAACTTTCTGTGCACAATTCCAATCCTGATTTTATCCCCAACCCATAAGTGAAGGGCACTACATAAATGCAATAATAATAATCCTTGCATTTGATATAGCACTTTTCACGTCAGGAGGACGTCCTAAAGCGCTTCACAGAACACACTGTAAAGTGAATTGACTGTATATTTGTGGGCGAACGCGGCGGCCAATTGCGCACAGCAATGTCCCACAAACAGTCGTAGATTGAAAATGCCAATTTTATTATTGTTTTTGGTTTTTGGAGGGATTATTATTAGGCGTGTGGAGTAAGGAAACCTGCCCAAGGTTTCGCCCTGCCTGGAATTGAACTCAGGTCTCTCGCTTGCAAAGCGAGAGCTCTAACCACTGAGCTACAGGACTCCACGAGTCGTAGATTGAAAATGACCAATTTAATTATTGTTTTTTTGGTTTTTGGAGGGATTATTATTAGGCATGTGGAGTAAGGAAACTTGCCCAAGGTTTCGCCCTGCCTGGAATTGAACTCAGATCTCTTATTATATCGAGTGCTTTAACCACTGAGCTACAGGACTCCACAATGCAAGTTGTTGTCTTAGGAATTAAAACATTCACCTTGATTGAAGAGGTCTGCACCTTTGTTTGTGTACCAGGAAGCCTTGAACCAAATGTTTATCTCCCCCTCCCCCCATTTACAAGGTTTTCCCAACTGCCATTCTTATGCCCAAAGTGTACAACCTCATACTTTGCAATGTTAAACTACAGCTGCATCACTGGACCCACGCGAAAAATCTATTTGTCCTTTTGTGCAGTGTCAGTTGCAAACTTGAACAAACTTCCCTTTATTCCCATATGCTGGTCATTTATATATAGAATCAAAAGCTGGGACATTGCTCCTCACTGCCCGCCAATCAGAGAACAACATTTTAATTTAAACGTTCTGCCTTTGAGCTGTACGAACATTGGTCAGGAGCAGAGTTGGTGCCTGAGCTGTGCTAGATATGGTTTTGGTTGATGTGAACCACCCCTTCCCATCGCATAGTACAAATCCCAACAGCAAATGTATCGGCAATGAAATTGCATAGATTTTTTCCTCTGGGCAGAAAACTCGCGCTGTGGGATCACTGACTTGTCTGTCAGATTTTTGATTTTGTCCTTGTCTCGTTCAAGCTGGACATGGGCCTCTTCCACATGAATCCTTCGATCTTCCAGCAACGTATCCACTTGTTCCTTAGCCAGCCGTGCCTGCTCCTCCAGCTGAGCTTGCAAAGCTTCAACCTGGAGAGTGAATAGGGAAAAAGGTCCCCCCAAAGGTTTTGACTAAAAATAGTCATACTCACACGGTTACATCAATATAATAATAAGAATCTTTGTATTTGATAAACCACCTTATCACGTCATTGAAACGTCTCAAAGTGCTTCACAGGATCTACTGTAAAGTGAATTCTCAGTTAATTTTGGGTCAAAATGCAATCGCGCACAGCATTGTCCCACAAATTGCCATAGAGTGAGTGACCAATTTTAAATGGGGTTGTTGCCCAGGAAACTAGGAGAAACATTCTTCTCTTTTTGAATTGTGTCATGGGATCTTTCACCCCCCAAACAGGCAGATGGAATCTCGGTTTAACGTCTCGTACAAAGAAATAAATTTGCCAAACATTTTAGTTCTGAAAAACCTCACAAGTATAAGGATGATTAATTTATCAATCCCTCCCCCCAACCCCACCACCAGTCTAAATAGTAATGGATTATTTCCACTGGCTGGTGAGTCAATAACAAGAAGCACAAAACTAATATAACAAAAAGAACAAAAGGGAAGTTTAAGAAGAGATCGACAAAAGGGTGCTTGAAATGTGGAATTATATAGTTTAAGGGAGTCCATAAATCCTTATAAAAGGAATTAGATGGATGCTTGCAGAGTAAAAATATTTAAGCATTTGGGGAGCAAATATGAGTGAGATTTAATTACTCACGTGGAGAAAGATAACAATTTAGTCTTGATGTGCCTTCTTCTGTGGTTGCGTGTTACATATAATGATTAGTTTATTCTGCTGACTAATACTTGTCCTGCTCAAAGTCTGTTAAAACCACAGTGAACACATCTGCCTGATACATTAAATATAGCCTAGAACAGCCTGGGCTGTGTTATAAATTTGTGCAATATTTGTGCCCTCAGAGACAGTCCATTTCATTCCTGCATTTCTGCTGCACTGACCTGTAGTACCAAGGTCTGATTATCTTTTTGATATTTTTCTGGAGTGGTGGGGCTCCCAACCCTTGCTGACTTCGATTTCACCCTTGGAGCACCTAATTAACATATAAATAAAGACATGATACAAATTCACACAATTTATCAGGAAACTCTCCACATAACTCTGCGTTACTTCATTTTGCATACATTAACAACAACTTGGATTTAACAATTTGGAGTGAGGAAGGGAGTTCCAGAGCTTCGGGGCATAGTGGCTGAAGGCTAGGCCGCCAAGGGTGGAGCAGAGGACTTGGGGAACGAGGAGGAGGCCAGACCCGGAGAAACAAAGGCAATGGGTACTGTTTTGAGGGGAGAGGTCAGAGAGATAGGGGAGTGCAGAGGAGTGGAGGGATTTGAAAACAAGGGTGAGGATTTTGAACTCGATCCTCTCTGGGGTAGGCAGCCAGTGCAGTCTGGCAAGGACTGGGGTGATTGGGGAGCGGGTGTTTGGTGCAGGTGAGAATGCGGGCTGAGTTTTCAATGATCTGGATTTCATGGATGGTAGTGGATGGGAGACTGGCGAGGAGAGCGTTAGAATAGTCCAGCCGAAAGGTGACAAAGGCATGGAACAGGGTTTCAGCAGCTTTCAGAGAGAGATATTGGCAGAGACGGGCGATGTGTCGGAGGTGGAAGAAGGCGGTGCTGGTGAGGGACTGGATGTAGGGGAGGAAGGATAATTGGGGGGTCGAACCTGACGCCTAGACTGCGCATGGGTTTGAAGAGTTTTAGGGGGAGGTCTGGTAGGTGGAGGAGGTGAGAGCCGTGAGATTTTTAATGCATTATAAATTAAAGCAATTGCTTGGTAAAATATTGAACTAACATTTTCGGATCACCTTTCATGTGAAAGAAATGCATCAAAGAGCTTTACAGAACGTAAATAATAATAATACTTGCATTTGATATAGCGCTTTTTACGTCGGGAGGACGTCCCAAAGCGCTTCACAGAACACACTGTAAAGTGAATTGACTGTATATTTGTGGGCGAACGCGGCAGCTAATTGCGCACAGCAATGTCCCACAAACAGTCGTAGATTGAAAATGACCAATTTATTATTGTTTTGGATTTTGGAGGGATCATTATTAGGCTCTGTGTGGAGTAAGGAAACTTGCCCAAGGTTTCGCTCTGCCTGGAATTGAACTCAGGTCTCTCGCTTGCAAAGCGAGTGCTCTAACCCCTGAGCTACAGGACTCCAGCATCTGAGTAAATTAGAAATTAAGTGAACTTTGTTAATGAGATAAATACAATCAAATTCGTTCTTACACTGACCTACTAAGTATGCCACCGCCATGAGAAAATTCCCATGTTTAGAATGCACTCCTCCTGGAGGGAGGCATCCTGCTTACCTAATTCCAGAGAGTATTAGGAGCAGGTTAGCAAGAGCTGAGACTTGGGGGCCCCCAGAGCAAACAATGGGGTACTGCTGGAGTTTAACCAGCTGAAGCTTGCCACTAAAAGTAATGCCTGGCAAGCTTCCCACTTCATGTCCAGGTGAGCAAATAAAATCCCCAGGCAAGTACACCAGCAGCACAATATCGACTGCAAACAGCATTGCAATCCTGTCAGGAATACCTGCAATAGTCCACACCAAGTCCACCCACTGGTGCCATCCAATATACCATTGATGAATGAATATAGCAAATACGGCAAGAGATAATAGACAGTCTTTCAAGATGGATAGGCTTATTGAGTGTCCTGTATGCCCTTATGCAGATATTGGAGCTGGTTTACATATTCTGAATAAATTCCCATGGCTTCCAGTTTCATCACAAGGGCTTCATTAGGCACAAGGAAATCAATGAACACAACTTGGGTGATTTCCCCTGAGCTTTACATTCCATTCCGATCTCAAATAAAGCCACAACCTGCCCCAAACACTCCTCATGAGGATAGTCCTTGGTCATCGAAATACGAATCTCTAATGTACATGTGGTGATAACCTCAAACACCAAATTCACCCAAAATAATTCAAGTTGATTTGGCATGCTTTCCCATCCCCAGCCCCAGTTCAGGCGCCCAGCTAGAACTGTTAAGCGCTTTGGGATGTACTCCACTCTCAACACGAAAGATTCTATATAAATTAAAATTTGTATTGTTCTATTGTCTACTCATTTGTGTCAATGAACAACATAAGGTGAGCAGCAAATTAGCTTGAATTTTTGGGGTGAATTTGGATAAGGAGGAATTAAAGAATTACCATTGAAACATTAAACTGACGGATGGGATTGCTTTGTTGATCCTCTGCACATTTGAAGCAACACCAACCAGCATTTGCCATTACATCATTTATCTCTGTTTCTGTCATTTGTTTGTGATACCTTTCCGATACCCGAGAACTACAGCCTAAGGTGGAACAGCTTTGAACAAATCACAGCTCTGCATCATTGCTGTACTGGATGAGAAGGCTACAATAAAAAAACATCTCTGGAGGAAGGAGAGTTTGAGTTTCACAATTAATCCTTACTGACTGGTTTGAGTGAAACCTAACTGTGTGCAAACAGGATAAATACTTACCAGTTTTGAATGATTTAATATTACCACATTGCTGGGAATCACCGTGCTGAGCAGCACGTTGGCGAATGGTGACCTTAAATAGAACAGAAAAGCCGCTGAAGTTAAATAATTAGGTTTGTTAGTTTTGTCTTGGCAACTGAATCATAAATGCAAGATCGTTAGAATCACAAAATGTACAGGGGAAGATTAGGCTATTCACCTCAATGGAGTTATCTATCCTAATCTCTTTTCCCTGCATTTTTTCCATCATATCTTTCATTCATTTCCACTATATAGAATTCTATTTAATCTTATATGGTCTTGTTGACTTGTACTGTGATCTTAAAATAGTAATAATTTTGGGTCTGTCTACTCCATCTATTGTTACAGTAAATCTTTTCCTGAACAATTCCTATTCCAATCATGATATCTCGAAGGAATAAGCTCAGAGTCACAAGTTAAATGCTGTACTTCACTCTGCTGGTAAATGGGCCGCCACAGTGACAACTCTTCTGAGACAGTGTTGAAATATACCGACTACCATCTCAGAGTGTCTTGGTATATTTCAAACAGCAACTGAATGTTCCAGAAGGTTTGATAGTTAAATGGTTAAAGTAGCTTTGCTGGATGGGTTGAAGTTAGCTTCCGATTACATTTTATATTTTCCTGGGAAGATGTTCACTCCTCTGAGATAATGAGCAATTGGGTCCTTGAGCAGGTGTAAGAACAATGGAGCACAGAAAGAAAAGGCTGCAGTCTCAGACACCTGCCTCTCACAAGGCTGAGAAACAATCAGGTTGTGGAAGGCTGCCCAGACGTTGTTCTCGTCTCTCTCTGTGCAAAACAGCCTGAAAAGGGTGGAAGGGTGTGACGAGGGGAGGTGGAGTTAGAAACACATAAAAGAAAGATGTAACTTTGAAATAGTTGGGAGTTGTGTAGAGGGTCAGTGCACTTCTCAGTGGAATCAATATCAATTCTACTGTATATATATATACACACACACACACACACACAGAGATGAGGGAATTTACCTCCAGTAAGAAAGTGACCATTAAAAGTGAGAGGAGTAGTGAGTAACATGATTTTGATTCTGTCTGTTGCCTAGTATATTTATATAAGGAATACAGTGTAGCTGATTTGTCTGTTCGAACGTTAATAAAACCTATATTTGAAACTAACGTGGTGTCAAGTAAATCTGTCCCAACAGGTTAAGTCCGACAACTCAGAATGAACCAAATTAACCGCCCAACCCACCCCACCACAAAAACCCAGATCCATCCAGAACTCATTACTGTACATTTGTTTCTAACAGCACTCACTTGGTGCACGAGAAGCAACTAGAATACCTTGTGGGGAGGTTCTTTGTAAAAATATGTGGTTTCTCCTGCTTCAGGTCCAACCAAAGCAATAAGATGTTGAATCTTCTTTCGATCTTCCAGCTCCCTTCAACAACAAATGTATAAGTTGTACAAAACTTTTGCACTCAGTAGAAATATTAATGGCTTGTGGGTTTTGCCCCACCAAAGAATCAAACCTTTGTCCTCTCACTTGTGAGACAAGCGAGCTAACAAGTATGCTATGGGACTTCTTAAAATGAGTAGCATGGACAACTCACTCAGTGCCTTGATCAACACAACAAGCAATTCAACACCTTGGAGTGGCTTTCCCTTGCCTTCGTTTCCTACCTGATCTTCAGCCGATCATTTTCAGCATAGAGCCTCAGCACGTGCTCGCGCTCCTGGAAGAGGTAAACTTGCATGTCGCTTAGAGCTTTTTGCAACTCTTTAATTTCCTCTTCTCTCTGCCGCATCTCCCACTGAAGTTTATGCTGAAAGCATAAATAGTTTCACAATCTCAATTGCAGCACTACTTTGTGCACTACGTACTTTGTACACTACGTCCACTCTAAACTGGAACGCTCCACTGGAACAGAGGAGGTTTAAAGGGGATATGTTTAAGGTTTTGAAAATTCTAGAGACGTAACAATGCAAACGGGGAAAAAAACTACAGTGGAGACTGCTTAATTCGGACACCAGTTAACTACGGACGCCATTTATTTTGGACAAAATGCCATGTCCCAATTTGTTTCTATTGTAAGCCCATTTAAAATATGCTGATTAATTCGGACAAAAATACTGTTAATTAGGAAAAACTGGTGCTCGCCGCTGCATCGACTCACTCGGACCTGATCTTTGATTAACATCAGATTCCACTCAGTCACAAGCGGTTCAGTGCTGTGAATCAATGAGAGGGCCAACCGAGACAGAGAGGAAAGAATGAACAAAGAAGCAAAACCAACCAAGAGTTGTCTACCGTGCATCAGGGAGCCTGACAGAAATCCAAACTACCAGATGATCAATTGGTGCCATTTTGGAAATTGCTAAAATATATAAGGCATTGGCGCAGCAGATTCATTGCATGTTAACAAAGTGCAGTTATTAGACAATATGGCCCACTACAGTACAACCCAGCAGAGTAATTTTACTCATTAGGGAAAAAGCCATGGAGCATTTCTGTTGATATAAATGAGTAGAATTTAAGGATTTGTTTCAACTGGGAGCAAATATATATCTTCGCTCAATAAAACTGTCCTTTTCAGTATTTTTTTACATTCAATATCAATAACTCGTGACTATATCCTCCTGTTGCGACTTACCTGCTCTTCATACGTGGTCTTATATTTGTCCAGTCGTTTCACCAGGTCCTCATGTTCTTCATCAAACTCTGCAATCTTTTTACGGTAATACTCCAGGAGTTCACGAGAAGGTCGTAGAAATGCCAGGCGGTCGTTAATCGAAGGAATGGGTGGGGAACTGTTTCGTGGAGTGCGTCGCTTTGTTGAATGGGATGAACGTTCCATAGCTGACCTACAGATGCAAACAAAGCATATTTCCACCACATCCACATCAATAAAATACATTAGAATTTGTATTGTCTTCATGCAGCACACAAAGTGATCAGAGGAAAACAAAGTGAGCAAGTGTATGAAGGAGCATTTTTGTTTTAGAAACATCTAGTCACAGGAATAAAAGAAAATAAGTTGTTTCTGTGAGCACTGCTCATTTCCCAGGAGCCAAGATACTCATCTTCAGACAGCAAAGACACCTTCCAGGCAGGATTCTGGTGTCAACGGCATTTCCCAATGCCTCAGTAAGAAAAGCAATTGCCAAGCTCTGAATACCTGATCTCAGTTAAAGTTCAGATTATGAATTGACCTCAAAAAATTGTGGCAGAGAAATCCATATTTAACCACCCTCTAATTGAAAGCTTTTTTTCCCAAGCATTGTACTGATTTCATACACACTTTTTTCATTAGTAGCCCAATATAATTGTTAGATCTAGGTCTGAATCTAGGGTGGGTAGGGAGGGAAGGAGGTTGGCAGAAGGCGTGGTTGAAGAGGAGGGTCTTGAGACGTGCCATGAAGGAGGCAATGGAGAGAGCAAGGTGAAGGAAATATGGGATGGAGCTGGGCAAAGTTGCGGAGGTGGGGGAAAGCAGAGCGAGTCATGGCATGGATTATAGGGTACAAAGGACAGTTGCGGATCAAACAAGATGCAAGGTTCCAGAATGACTTAGTGAGGTGGAGCATGCATCCATGGATGCAGTGCTTGAGGTGTGGAGGCGCTGATAGGAGTCAATCAGGAGAGCCTCGGTCTTTGTTGAAGTTTAACTGAAGAAAGTTAGCTTTCATCCAGGACTTGATGTTTGACACACATTCTGTCAGGACATCAGTGGTCCTGGAGTCAAGGGTGGAGGCAGAGAGATAGAGTTGGGTGTCATCCAACACATGGAAGTTGACCTCATGTCTGCGGATAATGTCACCAAGAGGAAGCGTGTACAAGTTGAAGAGGAGAGGACCAAGGACAGGACCCTGATGAAAATATCATTCAGGCAAAATGAAGGTTGGATTAAGAACATCTGAAAGAGCAATGGGAGTTTTGCGCTGCATTTAATTGGTAAGGACTGTTACCCACCAAAGTGTGTATTTGGGGGAGGTGGCAGGAGAAATTATTCATCTCACCAATACTGAAGATTTGCAATATTGAGAAAGAAATTTCACCTTAAACAACTTTACAATCTATTTGGCATTTGTCTTCCCAAAAATGCCTCTCCCTGGGAGGGAATGCATCGGACTCATTTTTTTCTTCTCAGGTGGCATGAATGCTGTTGTACTTACATAGGCAGATGTAATTTTCCCTTTTTTCCACCCTGTTCATTCATTCTCAGGCAAGAGGCAATGAAACAGACACAGGTTGTGATCTGGTCAGACACCCATCCCCACACTTAACATGATCTGAACACATATGTATGCCATGTACACACAGTCATCATCGCATTTGATATAGCGCCTTCAGTCGAAACAACTCAAAGCAGTTCACAGAATATACTGTAAAGTGAATTGACTGAATATTTTATGGGTGAAACATTGTTAAAATACATTAAACATTTTAAACTTCATGTTCCTTGGGATATCCTTATGATGTGAAAGGTGTAATATAAATGCAAGCTTTTCTGGTTTTGTAAACATTTTAACCTTACCGTTTGGAGCGAGTGACTCTGGACTGTGGAGTCTCCATTTCTGAACCAGTCACCCAAGCAGCTAAACCCTATTTACATATAAAAATTAGTGTGTACTCTACATAACGCCAAAATGCACCCCAATTGTTTGACAAAATGTTTGCCCTGCACCCAGTTCCCCCTCTCCCTTCACCCTCCTCCCACTGACTGGGCTCTTTCATACTTCCTCTCACACACTCACTGCACCCACTGGTTTCTAGTCACCGTCCTCTCTCTACGCATACGCGCACTGAACATAAACATTCCCATCTCTATCGCTCCCTTTCTCTGTATCTCCGCGACTTTCTGTTGACTGTCCTCACTTCTCTATTTACTTATCTATCTCTTTCTACTTTCCATTGCCTCATGTCTCTCGCGCTCTCTCACTTTCGTTCCCATACACGCTCCCCCTCCCCCTCATACAGTTAGTTCACTGTCTCTCTCACATGTTCTGTTTCTCTATCCCGGGTTTGCCGGTGACTCTCTCTCTCTCTCTCACTCACACTTTCTCTCTCCTTATACCCATCTCTTCGGGACTTGTGGTTGACTGTTTCTCTCTTTCCCTCTCTGTGTCTGTCGGGGCTTATCGTTGTCTCTCTCTGTATCGCTCGCACACATACACTGTATATCTCTATTATATACTTTCTCCCTCTCGTGTGCTTGTCTCCGCCGGGCGCGGCGTTGACTCTTTCCCCTCTCTCTCACTCTCTCGCTGCACTTTTACGTCCTCGTCGTACGCCGCCCGAGTACCGGCCTTTCCTGCCGTTGACTCCTCAACACTAGACTCTGAAACCCAATTGGTTTCCAAGATGGAGACGGTAACAGCCAATCAGGGACAGGATTGTTGGTGTGGGTGGAGGCGGCGCCTCTTCTCGGTGAGGTTTCCTTTGTTGGAATCGGAAGATCAACGGATTTTAATTGACAGCGAAACACCTGTGTGTGTGTGACGGTTAGAGACACCACGACACTCACACGGGGCACAAACTGAACGGAAATTAAGAATTTAAATAGGAAAATGAAAGAAAAGTGACCGAAAAGAAATGAAACTGGAGAGACATTAAAAGTAAGCAAAGAAGACCACTGAGGACCCCATCAGGGTTTGGTGAGCTCACTGCGCGAGGTCGCCATGACCTCGTAAAAGTGGGAGCTTTTACTCTCTCTCTCCCCCACCCTTCATGTTTACCCAATCAGAGACCTGTCGTCGAGTCATTGGAGAATCTGGACCAATCAAAGCTGGCGTCACAGCTGGCCAATCATAGATAAAGCTCAAACAGCCAATCGGAATACTGTTCTGATCAGCCTGGCCCCGAGGCAACCAATCAGAGAGTGAGCAGCAGCCCAGAGCGACGGAGAGTGAAGAGCGGCACCAATCAGCGACACGCTCGGGATGATCTTTAAACCGTTTGGTCGGAAGGTGGGGAAAAGTGCTATAAAAACAAGCCGGATCCCTCCGCAGTTTCAAAACAAAAAAACGGTAACTGAACTTCGAGGAAGCGAAATATAAAGCCTCGGGTTCATTTTGAAGGCGGGGGAGAACGCGACGAATAATGAAATAATAAAAGTCGCTTTTGTTTGCTTTCCTCTCAAAAGACGACTGATTGAAGAGTGATAATAGGTGTTTCTTGGACAGGGACTATTTCGCATGAGTGCGCGCGCACGCTTACGGCACCCACTGCGTGCCGCGGCGCGCTCGACCCCGCGCGGTGGTTTTGTTGTCTCCTCTCGAAGCCAAAGCCGAGAAGGAAAAAAAAATGTCTGGAGCGAGAGGCAGGGCGGCCCGGAGCAGCGTGGCGGAGGGCGAGGAAGGAGCAGCGTTGTTGTGGTGGTCGTCGGCTGTTTGCGAGGCGCTGGGGGAGCGGTTACTTTGAGAGGAGGACCCCCCCACCCCCGACTCCGCGTCCAGGGTTTGCTTCGGAAATTTACAAGCAGTCGAGGAGAGCAGAATAAAGAAGGGATATTTCAGCTCTTGTATCCGGGGGAGGGCCGGGCCGGGCCTGGCTGGGCTGGGCTTGTTTATTGTGGACAGGCCGACAGCCACGGTGGGGCGGTGGGAGAAGCTGCTCGGGCCGATTTCCGAGTGAAGAGGCTGAAGCGATGCGGCTGTGAGAGGAAGGAGGGACACTCGCCACATCCACTCTCTCCCTTTGTGTTGATCACTTTCTTTACGGCGGCGAGAAAGCGATTTGTGTTGATTACGGCGATTTGTGTTGGTTGCCAGGCCTCAGCCGCCGACGTCGTCATGTGGGTTTATTCGGAGTTCATCCCTCCGCCCGAGTGTCCGGTTTTCGAGCCGAGTTGGGAGGAGTTCACAGACCCGCTGGCCTTCATCAACAAGATCCGGCCCATTGCCGAGAGAACCGGCATCTGTAAGATCCGGCCGCCCAAGGTAGGTCTCCCACTGCAGTACCTCCCAAGGGGTGTGGGTGGTTGTATTTTTTTTAAAAAAATCAACCTTTTCCCCAACGACTTTTCAGCTGTAAACAATGCGCCTCAGAGCTGACGTATCGGTGGAAAAGTGTTTTGATCGATTCGTTTTCAAACATATGATGATATCGCCGCATATATAATCGCATCTTTCTCAGGGCAGTAAACTTGTGTCACTTGCCGCATGATGGAAATACCGTTCTGTCCCTAATAATAATAATCCTTGCATTTGTTATAGCGCCTTATCACGTCTTCGAGACGTCTCAAAGCGCCTCACAGAATACACTGTAAAGTGTAGTGACGGTATTTTGTGGGCGAAAAGCGGCAGCCGACTGTGCACAGCAGTGTGCCACAAACAATCTTTGATTGAAGTGACCGATTTTTTAAAGAGGAATTATTAATCCCAGAAAAGTGATCCGCCAATCGATTAACTGGGTTCTTATGTACTGGTAGGTAAAGAGAGGCGTGTGGAGCAAGGAAACTTGCCCAAGGTTTCTTCCTGCCGGGAAGCAAACCCAGGTCTCTTCCTTGCGAGGCAAGTGCGCTAACCACTGAGCTACAGGACTACTCTCACTTTCTGTCCACTCTTTTTAACAAAATAAACAAAGTTTATTTAAGGCTGTTAACCTATTCAGTATGACATTCTAGCAACCTCTTCCAAGCAATAACATTCACCCTTTCCAAAATAGATCTTGCCTGAATGGTTAATCCATGCCTCATCCACTTTTTAAACATACACTTCCCCCCACCACCACACCCCCCCAGTTCAATTCAATTCACACCAGTTCATCTGGCATTAATAAGTTCTCTTTGAACAGTGACTGGGTTTAGTTTTATATGGCTGCAGGCAGCCAGTGGAAGATGGTGATAATACTGTAGACTATTGACAGAATATAATAACAATCCTTGCATTTGATATAGCGCCTTATCACGTCTTCGAGATGTCTTCAAACGCTTCACAGAATATACTGAAAGTGAATTGACAATATATTTTGAGTGCGAAATGCGGTAGCCAATTGCGCACAGCAGTGTTCCACAGTCGTGAATTTAGTGACCAATTTATTATTATTTTTTGGAAGGAATTATTACCCCTGAAAAATCCATCTGCCAATAAACTAACATCCAGTAACTGGAGAATAGTTCATGTTTGAATCTCATTACTGTTCACTAAGAAATACCATTGAACAATGCACCTTTAATAATGAGTATTGCAGGTGAATCAGGAACTACGAACATTAATATGAATGGTAGAAGGATCCTTGATCACTTTGATCCTTGTTTAAAATAATAAATCTTGAAGAGCAGAGGCATCAATGTATGGAAAGAGGGATCAAGTTAGTGAAGAAGTTTATGAAATTAAAATCTAAAAAGTCAGACTTTGGCATCCATTATTACAATTTTACAAATTATTGTGTGGAGTATAGTTGGGTAATAATCTTGGCTTTGTGAAAGTACTGGATCTAGATTTATAAATAAAATATTCAGGCTGTGTTTTCTGATTGTCTTCCAACAATGCAGTTCAATGACAATTGTTTGAGAAATCACCATAAATTTACTCACAATGTTTACTGTAAAATTATCAAATTAATTATGCACTTTGCTTTATCTCTTAATTACATCATGTTTGCAGATTTAAAAAAACATGTTTAATTTGTCCCTTTAATTCACTCTGAGCAGTCTATTTAAGTGCAGAGATTTATTATTGGTAGGTAAATGACAGATGAGAGCATAAAACAAAAAAGAGTATTGTGTATTATGGAAAGCACTTGTTGGAGGCTGGTAGCTTCCAGAAAAAGATGTGGGTGAGGCACTTGTCAGATGTCAAATGTGACAAAAGAGATGTGTTCTCTGTCAGCCACAAGACCCCAATATGTTTATATTTATAGAACAGGTTTAAGTTGAAAACCACAATCATTTTTTAAAAACTTGTTGCTCGTCTTCACATAGTTATTTGGATGTGATAACCTGAAATACTGCAGTCTTTTTTAAAAAAGTTTGCCTTTTCAACCGTTTTGAAATTCATAATGTACAGAGAAGTAGAATTACAAAAGAGAATGCAATGCATATTGGAGCTTCACAATTTCATCAAGCTTTTAAAATGTTTCACTTCATCACAGAATAGGATTAAGTTTCTCCTTTCCAATTTATTTTGAGAGATAGAAAAGTTGGAGGTTGACTTTGATACGTTAAACCAAGACATCTGTTCAAATGGCACTGTTCGAAGAGAAGAGGGAGTTTCTTCCCCTGTCCTGACCAACAGTCACCTAAATAAAGTACGTCATTCCCTTCATGCTTGTGGATCATTGCTGCCCACAAATTGTCTGCCTCATTTGCCTTCAAAACACAACCAATCCACTTTGCAGCATATCCTCTGAAGCACTTTGGAATATCCTCCTGATGTAAAAGCTGGAAAACAAAGTGCAAGTATTATTGTGTATATATAAGGCCCTTTTTTAAAAAAATTGGAAAGCAGAGAAATTGATTTTGCTTCCTCTTATCAATATAATTTCTCATTCTAAATCCTTGCTTAAGGATTCATGATCAGAATATAAATGTGCAATTGTTTTTGGAGATGTTCCTTTTTGAATTGCATATGCCTCTGTTTGTGAAATTGTTGTTAGCCATTTAATTTTCCATTCTAAAATTCCAATGCCTTTGTCTTGAAAGGAAAGGGCATACAATGACTTAACCTCAGTAATCTAGGGATCACTAAAACTTTAAACAGAAACTTAATGGTTTGAATGCATAATGTAGTACATAATCCAGTGTGTAATTTACACTTTTTTGATCATGATCCCCCAATTAAATTGAGCATCCAGTAAAATACTGGCTGTTTGTGGGACCTTGCTGCGGCACGTTTGCTGATAAGCGCTCCAAGACCCTGTCGGGCATGAAGAGTGCTATATAAATGCAAGTTGTTGTTGATAAATACAAAGTTATTAACTTTACAGAAAACCACTTTGAGATGCTTTGATATAAGACACTGAAAGATTATCTTTAAAAGTCAATATTCAATTAAAGTGTTGCAAAGAAAATTGATGAAAAGCTTTTATAAATTGGTGCAAAAACTTGTTACCTTTGATTGTTAATTTAGACAAAAAAACAGTTAAGTTGCTGAAACACATTGAATGGATTTAAACTCATGGTTGAGGAAAGGGCAGGAAAATGACACAGAAAGCATTGCCAGCACAGACACGATGGGCCGAATGGCCTTCTTTTGTGCTGTATGCATTTCTATGGTTTTAGATTTTTTTCTTTATTGCATCAGTGGAGATTTTATGAGTGGGGGAGATGTAGATGAAGGAGATGGCTTGGGAGGGGGTTGAGATAACTTATCTTTTATAATTTGGTCCAGTAAATCTATTTTGTGAAATGTAGAAGTGTAAACTACCTCAAAACAATTGTTTTGGAAGAAGGTTGTGGGTTCAAGCCCCACATTGGGACTTTGAACTCAGTTGGCTGACAATTTGAATACAGTAGTGGGGGTGTTGTTGGATTTGCCCTTTTCGGTCTAGGTGGATGTTAAAGATTCCACAGTACTGTTTGTAAATAAAAGGAAGTTTCTCCTTGTGTCCTGGCCACTAATCCCCCAAAGAAAATTGATCACTCATTTCATGTTTATTAGCGGGAAGCTGATGTGTACAAATTAGCTGTTGTGGTTGCTCACCATTACAATGTGTAAAGCACTTTGAGGCATACTGCTTTTGGAAAGGTTCTATATCAAATGCAAGGATTATTATTTTTAATTTGAGTACTAATTTTTGGAAGCTTTTTGAAAGTTAATGGGTGCAAAAGAAAACTCTTGTGCTTTACTGTCTATGCACAATAAATGAAAAAATAAGTTTGATGGTTTCTTCCAAAACTTAACACATGCTGTGTATTGCATTTTGTGCTGGTTCTTGACTCCTGTGAAAAAAAAATAGTTGCAGTGTTGAGACTTGTGTATTTTTTATGTGTTAATCCTGTATCACAATTCAACATTGAAATTGTAAATTTTAGGCCAGAATTTGTAAATTCAAATATTGAAGATTTCTGCCACACTGGATTTTAATTTTTTTCATCTTCATTATGGTTTAAAAAGGGTGTGTATACAATGTTAAATTTGTCTCAATTCCCAAATGGTGAAGAGTGTGATATTGTACACTTAAACAATGCTGCAATGGCTTTTGAAAATGTAGAAATTAGCTTTACTTATTTTTTGATTGTAAAAACCTAAATAGCATAGTCAATAACTGGCTTGATTTGAAGTATTTTACTTCAAACAAAGTTTGGGTCTTGGGGTTTTCGGCCAGGTCTTCAGTGCAGAGCATATCATGTGCTATGCTTAAAGGTGTTCTGAACTCCATTCCCTTGGCTGGGACAAAAACATTTTTTGCCTTCTTTCAGACGATTTTCATTAGAATAAGGATACTTTATTTTTTATTCCTGAAAGGTTCCAAAAATTTTAAATGCCTCCCAATGACTCACTTTGTTGACTTGCCCTAGATTCTGCTGACAGTAGCTAAACAACTTTCTTGGGTGGCCAATTTTCAAACTGAAATAAGTGGTCTCAAGTTTTTATGTTTATACAAAGTGTGAAGTGAATTTGCTAGGAAAACTGAGGCTTCCTGTTGACAGGTACTGGAGCTTTAAGAGTTGAATCTTGTTTTCATTTATCAAGAGTCACAGGCATTGACTCTTGATAAATGAAATAATAATCCCTTCAAAACCAAAAACAATAATAAATTGGTCATTTGTAATCTACGATTGTTTGTGGGACATTGCTGTGCGCAATTGGCTGCCGCGTTCGCCCACAAATATACAGTCAATTCACTTTACAGTGTGTTCTGTGAAGCACTTTGGGACGTCCTCCCGACGTGAAAAGCGCTATATCAAATGCAAGGATTATTATTATTATTGAGTCAAGAAACCAATGTGAAAACTAATGAGATCTTCAGCCAAAGCTAACCTCCAACACCCCCCCCACCCCCCCAATGAAAAAGATGCATTAATTAAAATGGTGACTGAATCGAGGCCCGAATGGGAAATTATTCCTTCTGGTCCAACGTATGGTATGCATCAGAGCATTAATGAACATCTCTTGATGTTTGTTTTAAAATTGTACTTGTGTTTTCAAGCCTGCACAGTATCAGGAGCCTGGCAGACTGTTGTTGGTTTGTCTTCAATTGTTCAGTGCAGTGCATTCTGTGCAATATAGTCTATTCCCAGAGCAGGGACTACTTCAGTTACTGCAGCTACTCTTGTTAGCACTAACAAAATCCAAAATATCTGACATTCAAGATACTAAAAATTCACCTTATTTTTGTTCTATGGGTTAACACCTGGTTAAAAGAAAACATAGATAATTGAATTTGGCGTGCTTAACAATTAAAAATGCTGAGGGTAACAGACTAATATGAGAGTGCTAGAAACCCGAAATTTAAATGAGTGGCATGGATGATATACTGAAAGGCACTTGAGATTTTAATGCAGGTGGAATTGCGATACTTGTGTGCCAGCTTTGAAACCTCTAGATTTATACAAAAGAAATCCATATATCAATTATTTCGCTGAAAAAATAGTCACTACATTTTACAGTATATTCTGTGAAGAGTTTTGAGATGCCTCAACAAATTAATTAAGGCACTATATCAAATGCAAAGGTTATTTCCTTGCAAATAAATTCATAGCAAGTGTTGCATCCCTTTCCCCCGAACTTCTCACTGCATGTTGGAGATCCTCAACTTCACATTCAAATCCCTCCAAAACGTCACTTACCCTGCTTCTACGACTTGCTGCAACCCTACACACCCAGCTTTTGCCAATTAGGGTTAGGCCCTTTCACCTGGTCACCGGTTCAACTCCTCGTCTGCACTTTTGGTATTATTTGGCCCACTGTGTAAAATTTGCTGTGTAAACTGTTTTGTGTTAAATTATATTTTTCATTGTTTCGCTTTGTAACTAACAGGTGTTTTTAAATTCACTCATGTAACTGGACCACTCAATCATTGAGAACGGGGAATGTCTTGATCAAAATTGGTGTTTCTCTGCCTTGTTCTTTTTGGCATCCTCTACTTGTAATTGGATTTTGAATTGTTCAAATCTGTTTGTCTCTGTGGTCTTCACTAGGTAACCTGTGAAGGTTTGTTACTTTTCTAATTAATTCTGATTTGTAATGACTAGTTGAGCTGAGGGTGTCTAATGTGGGGTGGTGGGGAGTTGTTTCAGGTCATAATCCTGTTTGTTTGATTGCGATCAGAGTGTGATGCCAGGTCAATTTTTTCCCTCTTCATCAGTTTTTAAGAAATTCCAATTGACTTTATTTGGTTTAGCAAGGAGAACTTGTGTGGAGGGGGAAGAACCAAGAAAAAGATTCAGGGAGTAATAAATGAATATGTTGATTGTTTTTTTTAGGACTGGCAGCCACCTTTTGCCTGTGAGGTGAAGAACTTTTGCTTCACACCAAGAATCCAGAGGCTCAATGAGCTGGAGGTAAGCAGGAAATAATAACTTCAGTGAGAACTAGGTAACTATTTTCCAGCCTTGAATTTTCCTACCTCTATTGATTGTCACTGTGAAGAGCTTCTTCACTGACTGAATGCTGCGTAGTTTCAGCTCCAGTGTAACTGTACCACATTCACAACTTTTATTCAAGCAGACTTTGAAATTCCTGAACGAGACATACGAGTGTAACCTTACCTCTGGTAGAGACTGCAAATACAAATAATGTTGAAAGGAGTGAATGTGATTTTCAATCTGGGATCTGGACACATTTTAGAGCCACCATTTGTTATTCAATAATTTGAGTAAGATTGAATCGTAGATAATGTCTGTCTGTACTCCTTAACAGAGACTGTTGGCTTAGCTGTTACTAAATTGTTGTCAGTTAGATAGGAACGCAAGTGTTTTACACAATGTTTGTGCACAGATTTGAAATGTTATTCCAAAATAACATGCTGCTCTATGCTTTTAGGCACAGACCCGAGTCAAGCTGAACTTCCTCGATCACATGGCAAAATTCTGGGAATTGCAGGGATCAACACTAAAAATCCCACATGTAGAGAGAAGAATTCTGGATTTGTATACACTCAGTAAGGTTAGAGCTTCAGTTGAGTTTGAAAAACAATTCTGCTGGGTTGGGTTTTATTTGTTTAAAAGTGTAAATCATTTTAAGTATGATTTTAGGACAATTATCTTGTATTTGAAGTACTACTTCTTCAATGTCGCTGAATCTACTGCTCCTTCCCATAGCTCTTCCGTCTAGGAATCAGGACCAAATCTATTCTCTTTGTTTCTAAGTTTTGATGAGTGAAAATAAATTTGGTTCAACTAAAAGTGGTTAATAGTTTGTTGTCCAGATCACATGTCGAACTGCTGATCCATTTCATTGGAAACTACCTTGACAGTTAATCGGGCTGAATTCAGCTGTATTGGAAAGGTAGATTTAATCAAAATTGTGTGATACAGTAACACTGCATAATATTGTGCTTTGTTATAATGCAGGTTTGCTTGCAGAATCATGTCATTGCAGAACCTGATATCTACTTACCGGGAAATATAAAATGTGTATGGAAAGCCAGAAAAATTGCTTCAAAACACCAGTTGATTTTTTGCACACATCAGAATGGCTGATATCCACATTATCAGATTGCTTTTGACTTAATTTCAAGAGCTGAGCATAAATCGTGCTCAGGAAGTCACATAAGCATTGATCTGATGACCTGAAAAAAATACTTTTTTTTAAACAAGTGAAAAGCCAGCCACCATTATGTTACAGAAGCAACATGATCTTGGAACTGATTGATTTTCTTGTCCTAAGTGTACCAAGGTCTCACATTTTCTTAATGCATTGGTGAGAGATAGGTTAAAGATAGAAAAAATTGAAAAAACAGGCTCTAACTCTACCATTGGTGGCTTTCTCCTCTCTCTTCCCCCACCCCCTGCAAGCTTCGCTGTAAAATTTTATTCTGACAAATTAAGATCTGTAAGATCTCTGGCATTTCATCACCTCCACACAAATGTTCTCATCAGTCTCTTTCCAGGAAGGAGCAGTATAGCTCTGACATGGAGCCACTTTGCAAGTGTTCACTTGTCCATAAGATATATTTAATGGAAATACTGTTTTAGCCGATGTCTCATTCTTCAAGACAACTGTTATGTGAACTGTTATATATCCATACACTACAATTCCAATTCTACTTTTCAGTGTTGACTTTGTTTGTTTAAAATAATTTAAACTACATGAACATGGTGATATATGAAGCCTGATTTGTGTCTTTGTTTTGGAGATTAACTGTATCTAATATTAATCAATTGATGCCCTAGAGGTGCAAGAGGCATGAGGAGATACTGTCATTTTGAAGAATGAGCTTTATGTTGCCTCATTGTTACTGACTTTCACACAGAGTCTCTTTCTAGACTAAAATTTCTAGTCGTTGGGTAATTGTCTGAGAGGAGCCTTGGATTTTTCTGCCTTTATATAACCTGAGGCACTGGTATCGATTGTAGATCTCCACCCCCACCACACACACACTGCTTCCATGTAAAAATTCAGCTGACTCAGATGAGACCAAGCTATGAAACTGTGCCGCTCAGTATGATCCTGAGTGGCGCTGTTACTTGTGCAGTCAACGAGCAAGAAAAGTTATTTTACTTTGATTCTGTGTTCATTAAAGCTCACTTAAAATTGTACTTTCCTCTTGCAGGTGGTTGCAAGTGAAGGTGGATTTGAAATGCTGTGTAAGGAGAGGAAGTGGTCAAAGGTTGCCAGTCGAATGGGTTATCCCCAAGGAAAGGGTATTGGCTCACTCTTACGCTCCCACTATGAGAAAATTCTGTATCCATATGAGCTGTTTCAGACAGGAGTCAGTCTTTCGGTAAGACTTGCCTATTGCACTCCAATCAGTGGTCTTTCTTCATGTTGGAATATTTTGCTAAATTGCTGTTCTCATTGCATGTGCTGACAAAAAATTGGAAATACAAAAGTACATGATGGAACAGTCATGTCAAGCATTTGAAGAGGCCATTTCGATCCTATGGCTAGTTTCCACACGTTTAAAAAAAAGCCTCAAACACAATTTTATTCTGTTGCCAAATTGTCTGGAGAGAGAGATTCCCCTGGGGATGGGGGGCAGGAGGGGCAAGAGAGAGAGATAAAGACTGAGATAGAACTTTATATGTATACTTTACAATTCTGTACTTTTTTAACATTTTTTTTTAGTCCTTTCAACACAGTTGTTTGATTTGTTCATCACTGGTATATGATAGTACTCTTGTTTCAATCATTCCTTCCAAATGTTTTCTTCCATCAATATTTTTCTTTAACCTCATCCATGACTTAAAGGCTCAATGATTCTTCTTAGCATTTAGATGCTCAATGAGCAATATTTCTTTTGAAATGGACAGAGTATGATCTCTCTGCAAGACTGAATATTTTTTTACTGTGTGCCTCTCACATTGGATTGGGCTGTTCCTGAGCAAAAATTGCAAATTGTAGAATGAATTTTGCACAGGTGGCACCTGGCAGAAAGAAGACATCGAGCACTGTTAAGAATCACTTGACCTGAGCATGGCCTTGCTGTCAAAACGCTTAGAGAAATGAGGTGGGCATTTGAAGCAATTTTCATATTTTCACCCAATGTTCTTTTGATATATGATCAAATGAAGGTTTACTTCTTGGATCAGTTAATATTTTCCTGGGAAACTGGCTCATGCAGCTTTTTATGTCTTGAGATTTGAATCCTTCCAAGGCAGAGGGTGCTGGCGTGCCTTCAAAACCTCATGTGAAAATCTGACATCTTGAATGCATCTATACTATCTGATTCAACAGTGGTTTAATTTAATTTGAACAGTGCTTCAGGCAGTGAGTTCTACAATCTCACTACCCTCTGCGTGAATTAGTTCCACCTAAATTCTCTTTTTAGTCCTCTAGTTCTGATCTTATTTGTATCCCCTGGCTACGGACTCCCCAACCAGTGGAAACAGCTTATTTATGTAAAGCTTATTAAACCTTTTTTTAAAAAAACATTTTAAACACTTATTAGATCCCCGTTAAACCTCTTTAGCGAAAAAAAGCCCAGTGTGTTTTCAGATAGCAGTAACTGCCAGCCCTGGTATCAGCCAATTAAACCTATGCTGAATTATTTCCATCGCTGATGTATCCTTATTGTCCTAGGAGAACTTCAAATGTGTAATTATTACTTTTAATTTTGAATACATTTATCTTTTCTGTGGAGCATACAGGTGAAGCAGATTTCTGAAGAATGCAAGTTATCTGTATCACAGCAATGAAAATTCATTCCTTTGTGAAATCAAAAGCTACTTTCTGCAGATGCTTTGATCTCCCCCTCCATTATCTATGCTCCTGTTCAAAATAACAAACAATTTTGCTGTGAGTTCCATGCACCCTGATGTGATCATTTTATTTGATCTCCAGTAATTTTGCCTTATCCCTTTAATAGACTCTTGAAAACGCCTCCATGCAGATCTTTCCAAGCTCGGTGCGAACCTTGAGTCAGGTAGGTGAACCTCTGCATCTGTGCTTAAGCACTTCAATCTTGTCCCCAATTCCTCTCTCTGGTTTGATGTTTGTTCCTGATAGATGCAAAGGATAAGAAATAATTATGAATGAATAACTTATCACTTTGTTTAGGGGTGTTTCAATCAAGGCAGTTGTGAATTCTGATGTTATGGTGTCTGATATTGTGTTGTATCCTGCAATGCAAGTTAATGCCAAACAATTATAGACTTTGTTTAGCTTTTTTGCTTGTGTATGGTGTGGATACTTTAGAGTAATTGGTATACGAGAAAAAGCTTATTTGGCACATCAAACTAGTTCTTTTCACAATCCATATACAATCTACCCAATCAAAGGCTCTGCCCAACACATTTATTTCCTGAGGGAAGATGCTTAAATAGTACCCTATTACCAACTGCAATGAAAAAAGCATGAGTAGTTTAATTTTCTTGCACTTCAATTCTTTCCAGAGAACTGCTTTCTGCTCATATTTCCTGTCTATACCCAATCCATATAATTTCCTCATGATAATTTGACAAATGGACTGAACCATATTCTATTACCTGATTTATTTTTTAAAGTCAGCCTAGTAGTTTCTTCACATGGAAATCCATTGCCATGCTTAAGATTCTCCAAATAACAGTTCCGTGTACAATAAAACTCACATAACTCAAATTAGTCAGCACCATAACATTTAATACGACTTTTGCTAAGTCTGAGTTGCAGGTAAACTTGTATCAATTGTATAATATCAGATTTAATCAATAATCTAAACCTGCTTAATTCAGTGCAGCCGGTAAGTTTGCATGAGGTGATGGATCAAGACCAAGTTAGCTGCAGTTCATTGCGTCGGCGGATTTGCACTAACCGACAAAGTTAGAATTGCGTGGAATCGTGATGAACAAAGTTCTTCTGCGCATAAGGTGACTGATCAAGACTACATTTCCTGCGATTGAATGCAGCTGACCGGAAAGTGCAACTACGTCGAGGGATCAGGACGTGATTTCCCGCTGATAAAATGCGGCCAGTAAGTGTGGGAAGAACGGAGACTCGAGTGGAGTATGATTTAGGCACCCCGTTGCAGCTTTGCTTACAACCGCAGGATCCAATATGTAGCTTGACACACAGACAAACTGACATTTCGTTTAGACATTATACCCGGCTGGCAGAACTCCAGTGGGAGGACTCCTTTAATACATTTTCTCTCTGGCTCTCTGTCTGGCTCTCTCTCTCTCTCTGTCTGTCTGGCTCTCTCTCTCTCTCTCTGTCTGGCTCTCTCTCTCTCTCTGTCTGTCTGCTCTCTCTCTGTCTGTCTCTCTGGCTCTGTCTGTCTCTGCTCTCTTCTCTCTCTCTTCTTCTGTCTCTCTTCTCTGTCTGGCTCTCTCTCTCTCTCTGTCTGGCTCTCTCTCTCTCTTCTCTCTCTCTGTCTGGCTCTCTCTCTCTCTCTCTCTCTCTCTCTGTCTGGCCTCTCCTCTCTCTCTCCTCTCTCTCTCCTCTCTGTCTGGCTCTCTCTCTCTCTCTGTCTGGCTCTCTCTCTCTCTCTCTGTCTGGCTCTCTCTCTCTCTCTGTCTGGCTCTCTCTCTGTCTGGTCTCTCTCTGTCTGGTCTCTCTCTCTGTCTGGCTCTCTCTCTCTCTCTCTGTCTGGCTCTCTCTCCTCTGTCTGGCTCTCTCTCTCTCTGTCTGGCTCTCTCTCTCTCTCTCTCTCTCTCTGTCTGGCTCTCTCTCCTCTCTCTCTGTCTGGCTCTCTCTCTCTCTCTCTGTCTGGCTCTCTCTCTCGCTCTCTCTCTGGCTCTCTGGCTCTCTCTCTCTCTCTCTGGCTCTCTCTGGCTCTCTCTCTCTCTCTCTCTGGCTCTCTCTCTGTCTGTCTGGCTCTCTCTCTCTCTTGAAAGACCCAGTGTTCCAATATATTCATGCTCATGTTAAGTTCCATCATTTGTGATCAAGGAGTAACACTTGGTATTAGAGCGTTCAACAAAAAGGTTGGGGGCGCGGAGGAGAGTGGGGACGGGGGGGGGGGGAGAGCATGGGGAAGAGGGAGGGGAGAGAGGGGAAAGAGGAGAGAGATTGAGGATATGTACATTTTCAATTCACTTTGACTGTTATCTTGGCAATAATGACCCCGGCTAACATTCCCAGATGATATTTATGACAAAGGATGGGTGACATTCCAATAGGAACACATTTTTGTGCTAGAAACATTTCATGCTTCTATTTATTTAGAAAAATTGTGTAAAGAGAAGCACCGTCTGTGTTCTGGTTGACACATACTTCTACAAGGCTGCATTTACCTCGGATTTCAAGCGTTTTGCTCGCCGTCCTAATGAATTCATTTTAGATGTCTGGACTGGCTGGCGCTGAGCAATACCTTGGTGTTTGTGCTCCTTGTCTTTCTCACTGCTGTCGTAGTCTGGTTTCTGGATGCACTGAAGGGGAATTAAAACACCATACTTTTACTCCACTAACTATTCCTTAGAAGGGTTCTCTTCGAAGTCAGCATGCAAAACTTAGCAGGCAATTCCTTTGCACCGAAATTGAAGTGAACTGAAACTAATCAGGAACCGTCTTCGTCTGAAACTATAGTGGTGCAAACCGTGATCAATCAGCAGGAATTGCTCTTCTCTCTATCCTCTCACACCCGCTCAATTTTAAGTATAATCACCAGCAGAAAACAATGTAAACATTATCTGAGAATTTTTAAAATTTAACAAAGTGTGGAAGAATATGTCTCAATTGATCAATTATCAAAGTGGCTCATAACAAAGAAGCCATCAAACCATAAATACACATTCAAAATCATGTAATCAGACTCTAATAAGGTCTGATTACATGATGAAAGGACAGAATTGACAGCCAATTGGAAAAACTCCACATACTGATACCAGCCACAATACAAGCAACTATTGGACTCGCTAACCAAAGAGGAACATGACAGAACAAAAATATTCAATTAAAAAGCAGCACCATAACAAAAAATTTGTTAAATTTGCAAATGGATCATATAGAATCTCAAGAAGAAGCTGTTTAGTGGAACAATATGAAGACTGCCAATGCAAACCGAAAGACATTAGCAAAGGTTTAATTTGGGATGAGCAGAAACAGTTTGTTTTAATATTGAAAACAAGGTGAAAGCCCATATATAGCTCAAATACAGAACATCACCATAACTGAAAAAGTTTAACAATCAAGGTAAATTGTGTGGTAAGATGAACATAGGTTTTGTAAGAAGATAAGACTGATGACAAGGAAGGAAAATGTGGAGGACCTTGGTGGGGAAAAATTGATTGATTCTGATTTAAATAAACAGATCCAGTTTGCAAGATTCATAAATAATGAATCCCACAAGTCCCCAGATGATTTCACTCTAACACCTGGATTTAAATTCTAATCTTCTTTTTGACTTGTGTAAAGTCGGGGCTTGTCTGCAGCAATAGGAAGACCCTGAGAACTGGCTAGAAACTGCCACCTTTACAGAATTCCGAGTCAGAAAAAAGTTCATCCAGTTTCCTGCAGGATTCAATATTTGCAAATCCTTTTGGACATCACTGAAAATAGAAAAGGGAAGATAATGCAGAATTTAACATTTTAAGCTTGGAAGGTACAAGAGGAAGATTCATAGTAGTAACAACCATATTATCACGAATAGAGAAAGAAAAACGTTGACAAGAGATATAAGGGGGGAAGAGGAAAGAGATTGTTGATACAAAGAAACTAAGTGTAATAACACCAAGTTCTGAAATCCCCCTATTGTGGGGGGAGGTAAGCAGGGTCTCCTTGAAACTGAACTAGTTCGAAGGTGATATATCTGGTAACGGAATTTTGGAATCCAGC